TTAGGTGGAATCTTCTTTCTTGTAGTTTGGATCCATTGCTCCGTGTCCGCTTCTCTGGAGCAGCAGAAAACAACCTTTCTCCCTCCTCTATGTGACATCCTTTTATATATTTGAACACGGCTATCATATCACCCCTTAACCTCCTCTTCTCCAGGCTAAACATGCCCAGCTCCCTTAGCCGTTCCTCATAAGGCATCGTTTCCAGGCCTTTGACCATTTTGGTTGCCCTCCTCTGGACACGTTCCAGTTTGAGCCAGATCATTGGTCCATGTAGTTCAGTATTGACTACACTGTCTGCTGGCAGATCTCCAGGATTTCAGAGAACCTTACCTGGAGATGCTGGGGATCAAACCTCAGACCTTTGGTATGCATAAAAGATGCTCTACCACAGAGCTATGGCATTTCCCTCAAATTAAATGGTTGGAATGCTTTTTGCATTTAAAAATTAGAAAACTGGGGTTTATGACAAGCTAACTAACACTTCTCCCCCATTCCTTTCCTGGGATGTTTTGTCCAAGGAGGAATCTCCACATTATGCTGTGGGATCAATTCAGTTGTAACTGTAATCAAAGATGCCCTGAAAATGCCTGCTATAAAAGTCTGCTACGTCCTTAAAATAGGTCTGAAATAGTGATATTGAAATGTGTCAAACAGCACAGTGGTTTCAATCCAGTCTCCTGCCCTGAAACAGCCTCCCTGCTGCTTGACTATAACTTCCATCTTCCTTAGCTAGTAGAACAGGGATGATGGAAGTTGTAGTCCAACAGCAGCTGGGGACCCAATTTTGAGAAACACTGGACCACATGGTGCTGCTAGAGTAAAACCTATTATCTCTCATAACCCCTGGGAGATGTGAAGGCACATGAATCCTTGCACAGTATAGAGTAAATGAGTTTGTTGTATCCTCCCAGGCAGAGAATATCTCAGCCCTAAGCTACATTGCAAGATGGACGGTGCCTGCCTTTGATCACTTCTTTGAGTCAATTTGGTGTCAGCCACTGAGACGAGCGATAGGATCTCCGCTGCTTAAACAAATGTCCACTTGGCTATGCCAAGAGCCTTATCTGAGACACACGAAGGCGGATAGCAAGCGCCTAGGTGAGTCCTGCTGTAGATCTCAAAGAATTATCACTAGCCGACAAAGCACAAGATATTCACCCTGCAAAGTAAGTGCTCTCTCATGCTCCCCCCTACAGTTGGCATTCCTCCCTGCATTTCAAAGAGAAAAAGCCACTCCAAATGGCCCACCTTCTGTGCTTGCATTTTGTTGATGTCTGTAACACTGATCTGAATTTTGTTCACAAAACTCAACAGTTGAGGCCATTCTGCCTAGCACCCCACCCTGGGGTAGCCACGATTTATGTTAGGGGAGCAGGCTTTATGTTGGGGGGGGGAGAACCTCAGTTAGTTAAATATTGTTATTGATTTACTTGGTTTACGGGCGGCAGCTGCCCCCCTTGGCTACACCCATGCACCCCAAGACATTTTGGCACCTGAGGCAAACTACAAAATGGCACCCTCCCAACCAGGTAAGAAGGGGTGAGTGAAGATCTACATCAGGAATCAGGCAGGGGATAGCAAAACAACCTTACTTGATGACTGAAGTGGGAATTAAAGGCCATCTAGGGCTCCCTGCTCTGAATCATGCTGAGCTGGTGTAGAGCCCAGGAGACCTCAAAGGGCAGCTCCTGCCATTTCGTCCTGGGCGGGGGGAGGGGGGTGAAGAGACCAGCAGTGCTTCCTATTTGCCAAGAGGCCACTGTAGCAGCAGCATTGTGGGGTGGGGTGGGGTGATGAAGAGGGTGCGCTGCAGCCATCACTGCTATCATGGCAGCAGCAGTGGGCAATGGATTCCTTGGAGGCCAAATCTGCTGCCTCTGTGTATCCTGCTGCACAAGGCAGTTGCATAACCTTACCTCATGAGTGGGCTGGCCCTGGCCACACCTTGAAATTCAGATTGAGGCAAGGAAAGTTTTCCAATCTGAGGGCCACATTCCTGCCTGGGCAGCCCTCCAGGGACTGCATGCCACTGATGGGAAGAGGTGGAGCCAAAAGTGGGTGGGACCAGAAGAAAAAATAGGGAAGAGCAATGGATGTGACTCTTACTTTAGCAGCAGAATGCATTGCAGAAATGTAAAAACCAGCACTTGCACCTCTTCCACCCCATCTCTCGATTCTCCATGCAGGCAAACAAGAGTCATTCAAGGACAAATTCCAGACTAGTGAAAGCACCCAAAAAGGGTGAGTGAAGCATAGAGCTGATGAGGAGTGTGGCTTTGGGGAAATCCCCAGACCCAGATTGAGAGGCCTCAAAAGCCACAATTGGCTCCCAAGTCCCAATTTTAAGGAGCTCTCTTCCGGTTGAGATCAGAGAAGGCTCCTCCCTATTGAATGTTTGGCACCTTCTGAAGTCTTTTGACTGAGGGGACAAGGAGGAATTAGGGGAACAGGGAAGGGGTGTCTTGATGTGTGCTTGGAGTCAGGTGAATGGACTCGATAAGCAGCAGGACTGATACTGTGGAACCGAGACCTACATTCCAAGATCAGCAAACAGGATTCTAGAAGCAAGAGGTTCTCACGCCTCTTGTGATTTGTGAACTCAGTTTTCTTTTCCGTCAGCATTAACAGGCCACAGTGATCACAGCCTCCTGCAACAGTAGCCTCGCTTAACTTCTAATTTTACGTACCTCACATGGGCACCTTTTCAGCTCACTTCACAACTGGAAGGACTCCAGTCGACCTTGGACATTGCACTATACCAAACATTGTCACCTGGCTAATTCAGCGCTGTTCAGAGCTGCAAGCATAATAGCTATTGAGGGATTCTTAAAGCTGGCTTGTGGGAGGCCTGAAAGTATCCTGGGAGGTGACATGGTTCTGCCTTTTTGATTGGGGGTGGTGTGGACCTGCCTTCCTCCTGAATGATCTTGTGTGTTTTCCAAAACCCCCAAGATATTTAAAACAAAATCTAAAAACTCACGTTTCTTCAACCTGTAAAATTCTGCCAGGAAGGGAGACAGCTGTTTTGCCCAGGGCATAATAGGACTGTTCTTGCAGCTAAAATATTCTTTTCAGTTTCAAGGGAAGTTCACAACATGATTCACTCTGAATAGCAATTTGCTAGGTGCTTTGTTGGGCAACTTGTCGGGAAGGGCCAGAAACCATTGGCTGATGCTCCATCCTGCTGGGCTACAGCAGCTATTTCCTTGCACAAATTATGTGCAAGGGCACTGCTAGGGTAGAGTGGGAGAATGGGGAGTATGCTTGGCACAATCAAATCTCCTGGGAACCCACGGTATCTATCGTGTTGTGTCTCTGCCTGTTGTTTCTCTGGCTGTCCCTTCATGCAACCAGCATCTGCCAAGAAGAACATATTCTGCCCATATTTGCATTGATTTGGATTACTTGATTGCTCCTAACATTAAGATTGAGGAGAATGACCTCTCCTCAGAGGAAGGTGCTTGTTGTGTCTCTGCCTCTGAGCCTGCCTCCTTCATGGGAAGTGTAGGTAGTTGCCTTACACCAGATCAGACTCTCTGTCCATCTTGCCCAATCCTGTTGATTCTTCCGCAGTGCCTCTCCACACTCTCAGACAAAAAGAGGTATTTCCCATCACCTGCTAAATGACCCAGTCAGGAGATGGTGATTCATGCAGAAACTCAGGAGGGATGATTCTTCCACAGCAGATCATTTTACCAATCCAGAGGGCTTCTCCATGGCTTTTCTGACCAGTTCCTGCCCTACTTGTTGTTTCTTCCTCTGCAGCACTCAAGCCGTGCCTGTGCACTACCACTAAGCTACTGTCCCTCCCATTACACAGGAGACAATGTTGTTAATCACATGTCATTTTTTCCTGTTCTTTCCTTCCCTGTCTATGAATGGTAGACTGCAGAGCTACCACTGGCAACGACATCTCCCACTGTATTTTCAGCTTAAGAGCAGCAAAACAACTCTCCAGGCTGCAAACTGGGAGTTTTACGGGTGGATGTAGGGCTGGGCCGGTCAGACTTTTCCAGATCCATCCAACTTTTGAATCTGTTTAGACGCAAGTCCGTTCTGTCCCATTTCTGCATTAATTTGCCTTTTAAAAAATCAACTACTTGCATGGACATTCACATTTAAGGACCCATTTTTAAAAGCATTTTCAATTTTTAAATTTCTTTCTGTCAAAAAATACATATTTTTTTAAAAAATGTATTTTGGTATGCAAGGCAGTAGAGACCTAAGTTCTAGACCACACATTAGTCTGCGTGGTTTCATACACATCTTTCCTAATATGTTCATTTTTGCATGGGATTTTGACTAACAAACACATTTTTGTAAGTTGTTCCCCTAACAGAATAAATTGTTGTATGTTATTTCCCAATAGAAGCTGTGTGTGTGCATGTTTTTTGCTTGAAGAACTGCAGTGCAAAATTCAGATAAGTGTCAACTTAAAAACCTAAGAAGAGCCTTGCTGGATGAGGCCAGTGCCCATCCAAGTCCAGCATCCTGTTCTCACAGTGGCCAGCCAGATGGCTGTGGGAAGCCTGCAAGGAGGACCTGAGAGATACCTGCATTTCGGGTTGTGTATTGGTTCAGGGAATTTGAATTACATTGGTTCCCATTAAAAGTGAACCAAGCAGTCTTCCCTAGGGAGATGGAGCCAGCCTAGCTGATGGGAGGCCAACTCCCACAGAAGAAGCCCTTAGCGCAGCCTTTGCCAACCTGAAGACATCCAGAGGTTTTGGACTACAATAACTATCATCCCTAGTTAGCACATGCTGGTTGGGGCTGATGGGAGCTGTAGTCCAAATCATAGCTTTAGAGAGGGTTGGGAGGCGCAGAACTGGAGCTCACAGCCTCCCAAGGATGATTTTCCTCTTGCGTTTCCTTGGAGCTTTCAAAGGGAAAGGCTGGATCTTTGTTTTCAAAGCCAATGCCCATATCCCCAGTTGGAACCCTGAATATCTCCCAGCATCCAAGTCATTCATTGAACCAAGAAGGGCCCAAACTCCATCTAACCTCAACGAGATTGTCTTTATTTGCCACCGGTAAATAAATAAAATAAAATCAATAAAAAAATAAAAAATAGCCGCCACCCCCCAAAGAAGCCCCAAACCAGATCCATGCGTCATCAACCACAGGAAAGAGAGAAAAGAGAGAAAGAGAGAGAAAGAGAAAGAAGAAATCTGTTTGCTTTATTATGTAGAAATAATGGCATCACGGAGTGTTTTCCCAGGCCACTGAGTTTGCAGGCCGCAGTGCTCCCCCACCTCCCAAACCCACAAGGATAAGAGAGAAAATGAACAAAAATGACAACTGAGAGAGAGTTGAGGCCTCTTTGCTTATGGGATTATAACTCTCCTGAAGTCTTGATGACATGGAAAAGAGTCACGTTGTAGATGACCTGGTGGCCATTGTTCCAGGTATAGAGGACCCTCTCCCGGGGGTTGTAGTCCAACATGGATATGTGGGAATACTGATTGTGGAAGGGAATATCTGTGTACTCATAGCTAGAAGTGTTTGTGTAGTAGGCAAAATAGATCTTAGCCCCAGCCAGGTGTGAATTGGTCACATAGAGGGTCCCGCAGATGATGAAGGATTCACCTGCACTCCGCTTGGGGTAGCCAGTGTCCCAGCTACGGAGAATCTCCAGCGTGACAGGGTCCATCCTGCTTACTACAATGTTGCCAGCATTCTGGTTGGTGGTGTAGACTGCCCAGAGCCCATTCTCATCCACCATGAAGTCGATGTCTGAGAAGCCACCCCAGGAGTAGGGGAAGGTGTTGTTGTAGCCAGCGGTGTTGAGGCTGCGCTGCACGACCACACTCCGTGAACGGAAATGGTACTTCACCACTATGTTGCTCTGGTACTTGTTGTAGTAGAGGGACCCATTGAAGACCACGTGGCCGGTGCCAGCCCAGGGATGAGGCAGCAGGTGCTGGACAAAGTTTTGGCCTGTGATGAAGTCATTGAGTGTACGGTATTCCAGGACACGACGGCCTTTGTAGTAGCCATCCATGTACCAGACCTAAGGAAGAGCACAAGGGGCATTAGAATGGGCCCTGCTGAGATTACTCTGTACCAGATCACTTCAGTGTAGCTATATAGGAAGAACAGGTATTTTGAGGTCCAAAGCTGAAAATCTAAATGGAAAAAAGAGAGCATCATCTACCCCACTTAAATTTCCAGCCCAGACCCTAAGGTCTTCATCAGAAGCCCTTCTCTGTGTGTCCCACCCAAGGGAGATGCGCAAGAAGAGGCCTTTCTAGTGGTGGCCCTTGTTGGAAGAAAGCAGGCACATTTCCTTTTCTTAAGCTTCTAGTTAATACATGTGTTGCTTTAAATGACCAGAGGGCACTGTAATCTCTCTATTTAATTTGACTCCTAATTTATTAGTGAATGGGGGTCTTGAGGTGCAGCTGGCCAATTGGAGAGTCCCGCTAGCCCCGTGCACTGGAACCTTCTCCCTTTCAGCGGCTCATTAGGTGGGGTGGGGTGGGGGAGTCAGAGGAAGGGCGTCCTGCAAGGGCTTCTGCCTCCCCTTCCCTAATTCCTCAGACTCCAAAGGGGCGGCTCGCAAGAGGCGCCCTGCTCTGCCCACTGCAGCATCAAAGGTGGGGTGCAGAAGATGTCTTGCGCCCTCCCAAGCAGCTCGTTTGGATGTTCTGAACCAAAAGCAGAGCAGGTAGAATTTAGGAGGAGTTGCATTTCTGAAATCAGGATTTTGCCCCATCAACACCCTTTCTGGGTTGGCCTTTCAGGCAGAAAGATAACAAAGTCCCCTTATTCCAGCTGTTGGTGGGACTGGGGTGGTTGGAGGCGCAGGTAAGGGTGGGGGCAAGGACAAGTCTCCCCACCTTGCAGTGGTGGTTACATAAAAAATGGGCACTTTTCACATGCCGTCCACAATTAAGTAATCAACTGGCGATTAGAAGCTAAGGTTCGAAAGCAAAAGCCACCTAAAGAGGCAGGCGAAAATGCCATCCATGCCGCTGTTAAAAGACTTGAAGGAAGGTGTTGATCTCCTTCCAGGGTTCTAAGTGTTAATATGCTCTTGAAAAGCTCTTTATTAATTGGTTTCATCAGAAACACTTGTAAACACCATGTCATCCAAAAAGTCACATTTCACATAACAACATGTGGCTGTGCTTATGTGGTCATTGGTGACTGCCTACCTCGATATAGTCCACTTTTCTTCAGCTGGTGGGTGTTTTGAGAGCCAGACTTAGGGCACACTTCAAGCACACCAGCAAGAGCCATGGCAGTGCCAGAGGGAGGAAATTGCCCCAGCCCCAAGGATACAGCCCTTCTCCAATTGCCTCCTCAATTGCTAGACTCCTGTCCTTAATGCATACTATTATTTTTTCATAACATTCGGGACACAACTTAAAGGTAAATGTAAAGGGACCCCTGACCATTAGGTCCAGTCGTGACCGACTCTGGGGTTGTGGCGCTCATCTCGCATTACTGGCCGAAGGAGCCGGTGTACAGCTTCCGGGTCATGTGGCCAGCATGACTAAGCCGCTTTTGGTGAACCAGAGCAGCGCACAGAAACGCTGTTTACCTTCCCGCCAGAGCGGTACCTATTGATCTACTTGCACTTTGATGTGCTTTCGAATTGCTAGGTTGGCAGGAGCTGGGACCGAGTAATAGGAGCTCACCCTGTCGTAGGGATTTGAACCGCCGACCTTCTGATTGGCAAGTCCTAGGCTCTGTGGTTTAAACCACAGCACCACAATTTGTCTACCTGTAAATAAAATTTGCCCTTCTGAGCCCCTCATTTTTCTGGTATGGCCACTGGCAGCAGCACCCATCATTTTCTAGTACTATTGTTAGTATTATCATCTTAGAGAAGAGGAAGAAAGTGAATAAAATATTGGGGGGGGGCAGGTAAGCCTCACCCTGCATAATCGATCACATGATGTGGTGCATGCACACCATTTGAATGGCAATGCCCATCAACTTCAGATGGCTTGGCTGCCTCAAATATTTTATGGGGGGGGGCTGAAGAGTTGGCTCCTATGGCCTACATCCCCCCCATCCTTAAATTTTGCAGTGCAGTCTCCAGCCAAATATGTCCAAAAATGCATCATTTAGCAGAAAGTGTGCATAAAAATGCTTATGGATTAGCAAAAAGAATACATCAAATGCATTAGACTGCTAGCAAAGATGGGTACTGTTTATTACACAAAAGTTGCATGCTAAAATGTGTGTATTAGAAAAGGCTCTAAAAGCACTAAAAGGCTCATGAATTTTCATGAGTACTTTTTAAATGTGGAGAACATAACTGAAGAACGCAGTAGTTGAGAGACCCAAATGGCCAGAGGTGCCTGTTCCTAAAGCAATGTATTCCCTGAATGCAGCAGGTGAGGGAAGAGGCTGGGAGCATGGCCTTTGCATGGGGAAGGTGCCCCCAGGCACAAAGGAGGAAACCCTTCATTGCACTTCTGTACAGCAGCTGTGTAGAAAAAAGAATTTCGATTCATGCAGCTTTTCATGCAAGGTTGAGAAAAACTGCTAGAACTGCCACACTTGGGCCAGTTGAAGGATCAGAAGTGCTCTGCAACAATAGCAAATGGGAAGCAAAGCTGCAGACAGCACACAAACAGTTAAAACTTCAGCTCCACCCCTTGGGGAACCAGATTAGTTAGAAGCCTGGAAGGCAGAGCATTGCTGCTCAATGCTTTGCAATCCTGTGGTTGTTGCACACTTCTAGTATCTGCAGTCATTCCCCTGGTTCCTTCTTCACACTCCACCCTCTGGTTGTATCTTTCTCTGCACTGCTTCCACAGGGGTACCTTGAGCAGTTCTTAGTGTCAAAAAGTTCTTCCTGAAGTTTTGTTGGAATCTACTTTTTTGTAACTTGAAGCCATTGGTTCAAGTCCTACCTTCCAGAGCAGGAGCAAACAAGCTTGCTCCATGTAACAGCCCTTGAGATATTGGAAGATGGCTCTCATATCTCCTCTCAGTCTCCTCTTATCCAGGCTAAACATATCCAGCTCCCTCAACTGTTCCTCATAAGCCTTAATCATTTTCTTTGCTCTCCTCTGCACACCTTCCAGCTTGTCAACATTCCTCTTAAATTGTGGTGCCCAGAATTGGACACAGTATTCCAAGTGTGGTCTGACCATGGCAGATGGCCGAAGAGAGTGGGGCTATGACCTCCTTTGATCTGGACACTAGACTTCTGTTGATGCAGCCTAGAATAGTGTTAGCTCTTTTTTTGCTGCTGCATCACACTGCTGACTCATGTTAAGCTTGTGGTCCACCAAGACCCCTAGATCCTTTTCACATATACTACTGGTATCTAAGATTTTACTGCTCTAAGATTTTGTCGCACCCCATGCGCAGACCATTTCACTGGAAAAGGCCCCAGGCATTGTGCAGACCCAGATCAAGGCCTTCTTTCTCTCCCTCTGATCCCCAGAGGGTGCACGAGATTGCTCCAGCACAGGACACTGGTGCATCTGTGGAGCAAGCTCCTCCTTCCAGATAGGATACTCAACTGCCCTTGGTGCCACATGCAAGATGGCAACCATCTCTGAAATGTGACCTCTGGGCAGTCAGCACAAGCACTGATCACAAGCTGAGTTAACCCTCTCCTTGCTTGCCGAGTCTTTCACTGTAGCTTGCCTTCATAGCTCTCTCTGTGTTTTTCCTTCGGAGAATAAGCTTGTGGTGGGAGATGGTGAAAAAGAACCTGGTAGCAAGGGTTGCAAGGGGCAGTTAGCTAGTGGGACCCAATGGCAGTCCCCTGCAAATGCCCTTTGCCTTCTGCATCACAGCAACATGGCAAGCACTTTTGAAGCCCAAGCAGTACATCCTTCCAATCTCAGCTCATTGTCAGCTGCACAATTGGTCCAGACCATTAACATGCTCATCATCAGCTCTCACAGGCCCTGACCAGATGCCAGATTGGAGAGCTCCACTGTTTGCTTCAAACATTGGCAAAGGAGACAGGAAGCCTTGAGTGTATAAACTTTGCCGGAGGCTTCTTTGCTCTCTGCCTAACACTGGGGCTCAGCAGAGCAGCCCCAGGGATCTGTGCCTTTCTCTTCCCCTTTCATTCTTCTTTAAACAATTAAGCCCATTTGATGGAGCAGCTGACATCTCCCTGCATCGGATTAGCTGTGTTTGGTGCCTAAACTGGATCCCTCCCCCTCCCCTCCTCTCTTTCTCTCCAAAGCTCAGGGCTACCTTTTGAAATTTAAAATATAATTCACTCAAAAGGAAAGGCATAGTGGGAGGGGGAGAGATACAGCCAGACATACAACACGCATGCTTTCTAAGTCCCCTGGAGCCAACTGTCAACTAGAAATAAGACACTGAGAAAGTTTACATTATCACCAGAAGTTAATCGGATGGGACTGAAGACTGAGAGTGCAAAAACTATGGTTTGCAGCTTGATCATTTGACTTGATCATTAAAATTAGCCGCCTCAGCTCCCACCTCCCTCAGATAACTGCTGGGGATCCACCAGTGTTAATTCCTCCCCTGTGATCATAATGCTAGGTCAATGAACCACCATTTTAAATTCCCCATAATGCCCTGGAGCAACCTTTCCCAACCTGGTGCCCTCCAGGTGTTGCTGGACTCCAGCTCTTATCAGTCCTAGCCGCCCTGCTCAATGACCATGAATGTTGGGAGTTGTAGTCCAACAACACCTGGAAGGCATGAGGTTGGAAAAGACTGCTCTGGAGCACCACTTGCTTCAGGGGCACTGTGGGAAATTTTAAATGGTGTCTCAGAGACACCTACTGCAGTTGATAGTGGCAAGGGGCCCACCAATGTTGGAGGGGGTCCAACAGGAGCACTTGCTGAGAGTTCCCTGAAACCTGGAGTTATTGTTTAACTGTTACATATGTCAGGTTTTAGAATAGTTATAGAATATTTCCTGGTGGAAATATCTCAAGAGAGAGCTGGTTAAATCCAAAGAGGCTATGTAGGGTAGTAGACAGTGTGGCCAGCTCTGCCTAAAGGGAAACCCTTTTCAAATTCCAGTTCAACCAGGAATCCAGTCTCTCATGTAACTTCCCAGTTACTGATCACATTTCTATCTTGCCTTCTCCTTCCAAGGACTGGTGTATCCTCTTAGTTTAGACTATTTTGACATTCCAGTTCTGGGGCTTCATTTGTGACTCATCTGGGTGATAAGAACATACAAAGAGTCCTGCTGGATCAGGCCGATAGCCCACCTAATCCAGCATCCTGTTCTCACAGTGGCCAACCAGATACCAGTGGGAAACCCACAAGCAGAATTTGAGCACAACAGCATTCTCCTCTCCTGTGGTTTCCATGCAGCTAGTATTTACAAGGTGTCCCCTTCATCCTAGGGTATTTACACTGCCAAGACAGACATGAATTTGAGATGGCAGTGGAAGTTGGACACGAAGCCTAGATTCCATGTGATCCCTAGCCTATGTCCATGACTAAAGTGATCTGGGCTACTGGCCACAACTCAGCCATTGCACCCATGGGAGATCTGTCTTCATGAATTCCAACATGCATTGGTCCGGGACATAAGTCCCCTACCAACCAGTCTATGGGTAGACTGCCCAGTCAGCTATATGGTTAGCCTGTCCTTATGCAGAATACCTGCAATGTTCTTGATGATAATCTATATATTTAGGAAATAAAATCATGTGATACAACCCTTTTTGGAGCATGCCATTCTAGAGTACAGAGAACCAGCATCTCTTGGAGAAAGCTAGTCTGGATTCCTTCATCCTCACACCCTGGAATCCCGGGGCTGCCAACCTGTATTATTAAGCCCATGGGTACATTTTATTTTTGAGCAAGTGCCATGGCTACTACTCACTCTGGTCACTTCTAATTCCCCTCCCCAGATCATAAAAGAGAGAAAGTGTGCACAAACACATCACTTTTCCAATGGATCTGGGGAAAAGTCATATCCAGAAGAATTAATCTGAGTCTTGAAAAAGCACATGGAGCTGAAACTGGAAGTGGAAGTGGGGAAGGTTGTCACTCTTCCAGCTTTCCCCTTCAGCTCTATGTACTTTTCAAGAGAAAAATGGTAACCAAGCTGACCACCTCATAGCCATGAGGGCAATGTGTGGCTTGGGGTCTCAAGGTCCCATTGGGCCAAATGGGGTGCTGCTCCACCAGTTTACAACCAATCCTGGAGGTTGGCACTGACTGTCAGCTTCTACTTCCTTCGTCTCAGCTGGGAGGAGGATGGAGACAAACTAGAATTAGTTGGCTCTGCCCATTACTGGTTTTGCCTACTGTTGATTTTCTGCCCAACCAGTCTCAATGGGCACCAGCCACCAATGCATACATACATCCCCCCAGCTCCACTGCTTGTATTGAATCAGATGATTGGGCTATCAAGCCCATTCTGTTACCTATGCTCTATTAACTGAAGATACGGAGTCTGTGAATGCTGCTTGTAAACTCTGGCCAAGTAACTCATTCATCATGGGCTTTCTGCCATCCAAATTTTGTCTCCCACTTGTTTCCCTCTGCTTTATCATGCCAAAAAGCTCAACTGCAAAGACTGAGTAAACATATCCCAACCTTTATGGATGATTTATGCTGGTTTTATTAAATGTTTTCTCTCCTTTAATTTACAGAGTTAAAACACATTTTCACTCTTTTTCTGCTGATCAAACGCTCGAGTAGTTTTAATAACTGAAGACGCATTGTGATAGCAAGAGGTGGGCAAGACTGATTTCACACTTGGAGGATGATCAGACGAAGTTCCCCTCCTTGGTCTCTTCTGCAGAGCTGGGGTGGAAGGGAAGGGAGCCTGTTTGGATTTCTTCTCAATAAATCATTTTTCTATGGAGCCACAGGACTTTGCCAAGTCCTTGAAAACTGGGAATATGTGATCCTGCAAAAGTTTATAAGGGCTTGTATTGACTGAAATTCACATTAAGCCTCGGTTAACATAGGAGCCCATGAAAGAGAAGTCTCCAAGTGATTGTAGCAGCTAGAGCAGGGGTCAGCAAACTTTTTCAGAAGTGGGCCGGTCCCTCTGTCCCTCAGACCTTGTGGGGGGGCCGGACTATATTTTTTGGAGGGGCGGGGGAAATGAATGAATTTATATGCCCCATAAATAACCCAGAGATACCGTACATTTTAAATAAAAGCACACATTCTACTCCTGTAAAAACACCAGGCAGGCCCCACAAATAACCCTGAGATGCATTTTAAATAAAAGGACACATTCTACTCATGTAAAAACACACTGATTCCCAGACCGTCCAAGGGCTGGATTTAGGCAGCGATTGGGCCGGATCTGGCCCCCAGCCCTTAGTTTGCCTACCCATGAGCTAGAGGTTTGAACAGCTGCTCCCTTCCAACCCTGTTTTTGCACCACCACAACATCTAGATTCTTCTTGGGCTCAAAGCAGCAGAGGAGACTATAAGGAAGTTCCTGCCCAATTCCCAGCAAGGAGGGAAAGTGAACTAGTAGTGAGAGGTAGTGCAGGTAGCTATCACAGCTGTTGGAACCCTCAGCTGCTACACATTCACCCAGAGATTACTGACCATAGTGAACCTCATTCACATGTTCTTGTATGAACTGGAGATAAGCTTCTTTTACATGTAACTTGAAAGACAAAGAAGCAAGCAGAACGATACACTGGAATTATAAAATTGGAAGGTACCATATTGTCATCTACTCAACCCCCCTTCCACCAAGTGGAATAATCCTCAAGACAGGTCTTCTGATTGACCCAAATAACTAAGACCACAGAATTGTGAGGAAAGCTTCACTCAAAAGGACCAATATGTTTTTCTAAACAGGAATATGAAGGGTTTAAGACTCATAGGGCTCCTGAATTCCTAGAGGGCACTTTATGAGGTAACATCCTCTACTTTTGCACAAGCAGGAAAAATATAATGGCTCTTAATCTTTTGAACTTCCTCCCACCTGAGGAACAGTCTTTTTCTCGTCATGCAGCTATAGGAATACTATGCAAGGTCTGTGCTCTCCCAAGCCCAAGCGACATCTTCAATCTCAACAACGTATTTTAAAAGTAATTTAGAAGTAGCTTTGCTGTCTTGTATTTCTAATTGCTCTCTGCTGAGTCCTGAGCAAGACTATTATGTAAGCAAATGTTACATTTTTCATGTTTGCAATACAGTCTGTTGCCTGATTATTTTGTAGAAGATAAAAAGGGGAACTCAGCCTGCTGGGGCAGCCTTAATCAATATATGTAAGTGTCTGCTCCGTTCCTTCACTGACAGGGAATGAGAAGGCAGGCCTAGAGAGAGAACAGGCAAGAGTGGGATGCAGAGGGAAGCAGCAGGGAGCAGCCGGAACTTGATCTCTGGACACAGGGACACAGGCACAGGGGTGCAGGGAGTGCCCTCTCCAAAATCTCGTAGACTCACGAGACTGCCCAAGAGACACAAACAGGAAAGGAAGAGAAGGTGGGGGTTTTCCTGTCAGGGGAAAAGGGGGCAACTATGCTTTCTGAGGATGACGGAGATTAGTGGAGCTCCGAATGGGACCTTCTGATTTGACTAATAAATCTGGAATAATTAAGTGCCGGAGTCGTCTCGCGTGTGTGGGAGAGACCCAAGCCACTGCAATAAGTTTCCAGTTTAAATGCTGCAAGGGATGGTATATTTTTAATTCTGCAAATCCCGTGCTATAAATCTCACATGAAACTGGAGAGACAAATTAAGTTTCAGCAGATAAATTAAATTTCAAATTCAGCGGAAAATCTTTTACTCATAATTTTCATTATACTCAATTTACTATAATTCTCATGATAAATGATGACACTAAGATTGTAGTCCTGCCCTGTCTCCTAGAGGAGCACAGGGACAGCCACACAACATCACTTAATCGGCTTCACATACATGGGAGTTTAAAAACTATTCATCTCTCTCCTATGCTTAGGCTTCTTATTACCAGACTAATTTCCAACCGTTAACATTTCTGCTATCCCATTTTTCAATTTTTGCCTACAATAGGGATTCTGAACTTCCTAGGGACCACATTGGCCACTTTCAAACCCGTACATTTCTCAGAGCATCAATTAAGCTGAACTGCAAAACCAATGTAAATTAAGTTATAAAAGATGCTGATTTAGTCATCCCATACTTATGTTGGAAAACTGTGTGTGTTTGTTTAAACAGCCAGCTTCTCTGTCAGCTTTTGGTGTGACCAGGAAAAAGAGCTAGGGGTCCCTTTACCTTTACCTTTTAGACAGGAGGAAGCTCTGTTTTCCAGGCCACTCCCAAACCCTCTTTTACAAAAAGGTTGATAATTGGGGATGCATTGGGAAGGTGGAAAGATAAGAGATAATCCTCTGACTACTCAACAGATTGTATAAATCTTTCACCTTTTCAGTTGAGATAAGATCTCAATCCAGCCCAATACCTCCACTGCTGAGCCACTAGGCCATTTCCCCCTCTCAATTTATGTCCGCACCATACATTTAAAGCACATTTATACCATAGCTCCCCCACAAAAAATTCTGAACTGTAGTTTGCTCCTCACCTCACAGAGTGTTTGTTGTGAGGGAGGAAGGGAAAAGGAGATTGTTAGCCACTTTGAGACTCCTTAGGGTAGTGATAAAGCGGGATATCAAATCCAAACTCTTCTTCTTCATTGTTATAATTTGCACCACCCTTATCAGACCACAAGTTCTAGGATGGGGGGTGGGGAACCAAGGGTGTTAGTAATTTAAATCCTGGAAGCTGTAGTTTACACCTCACAGAGCTATGATTCACAGCACCCTTAAACTACAGGTCCCAAACTACAGGTCCCAGGATTTTTGGGAAGGGAAGAAGAGGAGGAGGAGGAGGAGGAGGAGGAGGAGTTTGGATTTGATATCCTGCTTTATCACTACCCGAAGGAGTCTCAAAGTGGCTAACATTTCCCTTTCCCTTTCTCCCCCACAACAAACATTCTGTGAGGTGAGTGGGGCTGAGAGACTTCAAAGAAGTGTGACTGGCCCAAGGTCACCCAGCAGCTGCATGTGGAGGAGCGGAGACGCGAACCGGTTCCCCAGATTACGAGACTACCGCTCTTAACCACTACACCACAGGGGGAACCACGCCTGTACAAGTGGCATAAAAGTGCTTTAAATATACGGTGCGGCTGTGACTCCAGCCCACCACCAGAATAATCTGAGGAACAGAAAAGGAAAGGGGTTCTGGGCCACTTGAGATTACTATGAGAAGTAGTAGAGCATAATACTCCCGTACCCCACCTCTAAGTCCAAGTCCAATGTCAAGTGGTGGTGTTATAAGAATTTTATGGTCTTAGATATATAATAAATGTTCATAAATGTACCAAGCAAACACGTACATAAATATATAAACCACATGTCTGAAGCCGCACAGGAAGACAGTCCTGAAACCATTTTGACTCCCAAGCTGACCAAATGTTTCTCTGCAAGGAGAGAGGAGGTGAAAAAACCTTCCTTGTTACAGGAATTGGGTAATCACCATTTCAAAGGAATGGCCAGACTACCAGGAAAGGCAATTAGATAAGGCATTATCAGATAACCTGGCAGAGAGGAAAAACAACAACATTCAAATTTCTGTTGTAGACCGCCTTTTCTCTGATGTAAATATGATGTATGGAGGGGTGGTCTTGGGCTCCAGGACAGGGAATTTAAAATGTCTATATAAGGGCAGGCACACCTTTGTTCTGGGTCCTCCTCCTTTTCTGTGTGTGAGGGGAGCACCCGGTTGCAACAGATCAATAAAGATCAGGCTTACTAGCTGCTTTGCTTCTCAATATTCTCTGGTTGGTCTCTGTTATTTTCTCCTACCAATAGGGAGCCCACGTAAGGACTCTATATGGGCTCTTGGATACCCCATAAGGGAAAAAGGGCAGCTTTTGTTTACAACAGTGGCAAGAGTTCTCCTTCTCTCTTCTAAGATGTTAGGAGGATAGGAAGCTGCTTTATGCAGAGTCAGACCATTGGTCCATTTAGCTCAGTATAGTCTACACTGACTGGCAGCAGCATTCAGGATTTCAGACTGGGAATCTCTCTCGGCCTTTCCTGGAGTTGCTAAGGCTCAAACCTCCAATCTTGCAAAGCTGATGCTCTATCCTTGAGCCACGCCCCTTCCCCTGTTCATTAGCACCATTTTCTCCCCTCTGCCTTTTGCTAATCTTCTATCCTACAATCCGGACAGATGACTTTATGCCATGTGTTTGGTACAGTCTCAAAACTTAGAAGGTTTTGTGCTTATTTAGTCAGGTTTCACTCATTAAAATCAAATAACCTGGGGAAATTCTGTGAGTTCAGTCTAATTTATATTTGTGCTAGGTTTAAACAAAACATTAACCTTCTGGGTTGTGGGCTGTTGACGTACAAGCCAGCAACCCCACTTACGAGCAGCTCCAGAGTCTCCTGAGAGCAATTCATCCTTGATTCTAAGTAAGTGAGCCTAGGGGAATTTTGTCTCTCATGCACTCACCCGGCTGTCAGAACTTGGGGCCATGGTGTCCGTCATCCAAGAGCCAAATCTGGAGCCTGATGCCCGGATGGTGATGGGGTTGCTTACCCCTGTAAGCTTTCCACACCCTGAAGTACAAAACAGAGAGGGATGAGAGGCTTAGAGGACATGTGAGAAGGGAAAAGCTGGAAGCAGGTCTCATTGGCCAAGGAAAAACAATGTGGCCCACCAGGAAGATTTTTGTCTTGAGTTCAGATTCCTCTTTGGCTATGGGATCCATGGGCAGCCCTGGACAAATCACTGTTCTTTTGTGAGGGGACAAAAGTTTGTTTGGGCCCAATTGCAGTGCCACCCCACCCCCCACCCCCCGTGCAGTGGCTAAATGTGAATGATTAATAAACTCAAGCAGGCAATCGTCTGGATTAGAAAAGGCCACAACTTTATTGATTACAAATTTAGATGGATTTTTGGCTCAGGCATTGGGTGTATATCCATTCCAGCCCCCACGGGGGGGGGGGGGATATTTAATTTTAAAAGGTTAAGGGAACTCAGTTCCCCTGAGTTCCTGCTCAACCCCCCCCCCCCGAGCCTTACTTCAGCACTGATATTACTGCATGATCAACACTGTTGGCTTAACTTGAACAAAACATTTTTTTTTTCCAATTTAGAAAACCACAGCCTCTCAAAGTTGAATTCCAAAAGCATTCAGAATTCTTCAATGACATATTTGAATGAGTTCAATATGTCCAGACTGTGCACTGTATGCTCTGTGATAATTCAGCTCTTGGTTAAGCAACCATACCACTGAATCAGCAGCAGAACCCACAGGCCGCAAATGAAGATGCACATTTGCCCTGCGGATTCTCTTCCACCCATTTTCCCAGCACTTTGCAGTAATGTGGTAAACGTGAGATGCATTGCAAGCTGGATGTGTGGCGACTCATCTGAATTGCCCCTCTGATAAGTGCACCCTAGTGATATTCTGACAGCTCTGCATCTTTTATTTTCTGTTCAGCACAGCAGTAAGGCCCACATGACACCCAGATTATTATTCGCAAGGTATCAGCAGTGCAGCAAAACAGTCTGAGCTCACGAGCCCAAGAGAGCTCACGGCAGCTGCTGCCTGGAAAAGAAAAACATATGGTGTAGCAGCTAATAGAGGAAAGAATTTGCTCCAGATACTACCCATGGGTTGCATTTAGATTTCAGCACACAGAACTGTCTTTGCCCTTTATAAAGGTTCTATAAACATTACCCACATTACATCCGGCTCAAACATGCAGCATCAGTATGTGGTACAGCCCTTCCTGGGCTGTTCCACTTCCAAGTGCAGCTGGAGGAGTTCCTTCACGGGAAGAACTTCCTGCCCAGGGAGAGAGAAGGTTTTAACCTAGATTTCTCTCTGGCATCTCTTCACAAGTGGGAAATTTATACCTGTGGGGGAACATTCAGATGTATGATTTCCTCATTTTCTGTCATAAGTGAGCTTCTGAGGCTGGGGTACTCTCTGTCATGAGCCCCATATGAAAGTGTCATGAAGGAGGTAGTCTGATCTTGAGGAATAATGGGTGGAGATCAGAGAGGTGGAGTCTTACTGGAATGGAGGAAGTGTTGGCAAGACCCAAAGAAATCCAGGAAATGGATTGGCAGCAGTGTGTAATATGATGAGCTTGATCCAGCCAATTGGGGTAGCAGAGGATTGTTCTACTCTGGTGCAACTGGACACCCCTAGTCTGATCCCTCCTGACATAGAACTGCCCCCAGTGCCTCCCCCTGTCAGGGATGAGCCCCCTTCAGAGAAGGAGCCTATGGAGAGCAAATCAGATGCTAAGCTGCTCCACCTCATGAATAGACCTTACAAGCTCACCCCACTCAGAGAAGTACCTGCTTCCTTGCCCAGTCTTGGGGCACAGTTTGTTGCCATGCTAAGTGCCATGTCTTCCTCTCCTTCAAATAGAAGGTGCAGCCAGCATATTGCTTGTTGGCAGGGGCGTAGCATGGGGGTGAGGGAGGCTGTGGTCCTGGGTGCAGAATTCTGAGGGGGCACAACCTGGCACCCCCACGACAGGCTCCCTTTGCCAAGGCGACATGACTGCCACCTTCCAGAGCTGCGGGTAGGTGAGCTGCGCTGGGCCAGGCCTTTGGGGCTGTGGTGGCATCCCCTTCTCCTAACAGGCAAAGGGATGTTCCACCCCAGGTGGAATTCCTGCTGGCTGGAGCCCTGACTTTTCCTGGCCTGCACCAGTTCTTCCCCAGGGTCTCCGTCCCAGTATGTGTTCTTCGGTGAAGTGCACACCTCACAGAGGGAGCACAGAGAGGAGAGCTGTCTGCTTGCCCAGGACCCACCAGCACCAGCCCACACACTACATGACCAGGACAGGTGGCCAGGGAAGAGCTGCACTTGGTGCCTCAGCCTGCTCTCTGTGTCCCTCCTCTTAGACTTGTGTAGCTGCTAAGCCCACCAAGGAGACCAGCTGCTACTCCTGCTGGGAGCTCACTGAGCTGAGAGGGCAAACGTGGCCACTAGCAGGCAATCTCCATGAGCAGCAGCCACTGAAGGCGCAGCCAAGTCTGCATGTTGCCTCCCGAACAATGCCTGCAAGGGGGTTAGGAGCCGCAATCCTTGCCCTACCCTGGGTGCTGCCAACACATGCTACACCACTGCCTGTTGGATCAACAACTCAGCATACACCTAGCCAAGTACCTAATCCTCTTGCGCACCTGGTATACCTTGTAACCATGCCTTGCTCATGTACCTGCACTGATTTAAGCATTAAAGTCTCTGGCAGAAACCAAGCTGGGAGTATGAGTTCTATGTCTGGTAGTGAGAGCCTGGATGCCCTCCCATCCAATGACAGGCTTTTGCTCATCTGGGTGTAGCCTTCCACTTCAGGTCTTGGTTGCTAAGGTGCAAAGGGAGGACCAGTTTTCCTCCAACATTTAGCCAAAAGCAGTGCAAGGAACAGGCAACTCTGCAGACACAAAAAATGGCTCCAGAAAGGTTTGCCAAGTGGTATCCAATGCTGACAACAAGTGAGGAGGGGAGAGGAGGTGGAGGAGGCACAGAAAATAGCTCCATTGCTCTGGCTGGTAGGGAAGTGGATTGATACATGCTGTGCTTAGTTCATCTTTATTAAATGCATTTGCCGTCCTCTCGATCGCTGGGGTGCACTCCTGTTGTCTGTTATTTGGCTTGATTGCAGGCTGTGAAATTCAGGCTTAGGAGAAAATGCACTTGGCTGATGCTTCCGTTTTCAGCCAGGTGTCTTTTCTCTCCCCTTTGCTCTTCATATTGTTACAGATATATGTGTTATCATTCTCCTAGTGTTAAAGTTTTCCAAGCTTACAATAGGGCATTACTTTATTCAAGCTTGTAAAGTGTCATCGCACAATGACTGCTGTAACAACATCGATAATAACAGAGCCTGAGTTTTCCTACCTCAACTCTGCTGCAAGGCAGAGAGAGGAAGCGGGTCACCCACATGCAGCTCAGAGCTGGCGAGCTCTCAGTCTGCTTAATCTGTAAACCAGATAAACAGCTCACAAACAAATCTGCGTGCAAAGTGCTGTCAAAGTGCCTTCATTTTCTCCAGATTCCAGGATCCCAGTTCAAAGCTCTGCTCTCCTCCGACTGAATTTTCCCTCCAGGGAAAATCAGACAAATACCTTGAATGTGCCTGAACAGATCTAATTGCCAGTTCCTGTGGGGCAATCTGTATGTCTTGCCAGAATCTGAGGTTGATAAAATGTCAGTATCTCAGGATGTGGTGCTTTACCTGTCTCAGCTCTGTTTTTTTGGATGTTCCAACTCTAAAGCCAGGGGAAGTTAATAACATTCCCTAAGGAAATCTACCTTCCACACTCAGTTCTGTGAGGGACTTTTACATGCAGACTGCAATGCGGATATGGCAGGGGAGAAATACTTTCACCCTTCAATCTTTGACTTGGACAGTGGCTCCTCATTTGGCAAGATGGTATGGGAAAGTTCTATCAACAGACAATGGAGCCTCCATTTTCAGGAATAGTATGCCTCTGAGAACTAGATGCTGAATACAAAGGAAAGCAGGGGGCTATTGTCCTCATCCCTTGTTTGAAAGTTTTACAGAAGCACCTGATTGGCTACTGTTAGAAAGAGGGTGCTGGACCAGGCAGACATTTTGCCTAAACTAGCAGGGAAAGTTCTTCAGACATATTGGCATGGAAAAGATTAAAATAGCCACTACTCTCTTGCTGAGACAATCTAAGCTGCCATTTCTTTCTTAGCCATAATAGGAAGCATGAGCAACAACTATCCTTTGTCTTACAAACAAGAGCAATTCTATGGTAGGGTTGGGGACAGCTCTCCCAGAGTGGCAAAGGCATTAGAACATTGTTCCTCAGCCTGAACTCCCTGGACCTTGTTGAACTAAAACTCCCACCATCCCCATCCCCATCCTCATCCATCATCCCCATCCTTGAGGTTGAAGAACACTCCTCCAGAGCAAGGATGAGGACCCTGTTTGTCTTCAGAGGTCGTTGGCTTTCACCCACCATCACCCCAGCCAACTTAGGCAATGGTCAGTTTTAGTCCAACAATGTCTGCAGGAGCCCAAGTTCCCAAACTCTGCAATAACAGGCAAAAAGAGGATTGAATACATCTACCACCTCACTTAGAGGGTGGCTTGTGAATCAGTCCATAGAGGAAGAGAGAAGAGGACCCACAAAAGTACCCACCTAGCTTCTGCATGCAAGCATGCAAGCGAGCTTCCAGGACCAGCACACGCTGTTGGAGCTCCTCGTAATCATAGGCTCCCATCTCTTCCTGGATCTGCAGCAAGCTGCCCGAAAGGTTCCTCACTTCTTCTTTCAGCTGCATGATGGTGCGGGTGTCTGACTTGTACTGGTCCAGCACAGGGATAAGTGGCATCAGCTCTGCCATTTTGTCCTTTAGTTCCTGCCGGTGGGGAAATGACAAATCAGAGGGGAAATAAAAGGACACTAGCAAAGGGCTTTGGAACCTGTGGCCCTCCAGGTGATGCTGGTATACAACATCCCATAATGACCATCTCTGGCAATTGGCCATGCTGGCTGGGGCTGATGGGAGTTGGAATACAGCAGCTGGAGAGCAGCAGGTTTCCCATTCCTACCCTAGCAAACCAGCCATTGGCATTCTGCTACCATGCAAGGGCTGCAGGACCTTAGGACCACCCCTCTTTCCACACCATGCCATGTGAGAGAAGCAAAGGTAAAGATAAAGGGATCCCTGACCATTAGGTCCAATCGTGACTGACTCTGGAGTTGCGGCGCTCATCTCACTTTATTGGCTGAGGGAGCCGGCGTACAGCTTCTGGGTCATGTGGCCAGCAGGACTAAGCCGCTTCTGGCAAACCAGAGCAGCGCACGGAAACGTCATTTACCTTCCCGCAGGAGTGGTACCTATTTATCTACTTGCACTTTGACGTGCTTTCGAACTGCTAGGTTGGCAGGAACAGGGACCGAGCAATGGGAGCTCACCCTGTCGTGGGGATTCAAACCGCCGACCTTCTGATCGGCAAGTCCTAGGCTCTGTGGTTTAACCCACAGTGCCACCCACGTCCCTGAGAGCAGCAAAGCATCTAATAAATTCCTGCAATTACCCAGAAACTAACTGGCTGAGATAAGTGAGACCTTTTGGTTTAATTCACCTACTTGCCTGTGCAGCATTAGTTCATAACACTGAGATATCATGAATGAAATCTGGTATGAATTTCCAGGAAGCAATTCTGTGCTCAAGGAAAGAACATTTATTGAAAAAAGCAAGCACATGAACTAATGTCATATCTAGCTTGAAGATTAAAGAATTTATTGATTTTTATTTAAATCATTTATTGCTGACTTTACAGATGGAAAGGCTTCCAGAATGGCCTACAAATCAATAAATAATAATGCAGCTCCTGCTTTCAGGCTTACAATCTAGAAGACATGGCAGAAAAGGAAATGGGGAGGGGGAGGGAAGAGGAATGATGTTGGAATGAGAGCTTGTGGGCATTTTCAGGACACCGTTCTTCATCATGTGATAGTGCCTTGAGCACTCAAAGGCACAGAGACTTGTTTTGATTGTTTATGACACAATTCTTTGAAAGTTTAACGCCAAGTTTATTTAGTATCAATTCTCCAATCAGAACAACTACAGGAAAATATCAAAAGAGCAGATTAAAACATTGACAAAATAACAACCAACAGAGAGTTAGACAGTATTAGAATTCTACAAGTATTCCCAAGGAAATGTAAGCAGCAGTGATCAGACAGCTGGCTAAAACAAGAAAATTTTCAATCAATGGCAGAATACAAAAATGAGGGAGACAATCTGACCTCCCAGGACCTTCCACTTACTAGACACCACTGCAGAAAAGGTGATCTCCATTATGCATCCTATTTTGCAATGTGATCCATGAAATCTCTCAGACATGTTATTTTCTAGTTTAAACTAGAGAAAGATCCAAGGTAAAACATCATGTTTGATGAAACACAAAAATCCAGAAAAAGAGGTGCCAGAACTTGTTCTCTTAGAATGGCAATGACACCCACCTGAGAGGTGCCAGAACTGAGTTTTGGCTGGGAAAGAAAGCCCTGCAGAATACTAACTTTTGTTAGCACATCTCAGATTCATCCTTGTTCATATTCATTGATTGAATTATGATTCAGCAGCTAATTGCTGCCTAAAAGAAGTGTATACATAGAACACAAAATAAAACTGTAGCAAACTGCTATAATTGAGGAAATGCAGTGCCATAAAGCAGGACTGCTGAAAAAGGCAATAAGATACAAAAAGTCCTTGCCTGTATATGGAGGCCTACCTCACAATGGATAGGCAGTCTTAAGTGAAGAATAGAGGCTTGGCTTCTCTGCTCTGTGCTTAGCAGTGAAAATCACTGGGTCTTTCAAACTAACCATCTTCATGGGATTCTGTGAGTCTATAATAAGATAATCCTGAGTTCTTCAGACGAAGTGTGGACTACAAATGGGAATCCCTGGATCTAGGCAAAACTCACCTGTGGAATATTCATGCATATGATAATCACAGAATTATAGAAGTGTAGAGTTGGAAGGGACCATGAGGACCATCTAACCCAACCCCTTGCAATGCAGGAATCTTTTGCCCAATGTGGGGCTCAAACCCACAACCCTGAGATTAAGAATCTCATGCTCTACTGACTGAGAAGGTTCTCAGCAAAGCACTGTTCAATGGGCTTCCTTACCAACAATGGTAGACCCCAACCCTGGGATTCATGGGGGAAGGAGTTATTTGTTGGTGCTTGCAGCTCCAGCCAGCACCCTGCCTCCTAGAAGGACACTGGGTGAGGTGAGTAACTGTCACCACTATAAAGTATTTATGTAGCAGTAGCCTTTCCTCCCCTCATCCTGTTCTGCAGGCTCTCAGAAGAAAGGGATAAGACTTACTGGGCATGGGCCGGATCACTCCCATGGAGATCTCCATGGGCTGGACCGGCACAGCGCAATGCCAGAAATTGCGTCTGCGCCTGCCCAGATGCTGGAAATCGTGCCTGCGCAGAAGCGATTTCTGGTGCCGCGGACATGCGCAGACATGATTTCCGGCAACTGGGCGTGCGCAGAATCCATTTCCAGAGCAGCGGAAGAGAGTCCCTGTGCCGCACTGGTTTAGCGCAGCATGCGGGGACTTGCCGAGTGGGTTTGGGGGCAGGTCATGGGCCGGCTAAGCGACCCTCATGGGCCGCTTCTGGCCCATGGGCCTTAGGTTGCCAACCTCTGGGATAGAGTCAGGCCACATCTCTTTAAGCAAGGGTCAGGGAAGTCAGAACCATGGGCAGCTCATAGTGGCCCTATTGCCTCCTATAGCATCTACTGTATGATGTCATCTCAGCAAAGAGCAGAAGCCTTGTCTAACCTGAAAAGATCTCACCTTCTTGTAGGAGCTGGCTCTGTTTTTAAAAAGGCTCTTGCTTGATTTTGTATCCTTTGGCTTCTGCAAGGCTGAGGAAGGGCTGCTGATGACTCCTGAGACGAAAGAAAGGGACCCTTCTTCTGGCAGGGAGGCCATGGGGGAAGGTACTAACAGATCTTCCTTGGGTGAACCAGCCTGTACCTTGCTCTCCTCTGAGTCTTCCTTGCTATATTGGGTCCCAGGGGGGATGGGAGAGGAAGTTGACACAACATCTGGGCCATTGTGTGGGAGTGGGAAATGAGTGCCCCTTTTTTGTGGCAATGGCCATTTCACCTCAAAATAGCCAAGAAGATGAGTCATCTTCCAAGACACCGTTGAAAACAGAAATTGTGCCTGGAAGCCTAGGAATATGTCAGCAGTGGACCTTTCTGGGGCTTCAGCAACTGCCTGGAGATGCCAGGGACTGACAACATCCCTAAATTTGTGTGCTACAAAACAGTAGTATATCATCAGCTAGTTTCTCTTTCCATTCAAGCACAGCAACATTGCATTGCTCTCTTTCACCTTCCCCTAATGAAGATCAAAGGCTTCCTATCTTGTTTACCACAGGCCTGTTAATGATGACAGAACTCCTGGAATATGGTTAGGGAGTCATAAATATGCACAAGGCATATTTTGCCTCCCAGATTCAAAATCAGTAATAATGCTTATGCTAACTCTGGTTCATTCCAAGCACTTTAAAAACACTACCTAATTCCTCACTACAGCCCCAAATAACACCCCTCATTATTTGGGATAGTGAGCAAGACCTAAGCAAGGAAAACTGCACCCACAGTTTGAAGGAGGGGGAACCCAGCCCATTACAAAGGTTTGGTATGGGAATCTTGTAGATGTTTACCAAGAGAGAGCAAGCTTCCTCCTGTGGACAGATGCTCCATGCCATCAAGAGCTACATCATACACACTCTAAACATAAGAGAATAGCCCTGCTGGACAGGTCAGAAGCTCACCAAGTCCAGTATCCCATGGGAAGCCCAGAAGCAGAATCTGAATGCAATGATACTCTTCTCGCCATTCTCAGCAATACTCCCTCTGACGCTGGAAGTAGGACATAGCTAACATGGGTAGTAAACAAGCTGGTTCTAGATAAGGCTCAGTTCCCCACCCCTGCCAGCATGAGAGGTGGCAAGTATTTGGAGCAGAGGGGTCAGATGACTGGAGGCATACACAGCCGAGAGGCTTCTCACAAGAATGTGGTGGCCAGGCTGAGAACCACTCTAGATGTAGCTTATGGAGGACTTTTCACACTTTCCTTCATTGCCCTCTCAGGTGCCATACCTGCCTTTCTTCCTTCTTGCTGTATGTAGCCAACAGCAGCCGCTTTAGAAAGAGGAAGGAATATTTACATTAGGAAAAGGGCAAAGGGAGAAACACTGTTTCCCAGAGCATCCCCAATTTTCAAAGCAACCACAAGGGGCTACAAACTGGTAAAAAAAAGAGAGAGAAAAAGGAGGGTGCAGGAACAGAACAAAAACCCATAGAAAATCAGAAGTGCAGTGTGACATATCCACTTTGGTTCTAAGAGAGTGCAGCAGATCTGAGTTTTATAAACAGGCAGCACCATGGAATTGGCTCTCTGGAATCACATGCTTGCCAAGAGTAAGAGGACTCTGGCCTGCAATGTGAGTCTCCCAGCAGTTTCCTTCTTCAGTCAGATGTCCTTGTGGTGAAGCGAGAACTTGCAGGGCAGATCCCAAAATTCTGCCAGTGGAATGCTCCATGATTCCAAAGAGTACAGGCGGGAGCCCCTCTTGAATGTGGGTGACCTTTGGGTGATAAAAGTCCCAGTGACAGGCTAGGAAGAGACATGTACAAGGACATTCTTACAGACCCATTTTGAGAATGGCCCTTGTGGTCTCTTCCAACTCTATGATTCTATGATTCTAAGTTCATCTTGTATTGAATTAGACAGTTGCTCCATCTAGTATAGCACTGCCTACTCTGGCAGTGGCTCTCCAGGATTTTAGAGGGTGGTCCTTCCCAGTCCCACCTGCAGATGCCAAGGACTGAACTTTGCATACAATGCAGGGGTTCTGCAGCTGAGCTATGGCTCTTACTTAATTAGTGCTAATTACATGATTTACTGACGGTTTCCAATCCTCAGCCCCACCCTGAGTATATAAACCTGAAATCCAGGATGACACCCCATATTTTTCCTCAGCCCACAAATGTTACCACTTTCCCTGCCCACTATCAACGGAACAAAAGGTACGATGGGCTGGAGAAGTGAACCTTCACCAGCTCAAGAAATCATTGCCTGGCACAGGCTGCCAGTAGTGGCAGAACATAATAGCTAGAGAAGCGTTGGCATTGGGAATTAAAAGAGGCCTGTGAAAATATGAATAGGAACATAGGAATCTTCCTTACACTGAGTCAAAGCATTGTCCATCTAGCTCAGCACTGTCTACACTGACTGGCAGCAGGCTTCTGCAGGGTTTCAGGCATTCCCAGCCCTACCTGGAGATGCCATCGGGGATTGAACCTGGGACCTTCTGTGTGCAAGGCAGATGTTCTGCTTCTGGGCCACAGCCCTTCCTCCACAGAGTGGGCAATGTAGAGAAGCAACTCTCTCTCTAAATCTCTCTCTTTCTTATAACCATTGAATATGAGAAGGGTCACCTTGGTGGAAGGACCAGGTGGAAATGGAGCCAGGCTTCCTGCCTCACAAGCCCGCCCACCTGCAGCATGTTAAGACACTGCACCGAAAGCCTCGTGCTGGTGGAGGCCTTCACAGGTCAAGCAGGTCGACATCCAAAGGTGAGACACAAGGCAGGTGCCAGTGCTGCTGGCCTTTGGCAATCCTTGCGTCATCTTCTGGGCTCTCTGAACTTTAAAGGCCAGATCTTACTTGCTGGGGAGGGCCAGCTGTGTGCAGCCGGTGGCAAGCTGAGAGACTTAAAGGTGGGAGAGAAATTGCTGCTGCATTTTTTATGACCCTGGCTGAGAGTGAAAGTGTGTTTGTGAAAGAGGGAGGGGGGAGGGGGGGAGGGGTCATGAACAAACAGCAGCAAGGAAGGTGGAACCTTTGGAAGAGAAAGTGTAGGTGATGTGGAGAAGGCGGGGGAAATGGCTGAGCTTGCTGACATTTGCACATAAAGCAAGGAGAAGAGGGCTCCAAATGAAAAAAAATTTGAGGGAGGGTTGGAATGCTGAAAAGAATGAGGGCAATAAATATGGTGGGGGTGCATGCAGTGCAGTGAAGCAGGCAGCACAGAATGTGTTGGAAGATGCAGAGGATAGCATAAGAAACAGAACATGCAAATTAGCTGGGAAATCTTGGGCTGTCGCTGACGTAAAATATGGTGTGAGTGTGTGTGTGTGTGTGTGTGTGTGTGTGTGTGTGTGTGTGTACAAACAACCGGATATCAACTGCTACACTTAATGAACAGTGCTGGCTCCAGGGTTTTGTTAGTTCCGTAGACTGAGACACTCTCCATGGACCGTCTTAATCTGGAGCAGGTTGGTGGAGCAAACATAATTCTCTCAAAAGGCCCCTGACCTCCTTGGGATAACAGGCCCTTTGACAGCTACTGAGCCCTGGCAAGGATCACTAAAGATGGAACCATTGCTTGAAATAAAAACAGATACAGCAAGCCTTGTGTGGGCTCTCCTTACATCACTCTTAGAGCTTTTCTCTCTCTAAAATTTCAGCTGGTTCAAGTGGTGAAGCTTTCCCTGCAGTTACTTAAATCTGCAGTTGAGGATGGAGGAAACTGTGTGCAGTATTTTGAATGCTTCTCTGTGTTATGTGTCAGGGACTACTGGGGCTAGAACTGGGGGACTTTGGTTCTGTTTGCAGCATCCCCATGTGGTGAGCTTCTGGAACTGCAGCTTGGAACAACTTTTTGGGGGTGGTTGGAGTACGACTCTCAAGCTTTGGTGGTCTGGCCCCACCCTGGCTAATGGGTGCTCCTAGGCAGGAAGGGCTATCAAATGCCTCCCATTTGGGCCTGAGCAACAAGGTCTCCCTGGCTTTACTGCATTCCTCAGCTCGCATATGATAGCTGCTTATAGGTCAGCCCTGATCCAGAACACACACACACCCCAATATGCGAGCAAGAAGGCTCTGCTGGGTGCTTCCTTCTGTCCTGCTGGCTTTGGTATGCAGCATATGGCAGCAGAGTCTGGTAACTCTTTGCCAAGGGACAGCAAGCCCCCCCCCCCCGGCCAGGCTTTTGTTCGAGGAAACATAAAATTTGTGACCCCCCCCCCCAGTTGCAGCCTAACATGGTGCAGTCCAGGAAAAGCTTTAACACTTGACTCTTTTGAATGTATAAATTGCCCCTTTATTAACTGATTTTAATTTTGTTCTTACTGAGAAGCTGCAAAAATCAAGGTGGGAACCCTTTGCAGAGCAGAACAGCATCCTGTTTTTGTATTAGCCACCCCCACGTCAAATGCTAACATTGGCAAAGTAGGCTCTACTCTACCTGATCTCAGGGTGCTTCTGTTTATGGCAAGTGGGGTGTCCAGACTAGCATTACCCCACCCCCAAATATGTCCCATAACATACCAACATTACCTGGTTCTCCCATCCCATGTCACGTCCCCAATTAATGCCACTCTTCCATATCTGTTTTTGTTCTCAGGAAGGTAGTACCAAACCAAAAATACAATAAATGCAGATGGGTCTTGAACCAGGAACTTCATGGTCTCAGGCAGCAGCCTAGCCTAGCCTATTATCCAGAAGTGTATGCATTCAGTATCTTCCGCTGGCTGCATTCCAGATCCCCTGGAGCTGAATACTCAGTCCAGATCTGATTCAAGAGATGAGAAGCCAGGCTCTGACACTTACTATAGCTCAGCAGAGCATATGATGGTCCCATGTCCAACCCATTGGCATATCCACTTTAAGAAAAAGATCCAAAAGCAGTTAATGTGAAAAAACACTGCCTGTGCCCCCGGGCAGCTGCTGCCAGCCAGAATAGACAATACTGAACCAGGTGGATATAAGAGGATGACCTGGTATACAGCAGCTTCCTTGTGATATTTGGGAGCCTGCACTCAAAGTGAAGATCTTTGCTCCTTGTGGACAAGGACATGTAGTTAGTTGCTGGTTTGCTCTGGGAGAGGTTCAACATTCAGCAGGCAGCTGCCAGGCCTAGCCCAGGATGGGTGTACTTGTGAAGAAGCACTCAAGTCTATTTTTCCAAGAAGCAGGCTGACCCATCTACCAGGCAGTGTATCGACCTGGGCATAAGTGCTCCAGTCTGCTACTTGATATAGGACAGAGACAGATAATGGGCTAAAGGATCCAGGCTAGCATTCATAATGGCACATTTGAAGTGTTTGTTCTGCATCACTTTGACTATTAGTAGCCAGCAGGGACATCACTTGTGCGTGGAACGCAAGCTTTACTAGCAGAAGGTCCCTGGTTCAATCCCTGGCATCTCCAGGTAGGGCTGTGGAAAAGGCTGCTGTCCACCATGAAGAGCCACTGCCTGTCAGCGTACTGTAGACAATATTGAGCTAGATGGGTCAACTGGTCTGACTGTGTATAAAGCTGCTTCCTAAATTCCCACATTCCTACAGTGGAACAGTCTCCCTTGGGAGGTGGTGGGTTCTCCTTCCTTGGAGGCTTTTAAGCAGAGGTTCGATGGCCATCTGTCATGGGTGCTTTGGCTGAGATTCCTGCGCTGCAGCGGGTTGGACTAGATGACCCTTGGGGTCCCTTCCAACTCTACAGTTCTATGATTCCTAGTGAAAATGGTGTGTAACCTGTGGAAGTGCTGGGCCCTAAAAATGAGCTCAGGAAGAGGACAAGAGTGAACAACAGGATAGTTTTTTGGGGGGGGGGGAGAGAATGCAGGAAAATATAATAATAATCATTAATTGCTTTAAAAGAAAAACCTATTCTTGGGTGGAAAAAAACGACTCTCTGGCTATACACGTGTGCTCTCAAAAGGAATGGATGGCACAATAGCTGACAACATAAAACGATGAGAAATGGAGTAAACTGAGTAGAAATTTCAGTCAACTTTCTTTCCTCTCAGATACCACACAATGCTGGAGGGGCAAAGGGATAAGCTGACCCATTCACTCTGCCAACCCCAGACACAGTAGTCTATTTTCTAAACAATTTAGTGATTCCCCCTTGCCCAGGGCAAACAGAGAGCATAACAATGAAAAAAAAACTGGAGCATGTCTGCGCACATTTCTGGCCATGCACGAAAAAGACACTGGAGAAATGAAACTGCCTGCAATGTAAGCAAGCAATGAAAGCTGTATGGTTTAGAATTGTTTGGGCATGATTTATTTTTTATACATGTTAAAAAGAAAACTAAGTTATAATATAAAGAAAACAGAATTAAAGAAATAAGGATATTAAGTATATTAGGTTTAGTGGATTTTAGAAGAGATATGAACGCTTGAATAAATGTACAAAAAATAAGTCATAATCAGAAAAAAGCAGGACCAGCATATTCTGCTGACTTCTCCATAGGTGGTGTTCTTTGTTCAGGGGTCCAGGCAGCCATGCCCTTGTTCACAATATTTCTTTCCCCCCACCCTCCTTTTTTTAGCCTTTTGTTTCTATCTGACAAGCACCATATTGAGACTGGGATGGCTTGCTGTTGTGGGGTTTGTTTGTTTGTTTGTTTGTTTGTTGGAGGAGGGTTGTCTAAACACTTTCAGATGGATTCCCCCAAGCATTCATAAGAACACCCAAAGAGCCCAACTGGATCAGGCCAATGGCCCACCAAGTCCAGCATCCTGTTCTCACAGTGGCTGACCATTGTCCATTGGAAGCCCACACATAGGACCCAGGGCAACCGTGCTCTCCCCACCAGTTAATTCCTAGCCACTGGTATTCAGACTGTGGAGACAGAAAACTCTAATACCTCCTTCTTGCTTCTCAGTTGCTTCATTTTGGCTCCAATTCTGCTGGCACCCAGCGCCTGTGTTTGCTATTAAAGGGAGTGATACACTGCAATGTTCATTTCTTTTGGCATATGTTGATGAAAGACTATCTATTTAAAGATAAGGGATGGAATTCTAAGATGGCTACTGCTGCAGGAGTCACAGACACCAAATACTGGAGACAAATTAATATACCAACTGCCAAAGAATTGCTGTAATTTACTTTCAGTCAAAAACTATAAGCCGATCACACTCTTAAATAATGATTATAAACTTTATGCTAGTATCTTAGCAAAGACCAAAAACTGTATTAAATGATATAATCCACCAAGATCAAATGGGCTTTCTTCCTGACCAACATATGAAGGACAACACAAGGCATATAATAGACATAATGGACTATCTGGAGGCCAGGAATGACAAGCAAGCAGCTTTGATGTTTATTGATGCGGAGAAGGCCTTTGACAATATCTCATGGACTTTTATGAAAAAGACTATGGAAAGGATGGAATTTGGAGGATCATTTCTTAAAGGAATAGGCGCTATATACTCTGAGCAGAAAGCCATGCTGATTGTTAATAATGTACTGACTGAAAAATGTGATATTACTAAAGGAACTAGACAGGGTTGTCCCCTGTCACCATTATTGTTTATTTTAGTCCTAGAAGTCCTTACAAGAACTTTAAGAGCAGAAGAAGGAGTGAAAGGAATTTTGTTGGGGAACAGAGAATATAAATTGAAAGCCTTGTGGAGAATCTTGTAATAACATTTGGAGAACCTTTGACTAGTATACCAAAGGTTCAGGAGTTTGGACAAGTTGCTGGTTTTAAACTTAATAAGACAAAAACCAAAATGTTGGTTAAAAATATGACAGTACAATGAAAAGAATTGTTACATCAGATCACAGAAAAAGTGTGGGAGAGTCCTTGCCAGATCTGAAGTTATATTATGAGGCATCCTGCCTTTGCTGGCTTTGGGATTGGATTTTGTTAAAAGAAACAGATCTGTTGGATCTGGAAGGACAAGATAATAGGTTTGGGTGGCACGCATATTTATGGTATGAAAAAACAAGAGTGCATAACGGATTCTTGAACCACCTGGTAAGAAAAACAATCTATGAGGTATGGGATAGATACAAAAATCTATTGGAGCGGAGAACACCATGGTGTGTCAGGGATCAGGTTGGGGAATACGACTCTGATGTGTGGTGGGAACCCCCCCCCTCCCCCTGCTCAGAACCAGAATCTTGGGGCTCCACAGAAGCAGGAGAGTAGTATTGACCTGGAACAATGGTTTGCTGAGGGACACAGTTCGGAGGATGGGAGTTGGGCAGAATTGGGAGGCGAACAAAAGAGGCAGAACAGAAGGAGAGAGAGTTAACCAAATCTCTCTCACTGGAAGATATACAGCTTCTTAGTCCCAGGGCTAGGAGATTGGATAAGCTAACTTCGCAGAAGGCTAATTGGTTGAGAGTTTGGGTAAATAGGAAATGGGAAGATGGAAGTGACTAGAGGAAAGTGGGAGGAACTTAACTGGGAGCACCTACAGTGTGAGAATGGTCATTTGTTCTTTTGCTGCATTCATTAAACATTTCTGTTGCTGTTAAGAGACTGCTTTCTCTTGCATTGCTTATCTAAGGTCAAAGTAAGAAGAAAGCTGGCCCCGAAGCCTGACATGGTGGCTCTCTCCATTGGAAGCAATTTCGGTTATATATTGAAGATGAGAGGGGAGTGGGCCACCTATAAAGATTTGTTAAGAGAAGCAGAAGACGAACTAAAATTGAAAAAAATTGAAGACATAAGAGATAACTAACAGATTGGTTACAGTACCATCAATTAAACAATGTTTTTAAAGTAGATAAGAAAAAGGTTTTGATACAGAGAGATCTGTTGGAAAATAACCTGAAAGTACTTTCAAAAATTTACAAATTACTTTTAGAATGGTATACAAAAGACGAAGAAGTTAAGGCAGTGATGATTCACTGGGCAAGAGAATTTGGACATAATAATATCCAGTTTTCATTATGGGAAAAATTACGGAAAGAGGATTAAAAATTTATTGCATGTTGTTCGTTGAAGGAAAGCTATATGAAAATGATGTACCATTGCTATCTAACACTGAGTAAAATTTGCAAAAATGTATAGAACCAGTTCAAATCTGTGTTGGAAATGTAAAGGGAAAGAGGGTACCTTCTACCATATATGGTGGTCTTGTGGAGTGGTAATAGCTTTCTGAGAAATGATATATAATGAGTTAAAGAAAATGTTTAAGAAAACGTTTGTTAAAAAAACCAGAAGCATTTTTGTTAGGTGTAATAGGAGAAGAGAAGACAAAAGACTTTTTATGTATGCAACGACAGCAGCAAGAATGCTTCTAGCCCAGAGATGGAAGGAGGGAGGAGTGCCATCCAGGGAAGAATGGCAGAGTAAGTTGATGGAGTATGCAGAGATGGCGAGACTGGAGGGAAAGATCAGAAATCAGGAAGGTCATGTATTCCAAAAGACTGGAGTAAATTTTTAATATACCTAAAAGACTCTAAACGGTTAAAATCATTGGCAGGGATACAATGACGCTTGTAATGTGAAATGAACTTTGGTAACTATGGATATATAACAGACAGATAACGGTAAAAGAGGCAGGAAAAGAAAAAAGAATATTTTTTCATTGAATATGGAACCCATGGAGGGAGGGATGTCCGAAGGTTTAAAACAGGGGTCAGCAAACTTTTTCAGCAGGGGGCCGGTCCACTGTCCCTCAGACCTTGTGGGGGGCCGGACTATATTCTGAAAAAAAGAAAGAATTCTTATGCCCCACAAATAACCCAGAGATGCATTTTAAATAAAAGGACACATTCTACTCATGTAAAAACACGCTGATTCCTGGACCATTTGCAGGCTGGATTTAGAAGGCAATTGGGCCGGATCCAGCCCCTGGGCCTTAGTTTGCCTACCCATGGTTTAAAAGAACCTTTTATTTTAATGTTTTGAAACGGTTAAAGTTGAAATGTATAAAATTATATAAAACCAATGATTTTTTTTTAAAAAAAGAAAAAGAATTGCTGTAGAAAAAGGTAGGAACATACAGTGGTTCCTTGGGTTATGTACTTAATTTGTTCTGGAGATGAGTTCTTAACCTAAAACTGTTCTTAACCTGAAGCACCACTTTAGCTAATGGGGCCTCCTCCTGCTGCTGTGCCGCCACTGCACAATTTCTGTTCTCATCCTGAAGCAAAGTTCTTAACCTGAGGTACTATTTCTGGGTTAGTGGAGTCTGTAACCTGAAGCGTATGTAACCTGAAGTGTATGTAACCCAAGGTACCATTGTACCTTGACATAATAATGACATAATAATATGATGAAATAATAATAATAATAATAATAATAATAATAATAATAATAATTATAGAGGCTTCATCTATTAAGAACTGGATGCCTTTTAAAAATTAATTTTTGTAATGCGAACCAATTACAGTGGTACCTCGTGTTACGGACAGGATCTGTTCCGGAGGCCTGTCCGTAATGTGAAATGCCCGCAACTGAAACTGCTGTGTCTGCGCAGGCGCATGGTGCGATTTGGTGATTCTGCACATGCGTGAGTGGTGAAACCCGGAAGTAACCCATTCTGGTACTTCTGGGTTGCCGTGGGATGTAACGCGAAAAGACGCAACGTGAAGCGGATGCAACACAAGGTATGACTGTATATATAAGTGTACAAGTTAGGTTTATGTTATGATCTAACATGTATCATACCTCATTATGCTCCCTAATAAATATTTTTCCAATTCAAAAAGGCAGAACTTGGGGGGGGGGGGATGATAAAAATTATGTGTGGATATCTTTAAAGTACTCACTATACTTTAAGGTGGACCATTTGGCATGATGCTTCCACTTCCATGTTTACGTGGAATGAATCTGCTTTTAATACTGAAAATGGAAACGTCTTCCACTGCTTTATGCTTGTGCCAATGTGGAAGAGTGACATGGGCTGGATAGAAGCATAGAATCATTCTATGGAAGAGCTGGAAGGGACCCCGATAGTCCTCTAGTCCAACCCCCTGCAATGCAGGAATCTCAACTGAAGCACCCAGGACAGACGGCTATCCAACCTCTGCTAAAAACCTCCAGTGAAGGAAAGTCTACAACCTCCCAAGCGAGTCTGTTCCACTTTCAAACAGCTCTTACTGTCGGGGTTATAAAACCTCTTTGAATAGTATCATTGTGTAGGTTGTTATCTCAACATCAGAGGCCCCCTTGACTTAAAGTGTCCTGTTAAATGCTTGTTTGTACATGAGAGCTAATTAGGCTCCTAACAGCTTGATACTGTGGAACATCTGCCCAATGGCTGTATCTCCACCTCAACCTGCCAGAAACTGCTCCACTTACAGTCAGCTTGGGTCAGAGGTCATTCCTGCGGTCTCAGTGGCAAATGGCAGCCATGACCCGGTGTGTTGGCATGTCAGAAAGGCTCCATCCATTCTAATTAGACTGGCAATGCCAGGCCAGCATTGCTATGCAGGGGGCAAGGGGCAGAGGCTGGGTTTGGGCACATCCAGTGGAAGGAAGTCAGTGCTTACTGGCAATGCCTAGGGGAGGGATAGCTGGCCTCAGTTTCCAAGAAGAACTGTGGAACAAAAAGATCAACACTAAACAAAGACAATAATGGGAGTTAAAGAGCAAATAAATTGGGGTGAACAAAAAAGGGGGAGAAATCCAGTTCTCTGAAGCAAGAAAGCTAAATTAAAAGTAAAGCAAATTCTATAAAGAGAAAGGCAAAGCATGTAGAAATTGTCAGAGGTGAAAAGGGCCATCCTCCAAATGCAAATGGTGTCAGGTACAATCCCTGGTGTATCCAAGTAGGGTTGTGAGGGACTCTTGTTTTCAAAGATGGAGAGCTGCTGGTAGTCAGTGTCAACTGTATTGAACTAGGTGCACCAATTGCCTAACTTGGTGTAAGGCAGTTCTTGTCTCCCTAAGAGATAGGGGGAAATGGAAATGTTTGAGCTAAGGTCAATATTTATACCTTTAGGTGTGTGAACAGAATGGGGTATGAAAATATGGCATGCAAGTGGATGGACTGCAAGAGCAAAGGTGTGGGCAACCTCACATTTTGGTTATTGCTTCCTCTTTTGCTAAGCAGATAAGAATTATCTACCTCAAGCCATGGCTATAAGTTATTTGTTGCATTAAAAGATAACAATCCAGTTGTGGGGTAGGCACTAGGTCCACTGCCCCACTCCACTTTGAGCACTGAGTAAATATGATTTTTAGGTAAATAGATCACAAAACAATTAAAAAAAACCTTCTGAGTTCAGAGAACTGAGATGTTAATGGAGCGGCGGGGGTTGGGAGAGGGATGTGTTGCATTTGCCAACAAAACTGGAGCGTTAGCTGTGCCCCAGGGCATAGTGATGAGAAGCGACCTTGGGGTGAAAAAGTCATGCAAAAATATACAGTGCTTTTCACTGTGTGTGTGTGTGTGTGTGTGTGTGTGTGTGTGGTAGGTGGGAATAGAGTCTTATTTTGAAAGGTCAGGCTCCATATCTGGCTATCCAAGTGGAATATGTTTTCCCAGGCACCTGGGAAAGAAAGAAGGGGCAAAGATAATGAGAGTACCTAGTATCATCAAGAACATAAGCCCTGCACTGCTGAGGAGCACAGGAAGCTGCCAGCTTAGACAGTGTCAGACTATTGTTCCATCTAGCCTAGTACTGTGTACAATGACCAGCAACAGCTCTCAAATTTCAGACAGGGATCTCTCCCAGCTCTACCTGGAGCAGCCGAATTGTACCCAGGACCTTCTGCATGCAAAGCAGATGTTGTACCACTGAGCTATAGCTTTTCCAAATGTCTACTCATCTAGAATCCAGTTCCCAACTATGACTAACCAACAGGTTGGGAGGCTCCAAAGCAGTTATGGCCTTTCCTTCTTGTTCATCCCCTGTTTGCAGACATCTTGCCTTGGAGCATGATGGGTCCAATAGGCTATCATGAATGTTGGCCTTCAACAGACTGATCCTCTTTTTCTTTTTTTTTAAGCCAAAGACCATCACACCCAGTGTCAGGAGTCTGGCTACCATGTAGCCATGGGGAACGGAATGTGGTTCCACTGATGTCAACATGGATGGGTCAGTAGAATCCACCTGAACAACAGTTTCATGGGACTAGACCTTGGGCTGGGTCAGCATAGTTGGGCACCTATTGAGACCCACAACCTTCTGCCTAGGGATCCTTTGCCCTCCTCCTCCTCCTTGCTTTTGCTACCTATCTATCTACATGTGAGCTGTGCCAAGACCAAGGAGAGAGAGCAGCAGCCTTGCCCTCTCCTTCTACATAGGTGGAAGTGCAAATCAGACCTAGGGGGAAAGGACAAACAATGGGCAGTGGTAAGGAGGTGGGCCCAGGGAGGTGCCTGGACCAAGGGCATCTTGACCAGTTCCCCCACCAAAACTGGAGCCAACACTTGGTGAAGTAGCACTCAGGCTCAAGGGGAAAGCCTGTAGCTCAATGGGTATAGCACCTGCTCTGCATGTAGAAGGTCTCAGGTTCAATCCCCAGCATCTTGGGAGAGAGTTGGGAGAGAACCTTACCAGAAATCCTGGAGAGCCACTACTAGCCAGTGTAGACAACACTGAGCTAAATGAATAAATGACATGGCTCAGTATAAGGTGGCTCCCTATGTTCCACGAGGATAGGAAGATAACCCAGGCAAGGGTGGATAGAAAGTGAAAGCAGCAGAGGGAGTAGGTTAATGATGTCTAGGTAGAAAAGATGACCCTGAAGTAAAAGATAATAAGTCACTGAAGCAGCATAAGCTAGAACTTCAGTGCAGGCTGAGCTGGCAAAAGGAGTTTATATAGGTTTAGAGACCAACCAAAAGGCTGAGCTGGGCATCAGTCAGGCACTGAAAAACCAGTTGAGGAACTGGAGAAAGGTCAGAAGACACTCTTGCTGACCAGGTCTCCACTCTTGAGGTGACTTTGTTCAGAGAACCAAAGCCACTATCTTTATAAACATAATGGGCTCCAAGCTCTGGGACCCAAGAAACCGGTACATTTCCCCCCACGGAGCTCGGCTTCATCAAGGTGGCCCACTGGTCAAGGGCTAGCCCTGAACTGATCATAACCCAGCATGCACCTGGACCTATCAAATGTTGGCACATGGATCTAGAAGGGAATCATAGACCCCAGCAGGCCAGTTGTCTAATCAAGAGACCTTCCAAGGGGCCACCCCCATCCCAGCTGTCTCTGGGATGGCATGGCATTCTCTGGCTCACTGCTGCATTCTCAACCATGCACACACACCAGAGGCCCATTATTCTCAGCAAAATGTCTCTAATCACTCTGGCTGGGGTTGAAAAATTACCAAGAAAGGTAATTGAATGGCAAAGGGCCCAGAATATGGATGGCCTGGGCTCATTTATCAGCAGCACCGATTCCTCCTCACAGGTGCCTGGAGGGAGGCAAAGGGGGCTTGTTGATTCGCTTGGTTTTTTAATTGCAAATGTGATACTCCTCTGGCTGATTCATGAGTTACGTCTGCGAACAGAGAGTACCAAGAGCAACCAGCTCCAAGGCAAAGCAATCAGTTCCCTGGCTCACCTTCTGCAGCATATGCCCTGACTCTGGGGAAAGGCCAGAGTGAAATTGCTGCCGCCAAGGAAAAATGCTAGTTGCTTCTAAAAGACCCAGAAACAGTCAGTAACCACTTCTGGTGTTATTCAACCACTTCATATCTTTCAGGTGGGCATTTGAAGAAGAAGAAGAGGAGGAGGAGGAGTTTGGATTTGATATCCCGCTTTATCACTACCCAAAGGAGTCTCAAAGCGGCTAACATTCTCCTTTCCCTTCCTCCCCCACAACAAACACTCTGTGAGGTGAGTGGGCTGAGAGACTGCAAAGAAGTGTGACTAATCAAAGAAGTGTGACTAATTAAATGTGTAATGTGCAAACATGGCAAATGCATGTCTGCAAACAATCAAGGTACGCTAATCGGAGAACAGTGACTGGCTACCATTCCCCCTCGAGCATGCAATCAATGGTGAATGTGGGTTTTTCTCTGTATAATACACAGAGTAGACCTATGGCTTGCTAAGCATCAGCCATGAGACACGATAGACACGGACTTGTTCAATAAGGCTGCCATAAGACTGCATAGGAAATTCTTTTGGGAGTGAGTCCCATTCAGCTCAATGGGATTTGCTTCTTAGTAGATGTGCAAAGAATTGCATTGTAAAGTGGTCTTTTTCTTTGCCATTGACATTGAGCATCCTTGGGGAAGAAAATGAAAATTGGTTGGCTGATTTGCTGCACTGGCATACCTTGCCTCAACTTCCGTTTTATTATTTATTTATTTTTAATGTCTTTTTTTATTAAAGATTTCTTGGTTTACAAAAGTATGTGCAATGTCTCTTTTTTTCAAGTTACATTTTCTACAGATCAGTTTCATTTGCTGAGACAGCTGCCTTTATAGCTTGGCCTCACTGGACAACTTGTAGCCTTTTCACAGTCAGCTTTCCCAGAGTTCTGCTCTCCATGGTGCTGAAGTGCTCAAATAACTGTGGCCAGCATGGCTGTTACCCTTCTCAGGATGTGGCTAAAGGTGCAGCCTCATCATCAGCCCAAAGAAAGAGGTATATGTACATCTGAACATATTAACTTCCCAGCTGCCTCTATGCAAGGCACAAGTTTCTTTTAAATATTTATGTTATGTAAGGTTTATCTGATGATGTCACACTTGACAGTTCAATATGAACCTTACCAGCCACAATACAAACCTTACCAAGGAAACTGGCACAGGCAGTCTGGAGTCTTAGAGGGATAGTCTATGGCAGCTTTCCCCAACCTGTTGCCCTTCAAATGTTGTTGGACTCCAGCTCCCATCAACTCCAGTCTGCATGGCCAATGGACAGGGGTGATGGGAGCTGTGGCCCAGCAGAGCACATGCTTTTGCATCAGAAGGCCCCATTTTCAATCCTTGCTGTCAGGTAGTAGATTATGGGAAAGGCTCATGCCTGAGACTAAAGAGAGCAGTTGAGAGTCATAATCTGTAATGCTAGACTAGATTAACCAAAGGTGTGGTTCTTAGGCATGAACCATGATCCTCAACCTTTACTTAAACAATAAGTTTCTAACATTTGTAAGACACAAGATGAGTCAAAATGCACAGATACTATTCTCCACATTGTAATGGTGATTTTTACCATTTCCCCAAAGTCCCAGATAGCCTTCCCTTCACAGCAACTTTCAAAACATGGTCCGTACCCATCTCTGCTGAGGATGTTCTAAAGACAGGGTGGTTTGTTTGTGGCTGGCTCATTCATTGCATCTCTTGCATTTCTTTTATTGTTGCACATCAAGGAAAACTCAAATCCTGGAATACTTTTGATAATCGGTCAAATACTTTGGCACGGTGTTTCCTGAGCTTGTGTTCCTTGACTAAGTGTATGCATGTGGCAATGGGACCCCAAAAGAGCCACTGGCCATCCAGGGGAGGAGCTTCATTTTTTATTTTTATCTATCTATGCATTGAGAGGTGTTTTTCTTTTCAATTTTGGATAAGTCACTCTACTTCTGCTTCCTCCCAAAAGAGATGGGGCCGGGCTATTTTCCATCAGTGCTTTGATAGAAATCACCACTCCATTTCTGCCCCCTTCATTCTCTTTTAATCAATCACTTTATTATGACCAATTTGTGCAGCACTTGGTCATTCCCCCAAACTGCCACCTCACTCTCCAGCAGCTGCTGAGTAGGAACCATGCCCAGTTTGCCCCTCCCTCTTTTGCCATATTTCTTCTCACTGTCCCCTGATTTCCCAGCAGGGGTGCCTGGGCTGTACTCCTGATCCATTGGCTGGGTTACCAGCAGCCCCTGGGGCCCCACTGCCTACACACTGTGACTAAAACTAACCAAGCTGTTGGCTGCTGCTCTGATATTTAATCAATGCCTTGGCTGCTGCAGCTGTCAGGCTCAAGGCCGCACAGCTCCTGCCTCTTTCCTTTGGCTACACTGTAATATAAAGCATATTTTGTGCTATTTTCACTATTATATGCACTGGTATGCATAGATATGCATTTATGTTTAGAGAATTGCATGGCAAATATTTGGAGAAGTGCAAATTTCAATGCATGCAATGCATGCAATGGAGTAGCCTCAGGTGGCTGTGAGACTGACATTTAGAAGACATCTGAAGGCAGCCCTGTTCAGGGAAGTTTTTAATGTGTGACATTTTAATGTATTTTTAATCTTTGTTGGAAGCCGCCCAGAGTGGCTGGGGAAACCCAGTCAGATGGCTGGGGTACAAATAAATTATTATTATTATTATTATTATTATTATTATTAAAAGGTGTGTTTAATCCTTCTTCCACCTGCTTTCCTACTCAAAATCATTCTCCTCCTAAGCTACAATGGAGAGGGGAATACATAATGTGCATTTATTTTATTTTATTTTTTTGCTGCTTAGTACCAATCTAACTGGGATGTGGGTGGCGCCGTGGTCTAAACCACAGAGCCTAGGGCTTGCCGATCGGAAGGTCGGCGGTTTGAATCCCCGCAACAGGGTGAGCTCCCCTTGCTCTGTCCCTGCTCCTGAAAACCTAGCAGTTCGAAAGCACGTCAAAGTGCAAGTAGATAAATAGGTGTGTGAAGGTAAACGGCGTTTCCGTGTACTGCTCTGGTTCGCCTGAAGCGGCTTAGTCATGCTGGCCACATGACCCGGAAGCTGTACGCCGGCTCCCTCGGCCTATAGAGTGAGATGACCACCGCAACCTCAGAGTCGTCCGCGGCTGGACCTAATGGTCAGGGGTCCCTTTACCTTTACCAGTCTAACTAAAAAGGGAAGGCTGGAAGTTGAAGGCTGCAAGCTGAATTTATTCCTTTTTGTTATTTTATTCTTCTCCAGTGGGAAAATTGCATCCCTCTGAATGTTCTTTGAGTCCAACCCCCATCAGCCTCAGCCAGCATGCCAATGGTAAGGGATGATGGGAGCTGTAGTCCAACAACTTCTGAAGGGCCACACCTGCTTCCATCAGGCATATGTGATAAACACCATCCAAAACCTTCTCATTCTCAACTGGCTTTCAAACAGCAACATTAGCAATTAAAATAATACTCTAGCAACCCACCAGCATCAGAAAACCAGTCCACAAACAACGTCCCTCCAGAGATAGTGACAATGTAGATTGGGAAGGACTTGGCCAAGTCGAAGAGTTACCTGGAAACTTTTGGCATTCAGATTTTTCTGACTCTCTGTGGCCACTTTCAGCCTGGAGTCCAGCCCCTTTATTAGCGACTCAGTATTGCGCACATACTGCAGGTCCCGGTAGGTCCGAAGGTCCAGCACCTCCATGGACTGGGAGATGTTTTGCACCTGCTCAATGAAAAAAGGGAAAAGAAACTTAAGACACACCACCTAAAGGATGGTCAGATTGCAGAGTATTATACATGGGATTAGATAGATGGAGGAGTTTGTGGTGGTGGAGGCAACCAGAGAGCGGGTCTTCTTCTTGAAGGTATCCCTGACATAAGAATCAGAAACCCGGGGGTGGATATTTTGATTCCATTATGTTTCAAATATTAATGGTACTTAACCTTTAGAAAGATAGAATGCATCTCTGACATTTTATAACATTTTAAAACCCCTGTGCTCTCTAGGCTATAAAGAAGAAACCCCATCTAACCCTGAAAGTGGCACAAATGGTCATTAAAGATGTTCTAGTTAGTATCAGGGTGTAAATCCAAACATCTCCTTGAAGCTTCCTGAGATAGCTCAGGGAAGAAGAGAAGTGAGAGACAGAAATGTCAACAACCCTGTCAAAGGTCTGGTTGCTAAGGAAACATTGATAAAGTAGGACATTTGAGACCCAAATGCCTGGGCACCTGGGGCACCCCAAGATAATTGTGGGGGAGCAGATGGCAGTATGGAGCCATACATGTTTATCATCCCATGACCTGTAACTTTGCTTGATGTATGTAGAAGAATGTTTGAGGTTTTAGGACTCTTTGTTTTCTGTGTTTGAACTACAACATAAGCTTTCTTCTGATTTGCCTCTGGGCAGTCTTTTCTAACTGGTTCTGTTGAGCAACTGGTTGGCAAGGCTGACCTATTGCAATAGTTAATAAACTGGGTCCCTAACTGGATCTGCTGTTGCTTGCTGTAATTCTCTTGGTTCTGTGTTTTATTTAAGAGGTGTTCCCTCAGCTGAGCCTCTAAAGAGGTCAGAATGGCTGACAAAAATTAGGGAGATTGCTTTGAATGCAAAACTAATGAGGTTTTCGTATGTGCACACTTTTTAAAATCTAAGCAAAATGAGCAAGAAAATAAGGGTTCAGAAAATTGGTCCTTATTTATTAACTGCTGTAATGAAGATGACTACAATCATATCCAATCTTGTGTCTCTCCCTCAATTCCATACTTTAAAATATTATGGCCACAATCCTGTGGTCTTAAAAAGAAATCATCCCATATATTCTGTATTTTATGTTGCTGCTATGTTTTTAAAAGCAATTTGGGGTGCAAATGTTCAGGTGCCTCTGCTGGAACTTGCCGTTTCCAGCCATGAGGTCAACAATACAGCATATAGAAGAGGGATGAGGGGACCTGCTGCCCTCCAAATCCTATTGGACTCCAATTCCCATCAGCCCCAGCCAGAATAGCCAATGGCCAAGGATGATGGGAGCTGGAGTCCAGCAACCTTTGGAGGGCCACAGGCCCCCATCCCCCAGCATCAATCAACAGACAGAATGTGTGACTATGAAAAGCAAAGGCAAGCCAGGTCCCTCCATCCAAGTATTCCTGAGCACCTCTCTCACATTACAGACTGCAATTGATTTACAGTCTTGGTTCGGCAGACATACAGTGGAGTCTTCTCTTCTGGGACTTGAGCTGGAACCGGCAGTCTGGTGCACCAGCTGGAATTCAAGCTCCTTTCCCCTGCTTTGCACCCATGAAATATGAATGATAATGTAACCAGGCTGAGTTGAATACTTATTAGAGTTGGGGCGAGGTAGAGAGGAAAGAGAAATAAGCTATCAAAGCTGATCTTTTAAAGTGAGGTGGCTGAGTAAGGCTGCCCTCGCTGCAGGGTGTGTGTGGGGGGAGTCCTCTCTGTATGCAGCCTCATCCCATCCTGTATGTAGCCTTTAGGAGAGGGGCAACACACTCACATCTGATAGAGCTGTATCATTCACCAGTCCCCCTGGAGTCTGCTGATGAGGAAGGGGAACACACTGGTCTCAAAAGCAAGCCAGCCACCACCTGAAGTGTGAGGCTACCACTAAACCAGGAGCTGTGCATTAGTTCATCTTTTGTCCTGATATCATGTTCTGGGCTCCACCCAGATCAGTGTGCCCTACATTAGTGGTGGGGAGCCTGAAGCCCTCCAGCTGTGGTTGGACCACAACTCTCAACATCTCTGGCCATTGGCCAACCTGGCTAGGGCTGATGGGAGTTGGAGGAGCCTACCAACTTCTGGAGGACCACAGATTCCCCATCCCAGAGGTAAAACATGAACCAAGCAACCTCCTTCCTCCCTAGATGAATACACCTCTCTTTACCTGAGATGTGTAGGGCCCCACTCTTTTCACAACTGTTTCCAGCTTTTCTTGTAACCTGCTCTGGGATCTGCTGGTGAAGGGCTGGTAATAAATGTAATTAATAATGATATTGATGATGATGATGATAGATGGTGTCAGCCTAGTTGAGGGGAAGCAAGCTTGAACAAAACCCCCTTAGGAAGGCAGATGTGTGCAGCAGTGGGGTCTGCACTCTCTCAAGGAGATTTTTCTCTTGTGCTTTTTTGTAGCTTTCAACAATCTATAAAATCAGCAATCATATCACTTGTTATCCCAGCTGGATATCAGCTTCCACCATCCCTGACCACTGGCCATCCTGGAGTTGGAATCCAGCAACATCTGGTGGGCCACACGCTCCCCTCCCCTGATCTCCATCATTGGCTGCTGATGGAAACTCAGAACATCACAGCATGGCGTGTGTGTGTTGCAGGTGGGGAGAGGCAAAGGCCCCATGGTGGGTATGATTCCCGCCTGTGGCTGAGTGCTTAGAAAATTGCCCTATGCTGCTAGTGGTGTGTCCGAGTCCTGGGAGCTCCGTCTTTTTCCTCCGAGATGACTAGTCATACAAAAGGCAAGTGGAGTCATGCTTCTCCTTTCTCTTAGTGGAGCTCAAATTCATGCCTGTTGCTTCCCAACCCCACGTCCTATGCAGGGAGCTGCTGTGGTCAGTGTGTAACTGTGGTTTGCCTTGTTGCCTGACCTGCTCCCTTGTCAAAAGATTGTTTTTCCTTGGGTTGTTTGTACTTTCTGTATGTCTCCTGCCCAAATAATCTATGAAGCAGGTCTGCATTGTGTGGCTTCTCATTTCCCTACATGCAGTGCTTTTTTCTGGGGGGGATGCAGGGGGACGCATACCCCTAAACATTTTGTGAATCTTTGTACTTTGGTCCATTTACTGTATTTATTTTTCCAGATTTGAACTACAAAATGGTAATTTTCTTGAGTCAAAATGAGAGTACCCCTAAACATTTTTTTTTAAGGAAAAAAAGCACTGCCTACATGTATTTTGCTACACAATGGTGGTTGTGAGTGTCATAAAGGGACTCTTTCAGGAATGGGGCCATAGCTTTCTTTGCCACTGGGGCTGCAGTAGGGGCACTTAGGCATTGGAATGTGGGTTGTGCAATTCAGGTGTGCTGGGGGGGGGGTCCTTATGGTCATGTGCCCACTGGCTCCAATCTCATGTCTGTGTTGTCACATGCAAAAACCCCAATTGGTGGGCTTTCCCATCCCATCTCAGGCTGAGCATGAACAGGGTGCAGGAGCCATTCCACCAGTGTGGAGGTGCTGCATCTTCCCCACTGGGGTAATATGAGTATAGGATGTCTAACCTCAATTCTCTTTTATAGCTTCCTCTAAAGAAGGTTGAGTGGTTACTTAGTGACAGGGGGGAAAGATCCTGTCATGATGAAAGTCATTAGGGGTGTGTGGGATGTGTGTCTGTGTGTGTGTGTGTGTGTGTGTGTGTGTGTGTGAGTGAAAAAGCCTTCATTAATCCAGCAGAGGGAGGCAATGCAAGGAAGAACACTGAAGACTGAAAGTAGGCAAAAAAATTCATTTAGAAGAAACTGGCCATCACTTTGTGATCCACTATCAGGAAGGGCAGCCACAAGTAAGCAATGTGGATTTTATGTGATCAAAGTGTGATCAGAATCAATTTTGTGTATCTGCATATAAGAATTTACACTGTTTTATGCCTCTGGATCTAGGAGAGATGCAGACCCCTAAAGCCCTAACCCTCAGTCCTGTTTGCACATATGCACCCTATGCTTTGGCATCCAGTGTTGCCCACCATCTTGGCAAGCTTATCTCTGAAGATACAGATCCCAAACTCCCAAAATTTTGTTTTGTAAAGAGCACAGTTTAGCAAGAATCTCCACAATCCTCAGCCTGAGCTCTCCTAGCAGCATGATTTCAGTAGCTTCCCTGATCTAAAGAAAGACATGTTCACATTCAGTGTAATCAGTGGGGAAATTAGTTATGTGACTGACCTAAGTCTCGTTGCTTTCGAATGGGACTGAACTGTGACTAATCTTCTCTAGATGGGGGCTAAGAAATCAAGTGACCTTGCAGATGCCAGCTTGAATAGGTTTGGCATTTTAAATTCCGACAAACAACAAAGTAATCTCCATGCTCCATTGTGACCTTCTGGTCTATGAAGTGCTAAATCAATACTACTCCATTCACTTCCCCAAACAACAATTGATGGAGTCCCTCTTGCCATTCCACAATATGTCCAGACTCCGCAGCTGCTTTCATTAGAGAATTTGCCAAAGGTGCTCACTGTTCTGTCAAAGGACAAGAGGCATCAAAATGGCAAATCAGATCAGACACCTCCATATCTGACTCCTGCCAAGTTCTGCATGCTTTTGGAGGGGTTTGGCTTCTACTACCAGAGAATAATCTCATCTGTGGGACTTGGCCCAAAACATCAAAGGAAACCAGCTCCTCTGATAGGTTGGCAGATTTTGGGGTGTGATCTGCTGCACTTCTGCAACTCCAAAACCAACTCAAATGTTTGAATGCCTTGGTTCTCTCACCTCCTGCTGGCATGGGTGAAGGAGGAAACCCAAACCCCTCTGATCCCCAAATAACCCAGGACTGTATTCCTCCCAAGCATCAGTCCTTTCTCATCTCGTCACACACGGCAGCACAATGTCCATAGCCCCAGGTTAAGAGTCGTTGCGTGGAGATATTTTGCAAATGCAATTTGCTTGCTCAATGGCTGCGTGTGGTGTCTCGGCTGGCGCGTCAGCCAACTGCACCAGTTCCAGCTGAACAAACAGCTAGCAGAGTTAGTTGCAGCAGTGTGGGCACGGATGAAATTCCTGGCAGAAGACACACCTACTGTAGGTCTGGAGCCCAGATTTATGTAGAACATTGTCAAAACAGTTGCAAGTTCAGGGAAGTATTCCAACAGCAGTCTTTAGGTACTTATGCTTGTAAAGGCTCTTTTATCTGCCTGATATTGCAACTGAGTTCCCATTTAAGTCATAGTTGTTTAGGGTTGGATTCAGCTAAATAGTTGCACTAGCAGGAACCAGCACAAGTCCCACTAATGCAATGGGGCATTTCCCCCTCTCCTCTCCTCTCATCCCTCCACCCCACCCCAAATTGGCTTAGGTGGGGTGGGAGAACCCCCAGAACACTGCTCAGGAGGAGAGGAAATCATTCTGACTGGCAAGCAGAAATGCTCACATTGTTGGAACAATCAAATTTGTGTGATGTTGAATTCCATCCATGCATAAGTCAACAACACTGAGTTAATGTAAAAAACAAAAAACACCACCCTGAAATTAAGGGTTACTTTTTGTAATGCATGGGTACAAATATACAATGATTATACCTGGGTCTCTATTAATAGCTCCTTCCACACACACCCATGTTACTTCCTATGGCATGTGCTACAACAGGCATATCCGATCTCGGCCCTCCAGATGTTTTGAGACTACAATTCCCACCATCCCTGAACACTAGTCCTGTTAGCTAGGGATAATGGGAGTTGTAATCCCAAAACATCTGGAGGGCTGAGTTTGCCTATGCCTGTTCTAAGACATCATATTCAGGTTCTTTCTCCTTTAACTCAAAATATCTTGTGTGCATTAATGGCTGAATCAACATATAGTACTTATTGTATTGTTTGAATAATGATTTCCACCATGATAGGGTGATTATGTAAACATTGTCAGGAACAGGCCTTCGTCAGCACATTCAGGATTCAAAAATGACGCGTTCTCTCAACTTACTTCCAGCGATTATTTGCCTTATTCCACCACAAACACCCTAAATCACTCAAGTGTACCTTCCTTTACCCAAACCAGGCACTTTCCTCCCCTTTTCCAGCTTTTTCAATTTCATCCAGCATAAACAGTAAAGTAATTTTATTTTGGGGGCTTTAAAGAGACTAGATTGCAAGTAGTGTTCTTTCAATGGTTATTTATTTATTAACATAGCCCCTGCTGGTACTTTACGGCTATGGCTGGGGCCTCTGAAGGGAGCTATTTAAGAGGCATTTTGCAGCATGTTGTAATAAAAGTTTAATCAGCTTCCAGCCTCCCTATTCTTTCTTTCTTTCTTTCTTTCTTTCTTTCTTTCTTTCTTGCATGCACACTTGTGTACAAAAAGCCAAGACAGAAAGACAGGAAACACAGCTTGCCCAAGGATCCCTTCTGTGATACAGACAGGAAACAAGCAGTCATTAAAACACACAAACAAATGTCTAAAGTAACAACAACTTGAAAGTGACCTTGAAATCCATATTGGTGGTAGAGGACAGGCTGACTTGCTTGTTTTGTGTCCAAGCCTTTTTGGAGATGCTAAAACAAGCTTTATTTCAGCTGGGACTCCACACTCCCCCCCCCCAGCACCCGAGGCTATTTGATTGCCAAGGTGCCACCCAGAAAGTAAGAAAACCACCATGTGTAGACAGAGCAGCTGTCCCCAGTAAATGCTGCACCTGCAGATAGAGTCCCTCTTTCACAGAACAATTCAAGGTGCAAGAAACTCTTGTCCTCTTGAAACCACAGGGCTGAAGTTTGCGAAAAAGGTGAAATATCTGGGTGTAAAAAAAAAAAAGAATTTGTACAAAGACAACTATGAAAAGCTATGGAAAGATCTTAAAAGAGATTTTGATATCTGGACAAGGTTGAAACTATCTTTGTTGGGCCGAATTTCTGCAATAAAGATGAATGTATTGCCTAAGTTGTTACTTTTGTTCTAAGTACTTCCTATCATTGATAAGTTGAATTGTTTTAAGGAATGGCAAAAGGTATTATCTAAATTTATCTGGCAGGGGAAAAACCCAGAATTAAGTTTAAATTATTAACAGATGTGAAAGAGAGAGGGGGTTTCTCCCTGCCAGATTTAAGGATTTATTTTGAAGCTGCAGCCTTTTGCTGGTTGAAAGAATGGTGTTTATTGGAAAATACAGATGGTTTAGATTTTGAAGGTTTTGATAATGTATTTGGTTGGCATGCATATTTATGGTATGACAAGATAAAAGCTCACAAAGAATTTAAAAATCATATAATTAGAAAATCTTTGAACAATGTTTGGATAAGATACAAGGTTTTGTTAGAAAGGAAAACACCCAGGTGGATATCACCATTGGAAGCTAAGACCCATAAAAGTTTGAATATGAAAGAAACATAGTTGAAGTATAATGATATTCTGATGGAAGTAGGGGACCAATTTAGATTAAAATCTTATGATCAGTTGAAAGATGAAATAGATGATTGGTTCCAGTACATCCAGATAAATGAAGTGTTTAAAATGCATAAGAAAATTGGTTTTCAAACAGAGAAATCCAAACTGGAAACAGAATTATTAGATACAAAAACAAAAAACCTTTCTAAGATGTATAACTTATTTCTGGAATGGCATATGAAAGATGAACAAGTGAAATCTGTAATGATTGAATGGGCCAGGGATGTGGGGCACAATATCATGATGGTGGATTGGGAGAAATTGTGGGAAAAGGGAATCAAATTTACAGTTTGTAATGTATTAAGAGAAAAATTGATGAAAATGATGTACAGATGGTATTTAACACCAGTGAAGCAAGCAAAAATGTATCATACTCATGATAATAAATTCTGGAAATGTAGAGAAAAAGAAGGAAGCTTTTACCACATGTGGTGGGCGTGCTCCAAGGTAAAAGGCTTCTGGGAAAGGATTTATAATGAATTGAAAAAAGTGTTGAAAAACACATTAAAAACCAGAAGCCTTTTTACTTGGTATAGTGGGGGATGAAATTCCCAAAAAGGATGTTACTTTTTTTATCTGTATGCCACAACAGCTGCGAGAATATTGCTAGCGAAGAATTGGAAGAAACAAGATTTACCAACTGTCAAAGAATGGCAGATGAAGATGATGGACTATATAGAACTTGCCAAACTGACTGGGAGACTCCAAGACCAGAGAAAAGAGATGGTGGAAGAAGACTGGAAGAAGTTTAAGAAATATTTGCAAAAATATGTTAATATTTAAATCTTAAAATAGCTTTGGAAGTGGATATAGGCTGTAGGGTTAGAAGTAGAAGATAGGGTATTTTAAAATAGTATTATTTGTAAGTGATAAAATGTGAAGTTATTTTAAGTGTGATAAAAAAAAAGATGGTTAGAAACTATGATATATGTAAACTGCTAAAGATGAAACAAAATGAAAATCAGATAGGAGGGACTTGGGGAAGCCAACTTAACAATGTTTAGAAAAATAGGGATATGACAAGAATTTGTTTGTATTGTTTGTTTTTCTGTTTGTGTTCTTTATTTGTGTTATAAAATGAATAAAAAATTTTGAAAAGAAAAGAAACGAAACTCTTGTTGTCTTTTCCAGCTGGCACCCTGTCTTAAGACCATCAGCCCCAGGTGGAACTTCTAAGAGCTGGTTTTGATTCTTGTTCCTTGGGAGTCACTGTATCACTTTGGAAAAATACCATCACCCTGGGCCCTAGCAGCTTTAGGAGGTCATTGCCTCCCCTCTTGCATTCCTGCCTCCTGTGATTGGTCCCTGACCCAATCCATGTCCATGTGAGAGCTGGTGCAGTTCACCCCAGTGATGGCTAGCCCCAGTGGCCCAAACCATGCCAACCCCAGTAAGCTAACGTAGGGCCCCTTGACCATGATCAAGTCTAACCGCTGCTTCTGCCCTCGATATTGTACATTGAAGGTTCCCACCCCCATCGTGTGGACCTTGCATATTTGGAAGTACCGGAGGGTGAATGGGGCCAGCCTAAGGAGGGAGAAGGAGGGAGAAAGGTTGTTTTCTGCTGCTCCAGAGAAGCGGACACAGAGCAATGGATCCAAACTACAAGAAAGAAGATTCCAACTAAACATTAGGAAGAACTTCCTGACAGTAAGAGCTGTTTGACAGTGGAATTTGCTGCCAAGGAGTGTGGTGGAGTCTCCTTCTTTGGAGGTCTTTAAGCAGAGGCTTGACAACCATATGTCAGGAGTGCTCTGATGGTGTTTCCTGCTTGGCAGGGGGTTGGACTCGATGGCCCTTGTGGTCTCTTCCAACTCTATGATTCTATGATTCTATGATTCTATGATTCTAAGCTTGGGGCCACTGCTGAGACACAATTTCCTTAATCTCTGTGCCGAGATTATGGACAGGGTTGAGCCTGTATCAAGCTCTATGTGGCACGGGGCTCCCTCTATCTGTACCTCAATGTATTTTTTTTTTGCATTGGAATGAGGCAACTGGTATATCTGACAGTCTGTGATCTCCATTGAGTTGCCTTGGTGTGTTGGACCGTGGGGCCTGGGACTCTTGGGTCAGCCATCTGATGTGAGGCATTGGCCAGGCCGGGAACAACACACCCGGGCGATGTGTCCTGCTTTTCTGCATTGTCGGCATTTTGCGTTGCGGAAACGGCAAGTCCTCCGCTAATGGCTCTCATCGCAGTTTGCGCAGTTCCCCTCTTCCATCCGAGGCTGTTGTGGTGGACGTGCAGCATTGTGCGCCGCTGCACTCAGTGTACGTCCTCCCTGTTGGATTCTGAGTCGTCGGTGAGGTCCTTGTGGTGGACCCTTGGTTGGGACGATGAGTTCGGCAAGAATCCTTCTCCGGCCTGGTGGAGGGAGTTCGGCCTGGTGGAGGGAGGTCACCTCTCGGCAGCTTCAGTTGCCAGGACCTCCTTTGGGTGACCTGGAACATCAGGTCCTTCTTGGCGTAGAGGTGCCACTGCAGCTTCTCGTCTCTCAGGCCACTGATGCGGCGGTCACGGAGCATGTTCTCCGGCTCTGTGAAGTTGCAGAGCCGGGCGGCCTGGTGGAGGGAGATCACATACCCAGTTATTGTTTCTCCGGGGGTCTGTTGCTTTGCTTAGAAGGCGTTGCGACATGCTACCACCGAGGGCTGTGGCAAGAAGTGGCCCTTCAGCCGTTCCATTATCATGTTGTAGGGGATGGTCACAGTATTTGCGGGTGCAAGGAGAACTCGGACGATCTCGAACATTTCTTCTCCACAGATGCTGAATAATGTCGCCCACTTCTTTGCTATATCAGTGACGTCCTTTGCCTCTAGGAGGAACTGGAAATGGGTGGAGTATCCTTCCCAGTCTCCTGAGGCTGGGCTGAACAACATGAAGCTGCTGTCTGTTGCCATTCTGGGTCCTTGGGTCCCACTGGCCTGGATGCGTGGTGCAATGCAGCGGTGTTGCGAGTGGCGGTTGCGGTGCGGTGTGCGGACAGCTCAGCGGGATCCCACCTTTGTTGCCAGTGAAATATACTTGGAGTCGCATAGTGATTTCATGCTCTTTATTGCAGATTGTAAAACAGTGAATGGATTTTCCCCAAAACCTCAAGTTTTACATACATTATTTACACAATGCGTCCTGTCTGATTGGCTGATTCTGCTTCCCTCCTGGAGCCTGATTGGGCTGCTCCTGCAGGCCAATCAGGTTGTTGCATTCTAGGATCCTGCCTGCCTCTAGGATCCAAGCTTAGTACATAACAACTTCCCTTTCTTGTCCACAGACTTGGGCAGCCAAACACCGTCTCTGTGCAGCCCAGAGGCCAGCCTCATTCAGAAGAGGTCGGAGGGCTTCTGCACATCAGACCAATCATTTTAATGAGTGGGGAGACGGCAAAAATCCCCCCCAGATGATTTGCATAGATCAGCCAAGGGTGTTGTTGCTGTGTGTGTCCCATGTGTATACGTGAGATTGTGTGTGCAGGAAAGTGGGGCCGTCACACCCACTGCTAGCATGCAGCCCCCAGAAGATTGGCCAAGGGCGAATGCAGTCTTCAGACCAAAAACTAAAATTAAAATTAGCTCGTCCAGCTCTATTGCTGGTCATGAGGCTCGGCCTCAAGCAACTGATTTTGGGTGCTGCTACAGGGCAGCAAGCTATGATTAAATTTAATTTAACTCTGATCACCTGCACATGCCACTCATTCTGCTACATAAAATGTAATGATTCTGTGTTGTAAAAGTGATGTTTAAAGAGGCACAGAGTGTGATGGAAATAAATGGCTTTTTAGAAAAGGAGGGCGGTGTCTGTTTTCGTAAGGCTGAGTTGTCGAGGAAGAGACATCACTTGTGTTTCTGCCTCTTGCACCCAAATGGCCTGGGCCAGCCCTGAGGACTCCTCTGTGTAAACAAGAGGTGAGGACTGAGGGAATTGAGGACATCAACCTTGAATCATCATCGGCATTTATGGCATCCTGATGGTATAAACAAAGCCAGGGTGACCCATCTGCACTATTCCTCTGAATTGGTAGCAGCTCAAGCTGAGCTCTCTGCTGTGCAGATCTATGAAGAAGGCAGCTTCTGACCCATCCCTCTTCCCTTCCAGGTATTTCAATCCTCGCCAAGGTCAAGCAGTGACTTCACTGTCACCTGAGCCCTGCTGGTGCTCAAGGGAAGATTTATAGCTTTGTTATGCTGCATCATCAGGAGGCACGTTTTTCTCACTACTCCCTGCTGTGAAGAAATGACTCTCTGACTTTCTCCAAGGAGGGCTGTGCATGTCATCTCAAATGATTTCTCTTGGGCTAGACAAGAGCCAACTGCACACTGCTGCCTTTTGCTCAGGCTTGATCTTCTACCACAACCACTACTCACACCTGAGAGGAGGAGTTATTAGAGAGTATTTCTCTCATCAGTACCAAAATGCAGCAGATGACAAAGGAAGGGTCCGTACCTGGCGCCTTCAAGCAAATAGATAACCTGTGACTCTCCAGCTGCTGCTGAATTCCAATCTCAGCCAGCAAGGCCAATGGCCAGACATGATTGGAGCTGCAGTCCTGCAACATCTGGAGGGCTGCAGGTTCTCCACCTCTGAAATCTGGCAAGATTTGTGTCATCAGAAGGGGTGGTCTCACTTAAAAATTTCATTCAATTCTACCCTAAATGTTACAGAAGTTCACTTTTTTAAAAATGCAAAGGTGACCAGCAAAAATGCCCCTGGGCCTATTTGCCTGTAATATGGCAAGAGCAAATATGCCTGCAAATGTCATCCACTTCTGTCAAAAGAAAATAAAACATATAGCTGCTTTTTTATCTCCTAATAGTAAATAGTGAGGAGAGAACACTTATGACCCCTGGGTAAAATCAGGCAGCCTGTGAAAGTCCATAGCAGCCTCTCCCAGTCCCTACTAATCTAAATAAAGTATTCCAAAAGAATTTCCTGCTTTTGCCCTGCTCTATATGAAATGTTTTCTCTGTTACTTCTCTTTTCCTGAAGATAACTTGCTTTAAACCAAAGCATTTGCATCCACAATAATTAAAACGAATATTTTGTCATGATTTCACTGAGGGAAATAGGAGTGGCAGGGGCAGGAAAGAAAAAGGTTGTATGCTATTATATAGGTCAGGAACAAACAAATTAGAAGAAAATAAAAAGAAAAGATGTTACAGGGAGAGAACAAAGTATTGGATGTATTGACATTCAGCACAGAGAGTGTGTGGAAAGCGGAGGAACTGGCTGCAGAGAACACGGCACAGCTCTTTTTATGATGAAGCTAACACGTACAAATTGAAAGGGAGGAAGAGAAACAAGGTGTGCATTAATGGGAAAATAGAATCACTTTTGTTATTCCTGATATCTTAGCTACAGCCAGAAGGTTCCTTCAGATAGGACACTTCTGGCTATTATGTGAAATAAGGCCTGACGTGTGAGAGTGAGACATCTCACCAAATTATGATTTATTGTTGTGGGGTGGGGTGAATATGTATGTATGATTGTATGTATGTATTTGTGTACACACACACACACACACACACACACACACACACGATAATAATAAAAGGAATAATTTGGCTGGTGTGCAAGCTGCACCCTCTCCTAGGGAAGAGGGAAACTTGCTACAGTCTTCCAGACTGTCTCTGTCACTTCCAAACTAGACTCGTGCAAATGCCAGGGCTGTTTGTGAGAAGCATTTGGCGGGAGTGTAGGAATATAGCTGGTCCCTCCCAAACACAGCAGTGAGATTGTGTAGCAGGACTTGCTACTCTATGAGCACACTGCACCTAGGTACACCAGGCACAATTAAAATGGTCTGGGTCCAGGATAACTAAAGTACTGAATACTCCTGTATGCTGAGATCATTGTGAAAGGCTCTCTTCCTCTTACAAGCCAGTGTGGTGTAGTGGTTAGAGTGTTGTACTAGGAGCAGGGAGACCAGGGTTCAAATCCCCACTCAGCATGAAGATCCCTGGGTGACCTTGGGCCAGTCACAGCCTCTCAGACTAACCAATCTAGCAGGGTTGTTGTGCACTCCACCTTGAGCTCCATGGAGGAAAGGTGAGATATGAATGTAATGACTAGAAGCTCCTCTGTTAGATGGGTAGAAAGAGGTGGCAGAAACAGGAGACATAATGTGAGTGATATTTAGGGTCAGGAATATTCTCTCCAGAAAAGCCCATCTAGTCCCTTTCCTTTTAGACACCAATGAAAGCAATTCTAATTTCGCACATCTCTGAAAAGAAGAGAAGGGGGGACAATAACTTCAGGAAGCTGTTCTGCAGTTTTGCATTTGCATGATTTGCTTATTTCTTTATTAATCTTGGCTAGCATAATTAATGGTCAGTGATTATGGCAGTTGGAGTCCAGCAACACCTGTAGGTTCCTCACCCCTGCTGTACACACTCACCTCGCAAGAAGTCCTGCTGAACTCAATGGAATCATAGAACTGTAGCACTGGAAGGGACCATGAGGGTCGTCTAGTCCAACCCTCTGCATTGCAGGAATCTTTTGCCCAATATGGGGCTTGAACCCACAACCCTAAGATATATGGTTACTTGCTTCTGAGTACTTGACCTGCAGAGAATTGTGCTGTTTCATCTGCTGCAGCAACAAGAAATCCGTGTGGCACCTTAAAGACTAGACACCACTTAGTATAATTCGTCTTTTGACTAATTAAAAAGATGCTTCAATTAATCAGGTAGCAGGTTTTTAAAAACTCTGCCACCTTTAATTTAAGTATTTAGTACCTTCTTAGAATGTACCTTCTTAGAAGAGGCATTTCTCCTCCTTAGGAACAAGGGAAGAAGTTGCCTTTTACAAGGTCTGACCACTAGCTCACCTAGTCTAGTATTCTCTACACCGGGGGGGGGGGGACTTTGACCCTTTAGATAGATGTACCTGGATTACAACTCCCATCAGCCCCCACAGTTATGGCCAATGACCTGGGATGATGGAAGTTGTAGTTCAGCAACATCTGCAGGACCAAAGGCTCCCCAAGCCTACTTTCCACTGACTGCCAGTAGACCTCCAAGGTTTCAGGCAGGCTCTTTTCCAGCCCTTACCTGGAGATGCTGGGGCTGAACATGGACCTTCTTCAGGCAAAGCATAGGCTGTTCCACTAAGCTACGGACAATCCTTTCTCTCTCTCAGGAGGCAGTGACTTTTCTGAGATGGTGCCTTCTGTGACATACATGCACATAATCTAAAGCACAAAGCTTGTCCCCCCCCTTTAGAACAATGGCTTTATTCATAGGCAAATGAATGCAGATGGAGGCCATTAAAACTCATGCAATGAATCAACTGAGATCTCTTAGAGTTATGAACTAACTAAGTGCTAAAGGTTTAAAACAAATGATGAAATACAAAAATGGGAAAAAGAAAAGGCAATACCAGAGGGACCTAACATTGGGGCAGTGGGGGAGGGGGGAGGAGAGGGCAGAAAAATCTTTGAGAAAAACAGGAGGTCTCTCCGGTACTGATAATCTGTGGCGGGGGCATTGCAGACTTGTGATAATAAATGTTTGTTTGTTTGTTCATACATACCCTGCCCATCTGGCTTGGTTTCCCCAGCTTTGCTGCATGGAAGATCACAATCCTTGCTCTTACAATTTCCTTCCTTAAGACCAACCACATTCAGATGTCCATGAAAGGCTTCTGCATTAATCTGCAACCACTGCATTTGCTTGCTATGACCACAGTCCCAAGAAAGCTCAGTAGACACACAGGAGAGCCAAGAGCTTAGGCTGCAAGATCTACCCTACAGACCCCTCCATCCCCCACCACACACAATTAGGGCAAGCTGAGACATTCATTCCAGGCAATGAATCAGGACAAGTGGTGACTGGTGTTCCCTACCCAGCCTCACTACAGGACTAACCACTGCTGCTGTTTGGTCCTCCACTGACAATCCATGTGCTGGCTGCTCTCTGCTACCCCAATGTCTCCCTCCAGGGAAGGATCCTTTCTTAGATCAAGGCATTGTAAGGCGAGGTGGCCCTGGAGAATCTCCATGCCACTGGCCTACTACTGTGGCATACACTGTTTAAATATCTGTCACTATAGCAAAGTGGTCAATGACACGCTCACAGAGATTTCTGAGGCCATTCACTCCAGTTGCTCCAGTGCCTCAGTCTGGCAAAGGACCCTACAAACATAGGGTCCTTCCTCAGATCAAGGTGTGAGGGAGATCCTGCAGGCTGTGCCCATGATCCTTAACTATTGGACATGCTGGCTGGACGCTGATGGGAGCAGGTGTACAGCAACACCTGGAGTTTCCTGCTTGGCAGGGGGTTGGACTCGATGGCCCTTGTGGTCTCTTCCAACTCTATGATTCTATGAACACAGGTTGCCCACCCCTGCCTTAGAGCATGAGCTGGCCAAACAAGCTCCAATTGGACACTTCATACAACTATCCCTGAGTTAGGCCCATCCCCTGCAGTTGTCATGCACACAAGAATTCTGAGGAGCTGTCCTTTGGAGTTGCAGCTGTCCCTCCTTCTGCCTTCCAATACACTGTGATGTGAGTCTGGTTTAACACATTAGGAATCAGGCTGAGATTACAACCAGCATTAAAAACTATCAATAAAAGCCAGGATAAAGCCAATGTGCCGTATCCAGGGCTTTGTGAGCCATAAAAGGTTTTAAAAGGCAATTTAGTCGGGGGGGGGGGGAATAGGTATATTTAAGACAAATCCTATGTTTCTCATAAAACAGGGAGGGAGGGAGAGGGTTGGCACGAAATAGCTCAAAGAATTGGCTATTTGGAAGTCACCATGTCTCCTTGCTTTCTATGCCTCCACTCTAAACTCAATTCTTTCTGGATCAATAAAAACATATGAAAATGGAATCAAAATAACTAGAGGTGCTTGTGGGGATAAGAACTAACACCCTTCCCTGTTAAGGATGAAAATTAATTCTAACAACACCATCCTGAAAAGAAAAGAAAAACCACTCCCAGAATGTATTTTCCTAAATAGTTAGCTAACTGTTAGCTAACTATAGTTAGCTAACCTAAATACCCAGATTACAGTGTACAAGGATCACAAGAAATGCAATATAAAAAGCAACATTAAAACCACAAAATTCTCAAACTCACAGACCTTGATTCACTAGCAAAAACACAAAACAAAAAACAGGCCAGCAATTGCATCAATCCGTAAAGGCCAGACAGAACAAGTTTGCCCTCAGCAGAAGTTGAAAAGGCATCAGCAAAGGGGACAAGTGTACCTTTGGTTAGGACTGCCATATTTCAAACACTGAAAAATCTGGACAGAAAGGTTGTTGAGCTTTTTTTGCAAAACTGCAGAGAAGGCCCTACAACGTTTAACCGGCCCACTGTGCTAAACCGGCATGGTGTGGGGGCTCTAGAAATTGCTTCTGCGCATGTCCAGATACAGAAAATTGCTTCAGTGCAGGCGTGATTTCTGGCATTTGGCCATGCACAGAAGTGATTTCCGGCACCGCAGACACGCACAGACATGATTTCCGGTGTCGTGCTGCGTGGGACTGATCCGGCCCATGCCTGGTAAGCCTTGCTGACCCCTGCCCTACAACAAGTCACTGAAGCCATGGCTGTAGCTGGGACTCTCAGCAGGGCCTCTCTAGGCACATTTGAAAGAGGTTTGTCATCTACCTGTGCAATATAAACAGTGCTGGGGAAATGGTATGCCTGCAAACAGTCATGCCCAAAAGGATGGTGGGAAGTATTTCATTTCTCCCTCAAGACATTGTAGAAAGAAACAGAGCAGGTCTGGGCAACCTATCAGCTGCCAGGTGCAGCTGGACTACAACCCCCATCATTCCTGAGAGTTGACCATGCTGGCTAGGGCTGATGGGAGTTGGAGTCAAGTTATTCCTCTTGTCCAGTTTCTGTTTGCATCTGACTTTGCCATCCCTAGGAGCCCTTCCATCCTTGACCTTTGAAGCCTTTTCTTCACTCTGTCCAATTAAAAAGGAAAGGGAAACCTGCAGGTCAGACCAAACCTCATTAGAAGTGTCGCTTGCTGGAACTCAGGATGCTGAATGTGTTGTTTTCTGAAAACTCTGTAGGCCCTGCTCTCAACTGGCTCCAAATCTATTTGCCCACTCTGATAATTTACAGGCAAGGAAACAGCAGCAGCAAGTAAGGTGGTATGTGGGCAGGAAGTCCAATTTTTCAACCCACCAGGAGACGATAATCTCCAGGGTGCCATTACTCTTCTTTCCTGATCCCTCAGTGTCCCTCCAGCATTCATGGCTGCCCACAGCTCTTTTTCCTGCCTCAACTACAACCTCCCCACCGGAGTAGTTAATTAAATATCAAATGTTTCTAAATGGCAGGAGCAAAGAATACATTTGCGGCATGAGGGGGTTGGGGAGAAAGGATCATTTATGCATTTGTTTGTGACTCACACTGGCCTTGCTGCCCAATCCAGGCAGGATGTCCTTGGCTTCCCAGGTGGAAATGGAAACAGCAATGCAGAACCCTTTGCAACAAAAGGCTGAGATAAAACAAATAAATATCAAGTGCAAGAGCTTTCCACTCAGAGCATCTAAAGGTCATTGTTTCAAAAGTGCATTTTTGCAATGCACTCTTTGCCACTTGCTTGCAATTCAGAACTTTGGGGGAGGTAAAGAGGTGGGGTGGGTGGGACGGCTGGGGAGGGGTGCCTCATTCTCCCTGCTTCCCTCCCCTTCTCAAGAATATTTTACGTATATCATATGTGTGCGTGTACATGCACACTCAAACAAAGGCTGAGTGATGTCACAAGGCAGAGTTTCCCATGATGCCACAGGGCTGCCAACATTTGGAAGTCTGAAACCTGACAAGAGGGTTGAACTTAAGAGTCTGTCTCAGTACAGCTATATATTTATTTATAAAAATAGTTATATACCATTCATTAAAAAAACCATCAGAGCAGTTTACATAAAACCATACCATTAAAACCACATAAAAATGTTAAAATCAGGGATCAGCTAGCTATTATGAAAGATGTATTCTTAATTGCCTCTGTAATACTGATAGAATAGAAAAGCTTTCAGCAGGCCAGAGATATGAAGGTCCAGGGGTATGGAATCAGGGAAGAGATGATGGTGGGCTTAAAAAAAATATATACTTTATATATTAAAAATATATTTTGAGCGATTAGTGAGATTTTTTAAAAGCACTTTTCAGTGTTCTACTTGCTTCTCTTACTTCTGGACCAGGGCAATTCACTGCCAGCCGTGTCCTAGTTGTGCCTTCAGTTGCTGCCATGGGGAGGATCAGCTCAGCTAGGCTAGCACAGCTGCACACTCAGGGAAAACCATCAAGTCTGTAGGTGTGCCAGACCAGCAGATAGCCCTAATATAACTTACCATCCTGAAGTGCCAGACACAGACCCTCCAAGTGTCCCTATATTCCAGGGACGTCCCTGATTTAGAGGAGCCATCCCAGTTTCTGATTTGATCCTGGAATGTTCCACTTTTTCTTAGGATATCCCTATTTTCCTTGGAGAAACGTTGGAGTTATCCGACACCTGAGCCGTCTGAAGGCAATTCTGTATAGGAAAGTTTTTTAATGTTTAATGTTTTATTATGTTTTCATATAGGTTGGAAGCTGCCCGGAGTGGCTGGGGCAACCCAGTAAGATGTGTGAGGTATAAATAGTAAAATTATCTTTTTAAAAAGGGACTTCCCTATTTTCATCAGAGAAATGTTGGAGGGTTTGCAGACAGGAGTCTTGGAACCAAAGCCTGATACTTGACTTCTCTACCCCTGCAGAAAGAAGTGAAAGTTCACAAAGCATAGACAGCAGACACATCATACCGTACAGAGATTAGTAACCATCTCCACACCTTGTAGCGGCTGATTCTGTGACTGCAGCAGCCTGATTTGTGGGATGCTGTCACTAAAGGCAAATCTACACCACAAGATGCTTCAACAGAGACCTGTAGTGCTGCAAGGAAGCCAGTCTAATTTGCAGCACCCTCACCAAAATACAGTCTGGGGGGAGCCAGAGACAGCAAAACAGTTATAAGTATAAAGCAGACTTAGGTTTATATGGTGCAGATCTACGAAAAATAGGCTCTTCATTTTGTTTTCCTGCATAAAATTCCCAGCCATTGGGTGACAGTATTACTGTACCATCTTGGCTGTTGCAATTTTCAGTGCAAATGATCGATAGGACTCAAGAGTAATAGTGCCCTTAGCACCCAATAGATCAGTGTGATTTGTCTCATATCCTGACCTGCAAATGCAGACCATAAAGCCAAACCTCTGCTGAGAAATGGAGCTCCTTTCCAATCTCAGCTCCATTAAGGGGGAGGGGACCCAGAGCACCCCCAAGCAACACTGCCAACTGATGGCCGCTTAAGTGTCTCTTGTGGAGCTCAGAGAGAGCAAACAAACTTGGAGACTCCACTGACCAGCTGTTGCCTGTTCTGTGCTTTCAGTCATGTTAACACATTCTGAGCTGCAAGGCAAGACCCATATGCTGGGGTTGCCTAGCCAGGTTCTTGCTATGCCGCTTTGCCATCTCGACTGGACCATAGAAGAAGCAAGTAGCAAATGCTGCCATACCCTCCAAGTGCCCCTATTGTCCAGCAACAGTCCCAGATTTGCAAAAGCTACCCTGGCTTCTGATTTGATCCTGGAATGTCCCTATTTCCCCCACCAGGGCCACCACCACCACCACCACCAAGTTTGGGGATGAGGAGGAGCCGGCACTTGTCCTGAGCAGCTGCAGCTGCAGGGGAGCACCCCATTGCCTCTCCTGGGCCCCTCCCACTGGCCTCCTCCCTTGGGCAGCTCATAGCTGCTGCTGGGGAGCAGGCGAGGAGGAGGAGAGGCTGCTGAGGCCCAGCCCTGCTTGATGTGCTGGCAGAGGGCAGGGCCACCAGGGCGAGCAGAGTGGAGCACAAGGAGTCCTGATTTTTCAAAATCAAAGATCTACTTGCCCCTTTCTACATATTGGTGTGTGTTTTTCCTTTTGTAAATCTGCCAGAGAATAGAATAGAATAGGGATTAATGGATTTTCTCAGGATGGTGGCTGCCATGTGTGCTGTGTCCCATTGGTGAAGTGGTGGTGGCGCTCTCCCTTCTTCTGAGGGAAATGCTCTGCAGTGGCTGGTGTGTGTTTGTGTGGAAAGGACAAAAATGGTGGGTCAAGGAGGGTCAGTTGCAGGGGAGTGAGAAATGTTGGAGGGTATGTGCTGCTGAAAGGTGAGTAAGTAGTAGCTAGATCTGTGCAACAAGAGGCAACTCTTGCAAACAAGGGGAAATGCAGGGGGGGATGCAAGCAGGAAAAACTTTATTTCATAGCATTTATATACCACTTGATTGTAAAAGGAAACCCTTTAAGTGATTTACGAAAGGATAAAAGGTACAAAAAGGTGAAGGACCCCTGGACAGTTAAGTCCAGTCAAAGGTGACTATGGAGTGTGGGGCTCATCTCGCTTCAGGCCGAGGGGGCCTGTTTGTCCACAGACAGCTTTTCCGTGTCATGAAGCCAGCAGGACTAAACTGCATACCTGTGATGCCACTAAATAATTATAGACCCTGGAGTTAATGGACCTACCAGGGATTGTTTTGCAGCATGTTTATTTGGCTACTTTTGTTGCAGCCACTCTGCATTCTCCCCACCCCACCCCCCACATCCCAAAATGTTGCTGTATCCTTGTCATGCATCTGGAAACAGAACTATTTTGAAGTGATTGCCATTGTCTACAAAAGCAATAAACTTCAAATTAAACATAAAATGTGAAAGAGCTGATCACATTCCTAAATGGTAAGGGGGTGAATTTTGGTGCATTCCAAAAACTTCCAAATATGGCCATGTATTTTTTGGGTGGGGGCATGTAGACCACCCCTAGTTTAGACCCAGTCCAAACTTATGAGCTGTCTTACAGCGTCTTTTATATCAGGACCCTCCCTATTTTTAGTAATTGTGGAGATTTTTGGAGGGGGGAACGGCAAGTTTTAAAAACTGTTTATTAAGTTGCATTTTGAATGGTTGTAACCTGCTCTGGAACTTTAGGGAGAAGGGCAGGTAATAAATCAAAATCACCACCACAATCACGTCAGTTCCATCCAGATGTTGTTCGACTCCACTCCAAGTCTGTCATCACCAGCTAAGATGGGCAATGATCAGGGATTCTGGGAGCTGTATTTAGGGAGGGGAGGGGAACTGTTTGGTTGATGTTTTCATGAAAATCTACCAATTGTGCACTATCCAAATCAAGATACAAGTCAAAACATAGCCATCCTTTGAAATTTGCACTTCCCTGAATTTTGGCATGAAGTTCTCCAACCAAAAATAAAACAAAATAAATGCATTTAGTATGCATCCCTCATTTGATTTCTTGACAAATTTACAATGGGCCTCACAACCACAAACGCTGCTTGCACTGCATCCCATATATACTTAGCAAGGGATATGGACTTTACAGTCCTTGCAATCCTCCCTCTGTTCCTCCCCACACCTGTTCCACCAGCTTCTCTTCTAAACTTGAATCCTTAAGTTCATGCTTCATTTCTTCTACCTTCTCCTCAGTGTCAAATGTGGGCAGGTCTATTAAATCCCACCCTACTGTCTCAAAGACATCTTCCAAAAACTGTGAGGGCTAGAAACCTACGTTATAAAACACATACAATCACTCCCAGGTTTCTTATCAACAGCTAGCATGTAAATGTGCCAAGTGGGTCCCTTGTTTCCCATCCCTGTCCCCATTTTGAAGCTTTCAAAAGCCATGTGAAAGCTGAGCTTGGCAGACTCTTTTCGCCTGCAACTCCTTTGTGGGGGGCTTCTAGTAATTGCAATTGTAAATTGATGTGATTCTTATTTGGCTAATAAATACTTTATTTGCACGTGCGAAGTCAATAAGAAGCCGTCTTCTCTTTGTAATAAGATTTTAACACAATTAATCTGGAGGAGGGGGATTTACTGCTCATCCTGCCATGTGGAGGCTCCATGTGGAGCAATAAAGGCACCATTTGCATCTCATTAAGCAGAAGAAGGTAAGACAGAGGAAGCCTCCATGCATCCTCCCTGGAATCCTAAGAAGCGGAGCTGTCTTGGAGAAGAAAGCACAGCTAACAGAAGGATCAAAGTCTCCGGCTTCCAATTAAATGTTGCAAGAGCAAAGGGCTGTGGGGGAAATGCAGTAATTAAAAGTTGTTTTGAGGGGGGTAGGAAACAGGCCTTGTACCTAAACGAGAGCCCAAACCTGAGATTTACCCCTTTCTTCCTTGTTTTAGCAATGGGACAGCGGTCTATGCGTTCTGATGCACAAAGGGCAACGCTGTGACCCCTCAAGCTCTGTTTTGGAATGAATCCTACAATAGAATGGAAATGAACCCCAACCAGGCTGAAAGGTTTGGCTGAGGACCCAAATGTGTGATTGGGAGACTCCCCCTTTCTCAGCTCCCTCTTGCTTAATACACTGTATCCAATGATGCTGACTGTTGGGAGACAAAACAAAGACAAAACAAAGCACTTCTTGTCGCAGCGGGTAGGTAAACTATAGAATTTGCTCCGGCAAGATATCACAATGGCCATGAATTGGGATGGCTTTAAATGAGGATTAGAGGAAGGAAGAACAAGCTATTAGTGGCTGACAGCCATGGTGGCTGTGTTAGTCTCCCTCCGCTGTTGGAGCAGTAGGTAGCTTCGTGGTGAATGTCCTCGGAAAAGAGAAGTGTTCTGTGTTCGCTCCTTTCTCAACCAAAATGGGCACAATTCCTGCAGCATCTGTTGGCACTGCTTGAGGAATTTGATATTTGTGAACCCCTATACAAACTGCTGCACCTCCTGGACTACTGTGGAGGCTGGAATTTGGAAGATAGTTATCCTTCAAAGTTAACACTTCTCCAAATTCTGTGATACAGTTCTCAGCTCAACTTGCACCTTTGAAATAAAATACATTGAGAAATAAGTGGGGTTTTTTGAAATACGCTTTCAAAACCTCTTATGTAAATGTGGATTTACTTGTTTGTTCATTATTATTTTTTTAAAGCATAGATTAATGTAGATATATAATCAAAATACTTGGTCTTATATATGATATTGGCAGCATGAATAGGAATTGCAACTCAATAGGAAGCATCCCAAAATCTTACACAGTGCGCTTGGTACCACTGTCTCTGGAATATAGCTATAATGGAGAAAATAACACATAATTTGTGATAAGGACTAGAACCTGAAGATGCTTTTTAAATGATTTGGCATTCTTTTATGAAATATATAGCAGAACCATCATTTTCAAGATGGACCCATGTCACAAGCTTGGCAAATCTGGAACTAGACTTGATAATCTGGTGATGTTGATAGTCATTACTTGGACTTTGGGTTTTTTTTTAACCCAAGTGCAACTGTATTAATTCTATGTGCCTATTTTGCAGTTTTGTTTTCCATCTTTTAATTTTCACCTGTTGTTATAATTTTTTGTTTAAATATCTGTTTTTAATACATTATAGAATGAATTTTTAAAAAACTTTACCAAAAAATTAAGGGAATGGGACAGAAAAGACTGATGAATGAACACCTGCAAAAGTGACATGCTGCAGAAACAGCTGGATCTATTCCTCCATCCCAATCAGCATCTGCAATTGGTCTAGAGCAGTCCCCACCAGCACCCCAAATTAAAAATACATCACTTACTTTTTCCATCAGCTGCCGTAGTTGTCGGCTGCGCAGGTCCCTGGAGCATGTGCCCTGGACAGGGATGACAGCCGTGCACAGACATTTGCCGTCGGGGGCCTGAGCGGAAGTGTAGACCTGCCAGCCTTCATCGGGGCTCTGGAAGAGAGTCTGCAAAGAGAAAGAAGCATAGAGCACTCAGCAACATGGTCAGGGCTTCTGGCCTTGCTCCTAATCCCAATAGCTGCAGATGGAGGAGACACCAGTATATTTGCACTACACATTGAAACCAGTTTCAGAATTACAGGACGTCCTCACAGCAAGCACTACTGGATTCTCTTGCAGGGACGGGCAGACAGTCAAACCCAACTGAAAGGAGTTTTAAAGAGGTGTTGTATTTGTGCTGAAGATCTTCATGGGAGAACAAAGGCTCAAAATCCTGGAAATTGCTTTGAGTTTCATTTGTGGGCGGGGAACACAAATCTAATAAATAAACAAATAGGCTTTTCAGCAGGCATAGGAGTTTAGTGCAAATGAGGCAGAGGCTTGACAACCATATGTCAGGAGTGCTCTGATGGTGTTTCCTGCTTGGCAGGGGGTTGGACTCGATGGCCCTTGTGGTCTCTTCCAACTCTATGATTCTAAGAAAGGCAAGATATCATGTGCCTAGGTAAGTTCTCTTGCCCCAAGTTGAGATCTCATCCAAACAAGGGGTATTCTGGTTTACTACATGTACACTCTTTGACTTGGGTCATATCTATATATGCAGCAGAATAATGTGGGGCTGAGAGATTTATTTCTCTCTCACTTGCTTTCTTTGCAAAGAATGAGGAAGATTAAAAAAATGTGCCTTTTCTTGAAGTGGTACAGTTCATTCTACCATCCTATCCTGCTCCAGGAGTGTATCTCGCTCCACAGTATCAAAAGGGTCTTACATAGGAAACCCCACAGTAAGCCCTTGTCACCATCTCAGATTGGGCTGTCACATAGAGAACACAATGGAAGAAAGGGAGACTTGGAGCAGTCCTCTGCACATGTGCATGCACACACACACAAACACACACACTGCTCATCCAAGAAGTCAATCACCATTTTCCAAACCATTTCACAGGGGTCGTTCTGAGGATGAAAACTTTATATTTCCATGAATGCTACCTTGATCTCTTTGAAGGTAATTCAGGATATGAATGCAATTAATTAATTAGACAACAATATACAATAATTATTAATTATTCCTGAATAGTGTAGTAAATTAATAATATATAGTAGTATAATTCACTAGGTGTGACCATCAGAAATTAGGTTAATTTGCTTACAAACAACCTGGAGGGACACAGCTGAGAATAAGAAAGGTTTTATCTATTGATTAGGAAATGTAAAGAAATACACTACACATAGCCTCCATCCCAAGCTTGAAACCAGCCTCCCCCAACTTAGTGTCCTACAGATGTTGCTGCGACTCTAACTCCCTCCACCCCTGAAAATTTGGCCATGGAGGCCATGGGGCTGAAGGCAGCTTAAGAGCAAAAGCTCTAGAAAAAAGCCTGAGAAACAGAGGCAGGGCTTATCCTGCTTCTTCGGAGTTCCCATGAAAAAAAAGCCACCAGAGAGACTGGAGATGCCAAGTTCTGCCAACACAACAGCCTGTGGAAAAGATTTGCTGCTTGTCTCTCCTCATCTTCCCCAGCCTGACTCCCGCCCACACGGCATCTCTGTAAATATTTGCTGGCTTTTTGAAGAGTTAGCATTGGCTGTTGTCATTGTGTGCATGCACAGACACACTTCCCCACAAAACTTGCAAAACTGTGAGATGCAGGCAAGTCTGGGAGATCTTTAATACAAAATAAAAAGCAGACAGTTATCAAATTATGCTAATGTGCTGCTTACAGTTAAACAAGAATACATCATGATTCTTAGGGGTGTACAGTTTCCCCCTCTATTTTGTAAGTCCATTTGTTTCCATTATTAAAAACTTCACTCATTTCATTATTCAGCCATTAAAAGCACATTTGTTTCAGCATTTATTTGTTCATGTTCAGTTCCATTTCCCCCTTTCTTTGTTGTTATGGTTTTATGTGGCGGCAGCAGTAATGCTTACAGTGGTACCTCAGGTTAAGTACTTAATTCATTCCGGAGTTCTTAACCTGAAACTGTTCTTTTTTTTTTTAAATGATATTTATTAGAATTTCAAAAGAAAAAGATTACATTAATAAGAAAAATAACAATAAAAAAAGAAAAATACAAAGTACAAGAAAGAAAAAACAGTTAAAAACAATTCCATCTTTTCATCACTTCTCTTACGTTTACTTGTTTCCCGGACCTCCTCATACCTCCCTCTTTTGTATTCCAATTCAATTTGTTAATCCAGCAATTCCTTTCCCTCCTTTTTAATCCTGATCTTTAATCTTGATATATTATAACATTAAATTTTTACGTATTAAAAACCAATTTTTCCATATTCTTTTATACCAGTACAGCTAGAAACCACTTAACTTCAATCCAACATCATTCTAACATTCATTAATTTTGCAATATTTCTGTAAATAGTCTTTAAATTTCTTCCAATCTTCTTCCACCGACTCTTCTCCCTGGTCTCGGATTCTGCCAGTCATTTCCGCCAGTTCCATGTAATCCATCAATTTCATCTGCCATTCCTCCAGTGTGGGTAAGTCTTGTGTCTTCCAATACTTTGCAATGAGTATTCTTGCTGCTGTTGTAGCATACATAAAGAAAGTTCTGTCCTTCTTTAACACCGATTGGCCGAATATGCCCAGGAGGAAGGCCTCTGGTTTCTTCAAGAAGGTATATTTAAATACCTTTTTTAGTTCATTATAAATCATCTCCCAGAAAGCCTTAATCCTTGAGCACGTCCACCAAAGGTGAAAGAATGTACCTTCAGTTTCTTTACATTTCCAACATTTATTATCGGGCACATGGTAGATTTTTGCAAGCTTGACTGGGGTAAACCTGAAACTGTTCTTAACCTGAGGCACCACTTTAGCTAATGGGGCCTCCTGCTGCCACTGCGCTGCCGGAGCATGATTTCGGTTCTCATCCTGAAGCACTACCTAACCCGAGGTACTATTTCTGGGTTAGTGGAGTCTGTAACCTGAAGCGTATGTAACCTGAAGCGTATGTAACCCGAGGTACCACTGTATTTTGGTGGCTCCCTCCCTCCCATAAGCCACTGTCTTCTTTTCCCAGAATGCCACAGATATTAAGAACATAAAAAGAGCCCTGCTGGATCAGGCCCATCGAGTCCAGCATCCTGTCCTCACAGTGGCCAGCCAGATGCTTGTGGGAAGCCCACAACGGAGGGCAAGATCAGTCTCCCCACTTGCGATTCTTCAGCAACTGGCATTCAGAGGCCTCAGACCAGGGAGGTGGGATACAGCCAGCATAGCTAGTGGTCACTGATAAACTTATTGACCATGAATTTGTCCAACCTGTTTTTGAAGTTATCCAAGTTTTGGATAGGTATGATTGCATGAGTGATTTCCATCACTGACTAGGCATTGTGGGGCAAACTACTAACCTCTATCTTTCCTGGGTCTTCCAACAGTCAGCCTCATTGGATGGCTCTTAGTAGAGAGAGAAAGCACTTTTCTGTTGCTCTGGAGCATTCTGGAGAAAAAAAATGGCAACTCTCACTGGGGGACACCATTCTCCTCCCAGGGAATGGTCTAAAATGGCACACAGAGGAAACATGATTGCTGACTTGATATTATGTCTCACAGCCAAGGATTGTCATTTGTTTTGCTCCCAACCAGCCACTATCTGTAGCCAAGGTTTCTTCTTGGCTTACTGATCATGGTTTGTTAGAGTGAAATGAACCACAATCCTGGGTTCAGATGCAATGCTGGTTTGACCAAAACAGCCCTGACAGGTGCGCTTACGGCCGTGACAGACTTTGAGCTCTCAAATTTCAGCAGCGCCCTGTGCAATGCTAAAATTTTATGTCCCCCACCTCTCATGCTCCATTGCTATAGCATTGCTTTAACATCCCCTGCAGTGTGTGCCCAGTGCAGCCACACCAGTTGTGCTACCCTAAAACCGTCTCTGCTCATGGTAAAGTCTTCCCTGTGGCTTGCTGTGGCATGGAAGCTGGGTGAGTGAAGAGATGCCCTGCTGGGGTTGAGATACAACCCCAGGTTTCCAGCCACTGCTGAAATCAGCTGATCAGAATCAAGCATTGTTTCTTATCTACCCCCTTCTTCCCTGCTTTTCGTTTCTTGGTCACATGGGAGCGTGACAGAACATTGGGAACTCTTGTATGTAGCTAGATCCTGGAAACATAGGTTATTGTCTGCTTGTTTGACTAAGACAAGGAGGAAAAACTCTCTGGCCCAGTGCCTCTTGATCATTAAAATGCTGTCTCTGTGTCCAAACGCTTTAGGGCTCTGGGACCATAACCCTGGGGTTATAGGCCACAAGAGCAGACCTGTCACACTGACTCCATCCCAAGTCTGCACTGCCTGCCCTCCTTCCCTCTTTCCCACGATGCCACCTCCCTCTTCCCAACCCACACAAACGCAATGTGTTTCTAAAATTCACTTGATTCCTTTCTTTCCCCAACTAAATATGGAGCGGCAAATGCTATTTTTAGTCCCCGCTTGCCCTGGGACATGCCGAACGCACGTAATGAGTTGTGGCGTGACCTATTCTGTCCTTTCCTGTTATGTCACGAAGCTTCATCACCCATTTGGCTGTCTTCTCTCTTCCCCCGCCCCATCCCATTTCAGTTTCTTAAAGAGGCGCCTGCTAAGAAATTGGAGGGAAAGGCTGCAAGAGAGAAAGGAAGCCCCACAGAGCACCGTTCCCAGGCAAACAAGCCACAGCCAGATAGTCTGTACTCTTTTAGAGTCCAACAGTCCCGCCTTTCCACCAACCACATCATGCAAGAAAATTGAGAAAGCCTCTTGGGAAACAGAGCAGAAGGAGCAGCCCTTAACAGAGTGGAGGGTGGACAGAGAATGCAAACTAGGTCAGACCCGTGTTAGCCAGCCTCATGCTCTCTCCTTCTGGATGTGGCACGGCAACCCGCCCATAATTTACATTCAGCACATTAGAGATCATCAGCGAGTGATACCAGGCCAAGTCTTCCTATGACTTCTCAGTAGATCAGCCAAATCTGAGTGATACCAAAATGCCAGCTGAAGAGTTTGTGCCTCCCCCCCCCACCTAAAGCAAGTAGCTAGTCCTCCTGGGTGTAATGGGGTCCTCAGGGCAGGACTCTGAGGCAGGAATCCAGGACCCTGCTTAGCGGAATGAGCAGGAGGGCCCCCAAATGCTGCAAGGCTTGAAGTAAGCGAAATAATTACTCAGTACTATCAAAAGCGGAAGCGGGTGAAGCATAAGACCATTAAGTCCAGATCTAAAATCACCTACTGTAACTGGGCCACTGCATGATAGCAGAAACAGCACTCCAAAATGTATGGGCAGAGATGGTAGAGCTGTACAAGAAAAGTGTAGAGAGGATGAGCAGCAGATTTATTTATTTTTTAAACCCAAAACAAAACACCTCATGCTAACCTGAAGCCTGGACCATGATTGCCTGAAAATATTAAACTTGCCCTGAATTGCTTTCTAGAATATAGGCAGGTAAATCTTCCAAGAGATTGTGTAATAGGTAGCAAAGAATTAAAACTCTATATGTCAAATGGGTGATATCTTCTCAAAGGATAAGAAAACAAGAGGGTTTGAACAAACAAAATCAATATTAGAAACTGCAGTACTACAAAATAACAAAAAAGCACTGTCTAAGGTCTATGAGTATTTATTAGAATGGCACACAAAAGATGAAGAAATCAAAAGTGTCATGATTAAGTGGGCAATAGATGTAGGTCACAACATTGAGTATGGAAAGTGGATAAAATTATGGAATACTGGCCTAAAATTTACAGCATGTACATTGTTAAAAGAAAATCTGTTAAAAATGATGTACAGATGGTACCTCACGCCAATTAAATTGTCAAAGATGTATAAAACAGGAAATAAAAATTGTTGGAAGTGTGGGGTGAAAGAAGGCAGTTTCTTCCACATGTGGTGGACTTGTGACATAATGAAAATGTATTGGGAAAATATATATAATGAATTAAAGAAGATTTTAAAGTATACGTTTTTGAAAAAAACAGAGTCATTCCTGTTGGGAATGGTGGGAGAAGACATTGACAAGAATGACCAGAAACTGTTCTTATACACAACAACAGCGGCGAGGTTATTGCTGGCGCAGGTATGGAAACAGCAAAAATTGCCTACAATAGAAGAATGGCAGTACAAGGTTATGGAGTACGCAGAAATAGCCAAATTAACAGCAAAAATTCAACATCAGAGGAATGAAACATATCAAAAAGAATGGGGAAAATTTATGTTATATATAGAGAAGATGATGTGAAATAGGGAAACCAGTAGAATTAAAATAATATCTCATAACGGGAAATACAAGAAATTTACTGGATAATAATATCAAAATGAATTAAAAATGTATATTAGGATTATTATTGAACAATATTTGTAAATGAATATAGACAGCAAGAATTTGTATATATAGAAAGATTTATTTGTTTACGGACATTTAATGGAAAAAATGAAGAAGAACAATCTTGTGGAAAATGGACAAAGATAATATGAAAAGTCAAAGAGGACACAAGAAAGCCAGAAGAAGGAAGGAGGGAAGTCAGCTCGGGAGAGCAAGAACAAATGTGAAATATAATGTATGTGTATGTACAGTATGGAACTAAAAATTCAATAAAGATCTGGAAAAAAATAAAAAAATAAAACTCTATATGTACTTTGTGTACGAACTTAGTCAGTGGGTGGGTAAAGGTCTGTGATATTTTCCAGTTGCTGCACCTTAACCAGTCTCCCAAAAACCTGGTCCAAATGTGAGGTCTGGTTGTGGGATGAGGCACACCCTCTGACCGCTCTTTTTCCTGTTCCCAAGCTGGATGCCTGCAAAACGTGACGTGAAGGCTGGCAACATCAACCCTGCCATTGGGAATCCCTTGCAAGATGACAGCAGTGCCTGGACACAGTCTGCTCCTGCACCCGGAGCAGTTACCAGAAAAGATAGGACTGCTGGGAGGAGCACAGAGAGAAGAAACGTTCTGGTGCATCAGCATCAGCACAGCTGGACACCTTCATCCGCCCCAGCTGCAACAAAACATGTCTCTCCCGTATCAGTCTCTACAGACACAGCAGGTGCCTTAACCCTCCAACAGTTTGACTTCACCCCCAAAGGCACACTCTTCTACTGTCTCCGAGACAGAGGATGCCAACAAGGATCCTCTTTTCAAGTCATCTAGTCTGGTGGCAACATTGCCTCCTGGGGGAGCAAGTTCTATAGTTTAACTTGGCACGACACGAAGGACTTTCTTTTATCTGTCTTGAATCTTCCAGTATTCAGCTTCACTGGATGATCTATAAGTTACATTTTTATGTTCAGAGATGAATGGGTTTCCTTTATAGGGTTTTCTTTTTAAAGGAGGTAGAATTGTAACAAAACAAAATGAGTAGATGCTCCAATTGCCCCCCCCCCCATTTGTGGGTCTCTGTTTGTAGAGCTACATTTGAAAAACTTAGAACTTTACATAACAGCCCGAAACTTAAGATTACAGTGAAAGTTTTTTCTTGCTTTAATAAATATTTCATAAGTGTGAAAATAAGAAATTCCACTTTGAGCCTTAGAAAGGCATACTTCTTTATTTATTCTTTTGGTTTGGGCATAGAAAATAAATTGTTTACTGGGGGGGAAAGCAAACAAACTTGAGAGTGGCTGTTAATGTATTGTTTGCTGTAGGGGTATTGTTGTGGGTTGGGTGAATAATAGGTTTTAAGTAGTTGTGGTTCTTTTTGCAAAGGCAGGTTTTTCTTTCTCCTTTCACCTGTGCTTCTGTATTTGTGAAGATAAAAGTAAAATCAAAAGCACTGAATTGAGAATATGTTACACCCTTTAAATTGCACCCACCCACGCAACAAAGCAGCTTATAACAGTTGAGGCTCTTCGGCATCTTCATTCCCACCAAAACCTTCCTACGGACTCAGTCATGCTGCCTGCAGGATTATCCCAAGACATGTGTGTTTTTCTTGCTTTTGCTACATGCTCTTTCATTTCCCTGTGCAAACACCCATTATTACAGGGGAGGGGGGATACATGAAGGTGGCCATTGTCCCAAAGGGTGCTTGTAGGTGTCTGGTGATCCTTCCCTGACTGCTTGAGGCAGATCCAGCCTCTATGGAATGCATTGCTGGCTGCTGCCGTAATGGCAGCAAAGGCTTGAGCGCAGTCCAAAGGAGGCTGTTTCAGGGGCAAATGACTGGCAAGGAAATGGTTAATCACCCACTGACCATCCTCCCCCCCCCCAGTCCTCCCAGGCCCCTTGGCAGCAGGGAAGGGGGCCATTAGGGCAGCGGAGGCTGGTCCATTAGAACAAATACAACACTGTCCTACCACCAACCCTCAGGCTGCCCTCCAGCCAGCCTGTCAGCATTGTCTTCCTCAGGTAGCAGAACTCACCAAGGAAGTGGGTGCAGGAATGTACCCAGTGCTTTCCCCCTAAAAAATGTTTAGGGGTACTCTCATTTTCCTACTCATATTGAAATACTGCCCCTCAATGAGGCTAAACTTAGATTCCCAAAGTGTTTAGGGGTATGCATCCCCCTGCGTCCCCCCCCCAACAAACACTGGATGTACCTAAGGATTGGGCAGGTTGGCCCCTGCTGAGGCACATAGAGACCTATAAGCTCAGCTAACTAGCCAGGCTAGAGGCCTTGTGCCGTATCTTGTGCTAGGAGCAGCTTTACTCCCAAGGTTGTAAACACATTCCTAAGCATCTGCATATGAAAGGAGACATGCCTTGCTGTTCTGAGATGTACCTTCAAATGTCCTAACCCCTCAGGTAGAAAGGAATGCAAAGAGATCACGTGCAGGGTGGGGGGAGGCTTAGAGAGAGTTCTTTGTTCGCTTGCTCAATGAATAGGTAATGAAGGAAAGACCATACATGGTATAATTAGTTTTGTGTTGTAACTTTAGATTGAAGGAAGTTTATGCATGTGTATTCCTTTAATAGATAGCAGCTATGCATACTAGGAAGGCCCCACCCTTCTGTGGCTTTGCTCAGCTTTTGGAGAGTGATCCCACTGAGCCATTATTGCTAGCAATAAGCACCCTTGGTTTTCTCACTGCCATATGAAGATTTCCTTCAGCCTCAAACGTTCATTTTTGCTACACTGCCAAGGGTGCAGGCCCAGAAGGGTGCAAATATTCGCACCTCTCCACTCTGGCTTGGAGTGGCTAGGAGCCTGTCCACCCACCTGCACACTCCCTGGGTGTGTGGCCAACATCTGCTGCTCTGGGTGGCCAAAATCTGCTTGTTGGACATGTGTGTGTGTGTGTGCTGAAACAGCTCTTTGACAAGGGCGCAAGGGAGCCTAGGTATGCCTCTGGGTGGATGGGACAAAATTCAAATTCCTAGTGGCTCCACCTGGCTCTGGCTCCACCTACTGTTGGCCTCCATGCCACTCTGATGGTCTGCCCTGTCCTGGCTATGCTTTCTGTCACTCCTCATTTTCTCTTTACCCCAAACTTTTCTATTGTGGCCTGTCTAGCTGTACCTTTGTCCCTAAGTAGTTGTCACACAGGCAATCCATGGCAGACTTTCCCAAAGTAACGTTCTTGTTGTAGTTGCAGAGGAGGTGGGTTTGGAGGAGTCACACACACACACACACACACACACACACACACACACACACCAGATCTGAATCCTCACTTCTCAAGGCTGCCTTAAGAAGACAAAAATTACTCCCAGAGATTCAATTGCATCACATAAATCTCCTGAGCACAGACGGCATTGTCTCCCTTGGACTGGTCCAGGCATGCAGGGACAACATCCAATCCATCATTGTATGAACCATCTTCACCGTAAAACAACTTTGATACAGGAAATAGGGAACATAGAAAGCTGCCTTCTGCGGAGTCCCTGGTCCCTCCGGCTCAGGACTGCTGATGTCTGACGTGGGGGAATCTTGTTCAGCCCAAGGGCCACAGTCCCTCCTGGGCAACCTCCCAGAGGCCACATGCCACTGCTTTGTGGGGCCAGAGGCAAAAGTGGGCAGACCAGGGAATGCAAATGTACCCTTTGTCCAGTAGACTCGTCTCTACACACACTCACAGAGACCTCTCTATCCTATCCTCCTCCCTCCTCTCCTCACTGCATGTTTAATTGGGGTTTAAAGCCCTCATTAAACATGGGGCAGTTCTGTTTGGGGCCAGATATGGATCGGCCCCATAATGATCCAAGCTGGCTTGTGGTTGCCATATCAGCCCCTAGATCAGGGGGGCCTACCCCTAGGCACAAGGGGTTCACACCCACCCACCCATCACATTTTAAAGTCATTGTGGAGGGGGTTGGGCTGGCTAGCTCCATCCACCGCTGGTATTTGGCAACCAATGGTTGTCCAACCTCTACTCCATGCTGGCAAAATGCATTGCGAGAAAATATTAATTTTTGGAATTCTACGACAGCCAAAACCATTGCAGCCCTTTTCTCTATGAAAAAAAAAATGCTGCAAACAAGATAATACTTTTTTTTCTTTTTTTAAAAACCCCCAGTCCATTTATTTTCACATATGCTAATGCCAAATGTTGATTTTGCTGCAGGAGCACGGACACTCGGCAGAAGGGACGTTTGTCAAAAGCTGGCAGTGTGTTCTCGCTGTTCTCCCAGGCACATCGGCGGAGGCAGGAAATATTGCCTTTGTTGTGAAAGCTCTCCCCTGCCCGCTCCCCCTCCCTGGCCAGACTCTCTTTTGACACCACAAGATGTGCAGATTCCATCCCTTGCTTTTCAGAGCTTGGAGCTTATCAATTATGGAGGATGCGGCAAAAATGCCTACATTCCTTGGAAAGGAAACAGCAAGGTATGGGAATCTGGGATGGTGTCATGGTTGGAGTATTACTTTTACCAGGGAGAGCCAGGTTCAAATCTCAACTTGCCCAGGAAGCTTATTTTGTTGCCCCCGGCACACCAGCCTCACCACTTCTCAGCCCAGCCAGATTTGATGTGAGGATTGGGAGCTACACCTCCATGTGCGCTACTTTGAGATCCTTGGTGAGCTAAAAGTTGTGGGGTGGACTGGATAACCTGCAGGGGACCTTCTCATCCAGTGATTCTATGAACAACGGGGCCTAGACAGCCCCAGCCAGCACAGCCAATGGTCACAGGTGATTTGTGAGTTGTAGTCCAGCAACATCTGGTGGGTGCCAGGTTGGGAAGGCTGGCTTAGGCTGCACCTTTGCCTAAGCTCAGCCTGTATACCTGAAAGCAAACCCAAGTATAGAAAGGAAAAACAACTGCCAAGAAATATCCAGGGCTCTGTTTCCAAATGGAAACAAAATCTGGGTGAGCGCTGCACCCCAGGAACATCTCACTGGTCACAGAATAGAGGAGACCTGCAACAACATAACTACATGAGAGAGCACAGTCTGCAATGGAAGGGGACGCCCTAGTCTCTTTCAGTGGAACTGTTTGTGGGATAGCTGAAATACAAGCAGCAGTTCATTTCTTAAAAATCCTTTCGACTGTGTTGAGAACATGACACACATTACATGAAACTTAGCATGCAGAATATCACACTGCTTGGGGATTTCATGAAATGTAAATATTTGCAAGATTGAGGGCAGGATCTGGTCTGTGCCCTATGCAGGGCAGCATAGATACAGACCCCGGGTACCAGCGCAACTCAGTGACACAGTGGCCTTGTACCATCTCTGCTGAGAGGCATTATGACTCTGAACACCAGTTGAAACAAATTACAGGGGGACAAATGTAAGGTTCTGCACTTAGGTAGGAAGAACCAGATGCACTTATAAGGCGGGGGACACCTCGCTTACTAGCAGTACATGTGAAAAGGATCTAGGGGTCTTGGTGAACCAAAAGCTTAAAATGTGTCAACAGTGTGATACAGCAGCAAAAAATGTCAATGCTATTTTTTTATATAATAATTTTTATTAATTTTAACATATAAATTATAATACATACCACAAAACTTCACCACTTATACAATCTTTTTTTGGACTTCCATCAGCACCTCTGATGATCCACCGTTTTAACCACTTCTTGTGCATTTCTTAAATTCATATTGCCTTTAATTATCATAACTAACCATCCTCCCCTTTATCCATTTTTGCAATAGTTCCAATAATTCCCCTCACAAAACTTCTTCCAAACCTACAAATGTAGTCTGATCATCACATTTACTTTTCAAATAGTCTGTAAATTTACACCAGTCTTCTGTGAATTTCTGGTCCCGCAGATTTCGAATCCTTCCTGTTAGTTTATCTAGTTCTGCATAGTCCATTAATTTCATCCTCCAAAATGTCAGTGCTATTCTAGGCTGCATCAAGTAGTAGTCCTGTTGTATTGTGCCTTGATCAGATCACACCTGGAGTACTGCATCCAATTCTGGACACTACAATTTTAGACGGATCATGTTGACAAGCTGGAACATGTACAGAAGAGGGGAACCAAGATGTTCAAAGGTATGGAAAGCAAGCCTGATAAGGAAGAGTTGAAGGAGCTGGGTATGTTTATCCTGGACAGGAGGAGACTGAGAGGAGTTATGATAGCCACCTTCCAATATCTCAAAGGCTGTCCCATGGAACAGTGAATAAGCTTAATTTTTTCTTGCTCTGGAGGGTAGGATTGAAACCAATGGCTTCAAGTTACAAAAAAGGAGATTCTGACTAAACATCAGGAATAACTTTCTGACAGTAAGAGCTGTTAGACAGTGACACAGTCTCCCAGGGGAGGTTGTAGACTCTCCTTTGGAGGTTTGTAAGCAGAGGTTGGATGGGAACCTGTCATGGATGCTTTAGCTGAGATTCCTACATTGCAGGGGTCGGTCTAGATGACCCCTGGGGTCCCTTCCAAGTCTAAAATTCTTTGATTCTGTGGTTCCTCTGGTTGGCCCCTGTGAGAACAGGATGCTGGACAAGATAGATCCATGCTCTTATGACAGTAACATGGGACAGGAAGGAAGGGTGCTGAGGGGGAAAGAATAATCTTTTTGGTTTTTTACTCCGGCCAGAGGAGGAGGTCAATGTTCACATGTGCTGAATGGTGAAGCCAATCTAGAAGCACCTTTACTGCATTAAATCATCGATGAGGAACCCCAACCCTCCAAGTTCCTCTCCCTGGTCCTTGGAACTATTCCCAGGCCAAACCCCACCCTGGCCATGCGTCACACCCTGCGAGTTTTTGCCCTGGCTGCAATGTCTCCTTGGGCGGCTCCTCATTGCCTGGATGGGTGAGAGAGAGATTTGTGTGAGTGTGTCCAGAAACGAGCCTCCTGTACAAAGGTCATTTACATCCATTGCTCCACCCTCTTTTGCCTCTGACCCCGCCAGCCACTGTCATGTGGCCCTTGGAAGTTTGCCCAGAAGAGAATGCAGCCTCCAAAGCTGGACAAGTTTGCCCACCTCTGGATTATGACGAACACATTCTTTTTCCCCTCCAGGATAAAAGCTCTGGGAAAATCAACCTGATTCAGTAAATTTACAGCAAAGATCAGTATAAATTGAGGTGATTAGCTGCCGCTCTCTCTCCAGAATGCTGCTGAGAAACCTCTAGCCATACACCACCCTCATTGGATGTGAATTGGCCGTCCCAGCTCTTAACAGCATGCACAATGGAGCCAGTTCACACATTCAGCTGTTGCTTACCTCCCGAGGTAATCGAATGAGAAGGCAGAAACCCGAGGCAAGAGAGTGGACTATGTATTCAGTCCAACTGCAGGTAAGCAGATTGCTACTATATATATATATATATATATATATATATATATATATATATAATCCCTGAAAGTAAATAGCAAACACAGTCCAGCTATCTCCTTGCTCTGCTGGTTTTCTACTCGCAGGGAGGTTTCTGTGTTTGCTTGCTCAGTAATATGTGGCAGTTGAATGGACAGTCCATTCTACCGCTTCAGGTCTCTTGCAACTCATTCTGCTACATGTGGCGACCAGGCCCAAATATGGAGTGATCGAGTGATGTATAATCAAAGTGAGGCATCTAATCTGTACAAGGAAAGAGTTCCAAATCGCCACTTTCTTCTGTTGTAACAGTTACTGGAATTAACGTTATATATTTGATATAGGCACTTGCTGGCTCATCAGAATTTCCTGCTGGTGTGGAAGAATTGAAAACATTTTCTTTCCACCCCTGCAAACTGGCATATAGTCAGATTCCCAAATCAGATTTCTCTCTGTGTGTGTAGAATCCTGTACATGCAAAAGTTGCAAAGAACAAACACTGGCTTATCTATAATCATCACTTCTAACACACACACAGAGGGAGGGGGGGCTCTGATGATTCCAGCTTGGCTCTGAAGTATAAGGGCAAAAATCTCTTGGAAGGCAAATTCCTTTGCTAGTAAAACATAGTTGCTTTCAAAAGGTGCAAGCCCTCAAATTTCCCTTGTGGCATTTTTTTAATGCTTTTGTAGGAGAAGGTAGCAGTTTCATACACTCAAATCTTTTCTGGCACATAAACCACAAATGGCCTGAGGGCAACCGGTTATGAGCAAAGAAAAACTTTGAATCAAACTCCCAATCGCTTCTCTCCCCCCCCCCCCCCACTTTCTCTCCACTGTTTTACATTAATAATATTGATAAGCTACACAAATCACATTCTCAGAAGTGTCAACTACAAATGATTCAGGACAGAACTTCATATGAAGCAGGCATGCCCAGGTTTTCAGGGCTAACAAGGGGTTGGGGGGCTGCTGCAGGGAAGACTGGCAGCAGGGATGGGTGATTTACTCTTCCCATACTTTCCTACAAGCTACCTCTCACCCTCCAAAAAATTCTCTGTTAGGCTCACAAGACTAGAAATAGGACCCCAGAAACAAGGAATTGGGGTGGGAAACAGACAAGGAGGGCATTCAACAAGGGGGAAATCTAGGGTACAGAGTGGATTAAGAGCCCACCCCACTCCACTGCCCCACTGACTGATGTCTCCTCCACGCTACATTTATGTCAGAATGAGGAAGTACGTTTACATAATATGTGCAGTTCTGCACTGAAGTTCACATGCAATTGTGGCTGTCAAGTGATAAGCTACTTTGGTTGATCAATTATCTTAAAAATTTAAAACTGCACAATATCAGCATAAGCTGCTTATTCAGGTCCTGGGAGGAACTGCAAGATTAGTTAGCTGCTGAATTATCAAAAGTTAACCACTCATTACTAGTAAGCTAATTTAAGAATGAAAGAAGTTTTTCTCTACAGTATTTTACTGTACAGTACAGTACTGGTTATGTACTTAATTAGTTCCGGAGGTCTGTTCTTAACCTGAAACTGTTCTTAACCTGAAGCACCACTTTAGCTAATGGGGCCTCCTGCTGCTGCCGTGCCACCTCCGCACGATTTCTGTTCTCATCCTGAAGCAAAGTTCTTAACCCAAGCTACTATTTCTGGGTTAGTGGAGTCTGTATCCTGAAGCGTATGTAACCCGAGGTACCACTGTATTGCAGTAACACACCAGAAGCAAAAGAGCATTAACAAACATGATAAATTGTGCCCTATTCAGTAACACATCAAAACCAAAAGAGCCTTAACAACAATTGTGCCCTGTGCCCTGAACCAAACTAGTCACCACCAATATCACCACCATCAAATAAATAAAGCCGGGTAAGTAATACACCAGAACCAAAACAGTCACAGCCGCTGCCACAGCGTGCCTTTAACTTGCAGCCATGCTGTTTAAACTTTGCCATCACCAATCAATCAGTCCAAGGATACAGTCATCCATGGTTAGCTATCTTGTGGAGCTCCCATCGATTTCAGCATCAGAGACAACTCTGAGGCAAGGTAAGCTGCAGCAGCGATACACCCAGCATAGGTTGCTCCTTTCTGGACCCCCTTCCGCAACCCACAAACCAGCAATGTGTGCCATTTCCCTCAGCCTTGACATGGAAGATGCAGCCAGTAGATGGAGAAACCTTGGAGTTGGCATGGCCTGTCAAAAGCCAGCTAAGTTATAACAAGAAAAGTGCTGGCATGAGATTGGCAATTGGAGAGAAAAAGGCAGGAGATCAAGGAGCTGTGTTTATCCTAATTTCCATCACCATATGCTTCTCTGGAACAATTTCAAATGCCAAAAGGAATCTATGAGGGATGGAGTAGTGGGGAATAGGATACTTTTATAGACTACCAGCTGCTTACATTATTGTGTCAGCCATAAATCCACACTCCTCATGTCAACAGTGTCATGGAAACAGTGTGTGCATTTCAGAATCGGTGGTATGGCGAGAAGAGCATTGTGAAAGACTCGCCCAATCTTCAGCCTCTACATTCAGAGGGAATGTCGCCTATGAGGAAGGCTGGGCAGCAGCCATTCAAAGTGGAGGCTACGCCATGGCAACCCAGCTCTAGCTCCACCCACATATACTGTGATGTCATGTTAGTGTGTCATGGAGGTGGCACATGCTGAGGATGGGTGGGGCTTGCTGAGGCACAACCCTGCCCCATGAGATGTGGTGCAGTGGCTTCTCCATCCAAAGGCCCTGGGCAGGATCTAACCATGACAAGAGAATTTCCCCATCCTGATAGGTCCACTCAGTACTTCTGAATTTCTAGTATCAACACTCTTTCACCCTTGAGGAAAGCACAGCTCAGTAGTAGAGCACACATACATATATATGCAAAAGGTTCAACCCCTGGCATCTCCAGGTAAAAAGCATCATGGAAAGGTCCCCTTCCGCTAGGAGCACAGGACAGCCACTGCCAGTCAATACATGCGGTGTAGTGGTTAGTGTGTTGGGCGAGAACCTGGGGTACCTGAGTTCAAATCCCCACTTGGCCATGAAGCACACTGAGTAATCTTGGGCCACTCACCATCTCTCAGCCTAACCTACCTCACAGGATTGTTGTGAGTATAGGAATGGGCAGCGGGAGAACTATGGACACCACCTTGAGTTCATTGGTAGGATATTAATGTAATAAAAAATAAAAATAATAGCATTGGGGTGGCAACTGTGAGAATGGGCCACTGTTATAAGGGACGTATCAGCAGGCTGGATGGGCCTTTAGCTTTGCAGGAGTACATAAAATCTTTGAGGGGAATCTAATAAGCAAACCCCAAAATGGACCAATGAGCACTGAGCATGCCCAGTGGCCATGCAATGCCGACTGGCTATTGGGAAGGGGAATTTGAAACAAGTGGGTGGGAAATGGAATGAAGTGCCTGGGATTCTGAACAGGAGCACTCAATGTTGCAACGTTTTGTTGTCGATCCCTTCTCTTTTCCAATGCAGGGCTATGTTAAAGGAGAGCAAAAGGCACCGATTGAACTTTCCCTCCCACTGTGTAGCAGAACTTCACTTTCCCCAAAGCAAGAAGCACTGGCTCAGATCATCCAACGGATTCTTTCTTTGTACCTCATCAAAACCTAAGACGAGTGAGATCACAAGTTCAACGCAACCAGAGTCCTGTTCTCTTCATTCCCAACAACAGTCAAGGAACTCACATGAAACCCCCCTTTGGTGTCTGGGTTGTCTCATCAGAATTGCTAGACATCGTACTTCAGCCAGCACAAAGTGGACTGTAGTCCATGAGAGCTTATGATCACAGGAGAGAGGGGGAGAAATAGAGGAATGGGGGCTGGGGGGCTGTGCTATCCACTGACCACTTCTTTAGCTTACAAGCATTTTAATTCTGCTCACACATTTCCAAGATGGTTGTTGTTTTTCCTTACATTTCTGTGCAACCTCTCCTCCATCCTGGAAGGCAAAGTGTCATTCATGTGCTTCCTGTGCAGTCACCCATCTAGAAACGGATCAGACCTAAACCGCCTTAGCTTCAGTAAGGTGGTAGTCACTTACGCCTTCCGGCCAAAGCCTGGGGAATATGCATTGGCGGATGCTGATTGCTTGAAGTGAAAGCATTGATTTTCCAGATTCTGTACTTGCTCACAGCCTACCACCTCCCAGTCAGCCTGACTCTAGGCTTCTCTGTTCTTTCTCTCCCCCAGCTTCCAAAGTGCTCTTTGCAGCCACCTCTTTCCCCACAACTGGTGCCCTGACCTGATCTGGATACATCCTGTCTCTGGAGCCTGGGTAAGGTTAGCCCTTTTGAAAGTAATCCATATGTACAAAATACGGATGGGGAACAGGGAGTGGGGTCCTGCCACTGGAACCACTACTGACACCTTGTGCATCACAGACCCTGCCCACCTCAAAGCATGAATGTTGAGCAGGATGTTTGCAGGAGCACTGGCTTGCATTCAGCTCCATGTGATTGGGATCTTGCCATGTAGCTCTCCAGACTATATGGAGCCCATGTGCATGTTCAGCTGGATGTGCATAGACTATGGGGAGGCAGCAGGCTCAGTGGCTAGGTGTGGGTCCAGTGGCACAGCTCTGCTGTTTTTCTGAAAGTGGCTATTTGAACCCATTCAAACTAACATCTCCCTTCCCATACAAGAATCAGCAGTGTTTTACAGCATCCTGTTACTGATGCCACTCCCTGGACAAATGAAGTGCTTCTGAAACATCAGAGCATCTCAATCAGCAGCAGAATATGGGGAGAGATAGCAGTCAGGCCTTTGAAAGCAGACAGGCATTTTTCAGATCATCTCATAGATAAGAGAGTCTGCTGATTAAGATTCTATCAAGTGTGTCTTCTCCCAGCATGGATCTTATTGGATATGTGGAAGCTCCTTTGTTTGTTTTCAGCCCCATTTCTGAGAGCATGTGAAGGTTGCATACTCTGAAAGAAGACAGGGGTGTCAGACCTTGCCATACCCTACCCAGTTATGCAGAGGTAGAAGGGAGACAGGCTAAAGCCGGATCTGTGCTGGTTGACGCATGGTAACATTAAGGTCTCTAGGGTGCCATTGCATTCCTGATGCAACCATTCAGAGCGCTATGAGACTGAGATGCTTCCCTGCACCCGCACCCCCAAGCTGGCCAGAATGCCTCCCCCCTCCTGCACTGGAGATGGCGGTGATGAAGGACCTGGCCAGGTTGGGAGGGACAGAGGCTGCAATTATGTCTTCAGGAGGAGCGCTGAGTCTTTAAATGTGTCACTGATTGGGACCCAATTAATTTGGATGACCAGCGCTTGTCCTATAAACACTTATTTTGTTTTTTAATTAAGCGCTTCCAAGTTCAACAGGAGAAGAGGGGGAACTTCCACCTGTCCATCAGTAGAGCTTTTTGCCCTGGTCAAGCAAGGAACCCCTACAGGCATATCCAAGTGTCAATGAGGAACACAAGACTCTTTTAGTCTCCCACTGAACTGTGGCTGCAGCTCACCTCCTGCAGTGAAGCGTGACCAGAGCTGGATCCAGGCCATGGATTTTATTTTGCTGTAGAATTAGGCAGGATCCCTGGGTCTGTCATATCCCTTCCCAGAGAACCCTCTGTTGTGAGAAAGTCTAGCTAGATGGAGCACATGTCTGATTTAGCCCGACAATGTCTACTGTGTTTCCCATGCAAAATTCATAGCCAGGAATGGGCCAATTATGTTCCCACTGAGTCCCATTGGGCTGCATTGCCTTTTGGTTGGTTTCCTTCAGCATGGAAAATTGAGAGGGATGTGTGTGTGAGAGAGCTATTCCACCTTTTTGACATTCACCCACTGATTTATTCACCCCATATGCTGGTGCTTCTCCACCGAAGTGCTTAGCATTTCCATGGGTAATTCATAATTATTAATTATGAAAATCAAGAGCAGAGTCATCCGTTGCATACAGCCAGGCAAAGATAAACGACCTGATCTCTTCTTATAAGGCCAGGGCGAGATGTTGTTTTTGCAGAGACTGGCTTTAACTTCATGTTTCGCTTTGGAGGGAAAAGGGGATTTATTGGACACACTGCTGGATAATACAGTCTCAATGCAGCTGCACAATGAATCTTAAATTAAATGGGGAGTGGAAAGCGAGGTGGGCCTGAGAACAAGGCGACACAACATGTATTATGGCAGAGCAGAGTGCCCTATAGCAAAATTGCTCTTCTGAAAATCACAATTTATTATTTAGTGGCTACACTTGTATCCAGCTCTTCTTCCAGAAGAACACACAACAGCTTACATATGGTAATAGCCTGGGCTGCCATCTATTCCCAAATGCAAACGGTTACTATTCCAGAACAAAGCAGCAGCCCCAAAAGGAAAGAATGTTGAAACAGATTCAAACCACACTCAAAACAGAATTAAATCAGGACAGGACAAAGCAAATCTCCACTCAAATAGCCAGTGTCAATCCTGAAATCAAATGGCTAATAACTATTCATTTACAGGCCCTTGGACGTGGTTCCACAAGATTTTTAATGATTATTACTAGGGGCTGCTGCCCCTGGTCACCCCACTCACTAACTCCACCTACCCACAGAACCCTTTGTCAACTGCCCTGAAACCACAGCTAACCCCCCCACTCTCTGAGCCCCTTTCAGATCACCCCTCCCTCTCCCCCTGCAGCTCACCTCTCTCCCCACTCTTTCTTAAAGGAGGGGAGGTGCTTCACAGAGTAACACCTCCCCACCTCCCTTACACCTCTCTGTTGAGCCCTTGTCCTATCACACCCCAAAGACCCAACCCAAAGAGATCATGTCCTTTGGTATCACCCCTGTCAGCAGCAAAGCCCCCATCCCCCGTATCCATGCAGCCCTCAGCACCAGGGCAAGAGGTGCTGGTTTGGGTCGTGTCCTGAACTCCTGGGGACTGGCAATTTGGCAACAAGGTGGGGGTGACAGGTACACAAGGATGGGGGGTTTAAGGAATGCGAGGGAACGGGGGTTGGCATGGGGCCGGCAAGTGGGTTTGGTGGGGTATAGGCAGTTTGGCAGGCAATGCAGCAGCCCCTAGTTGTTTTGTGGGGAGGAGGTGTCTCACATCTTAAAGGTTTTGAGTTCTGCTGGATTTTGCCCATCAATCTGAGATGTTACAAGATTCAATAGCTTATAAAGAGCCCAAATAGATTTGGCACTTGCATTTGTAGGAAATCTATAAAACTTTATATTCTGCCATTTCAATGCTACTTCAGATCTCAGCTCAGCCACCACTGCACTGGGTGTTCAGCACTTCCATCTGGGTTGTGCTCTGCAATAGTGACAGAATCAAAATGGGGGGGGGGGGGGAGAAGCCAGAGGCAGAGAAAATGTGAACTGAAAAAGACAAGGCAGAGACCGAGCAACAGAAAGGAAGAAAAATGAAGTAAATTGCTCTCCTTCAGCCTTGACTTCCCATCTATAAAATGGGAATAATAGATTGCTTTCCTTATATGGCAAATATGAGTTTGAATTACATAAGAAATTTAAATGTGTTTTCAAACTGCTGCAGAGGTAGCCAATAGTCAGTTCCACTTAAATTTTGCTTTTGACATCATTGATTTAATTTAGAAGTATCTGCATAACAAACCAATGTATTAGTTGGGCAGCTGTGCTTGTTCAGGGCACACAACTCCCTAATTCAGGATGGAAATCTTATTTTAAAGAACACTGGGTTCACTTGTACTTTAAATGTATTCTCAGCCCTGCAGAAACAGACATGATTACTCTATAAGCCCAATTAAGGATGTTATTAAACCTGTTACCACTGCACATTAAAGTCATATTAAGAATGCAGAGATAAGGTTGGGTGCCTTGTATGAATGAAGTCATTTCATCTACACTGCTGAAAATCATTAGGTGAGGGAATTCCCTCCAGTTCATGCTAGATCACTTTACATTCTGAATGGGTACAGAGTGTGCCAAGTCATTTCAACTGCACATTAACAGAGGGCTTGGGTGCCAGTGAGCATTATAGAATTAAGTATTTTAATCCTGCAGCAGGAACAAGGAGAGTGGTGGTGGTGAGAATCTAATTAGGAATAAGATACCGTTAAAAAAAATGTGGCCAGGCCTGGGTTGTTGATTACGTGATAGAATTTTGCACATCAATATCAGATCGCTGACTGAGTGATGTATTTGCATCGTTAACACTGGAAGCTTATAAACCTATACCTGTTGGGGTAAACCCAGGAACAGATTTATCAGGAGATTCTGGGCAAGTTGAATAATTACAGAACCACATTTCAGGACCTTTTCACTCCACAGCTGTTAACAGCTGTCAACCCCTAAAAGCAGAATGGGGAAACCTATGTGCCAAGCGATTTGAACATGCCTATTTAACTCGACTTTGCAAACCACAAGACACAGTGTGATATTTAAGCACTTGCCTGGTAGCCACCATGTGCAATAAGGATTTACATGCAGGTGAGTGAGTGGGCTAGAGTACTCTAACCCTCCTCCCTGCCCAGTAGAGAAACCTAGTTGGCTACTAGAGGATGGAATACCCATCCTCAGCACCAGTGTTAAAAACTGAGATATGAAAGCTCGGCGCTAAATGGCACCTCAGTTATGGATGCAACAACAGAATGTCTAGGTGCACATTTTTATAACAAGAATACAAAGCTGAAAATGAATGAACTGAAGCTAAAATATTATGTTCATTCCAGGACTTTTACCCATAAAATATTATGTTCATTCCAGAAATTGTGGGAAAAGGAATCAAATTTACAGCTTGTAATGTATTAAGAGAAAAATTGATGAAAATGATGTACAGATGGTATTTAACACCAGTGAAACTAGCAAAAATGTATCATACTCATGATAATAAAAGCTGGAAATGTAGAAAAAAGAAGGAACTTTTTACCACATGTGGTGGATGTGCCCCAAAGTAAAAGACTTCTGAGAAAGGATTTATAATGAATTGAAAAAAGTGTTGAAAAACACATTTAGTAAAAAACCAGAAGCCTTTTTACTTGGCATAGTGGGGGATGAAATTCCCAAAAAGGATGTTACTTTTTTTATCTGTATGCCACAACAGCTGTGAGAATATTGTTAGCGAAGAATTGGAAGAAACAAGATTTACCAACTATCGAAGAATGGCAGATGAAGATGATGGACTATATGGAACTTGCCGAACTGACCGGGAGACTCCGAGACCAGAGAAAAGAGATGGTGGAAGAAGACTGGAAGAGGTTTAAGAAATATTTGAAAAATTTGGAAGTGGATATAGGCTGTAGGGTTAGAAGTAGAAGATAGGGTATTTTAAAATAGTATTATTTGTAAGTGATAAAATGTGAAGTTATTTTAAGTATGATTAAAAAAAAGATGGTTAGAAACTATGATATATGTAAACTGCTAAAGATGAAGTAAAATGAAAATCAGATAGGAGCCCACTTAACAACGTTTAGAAAAATAAGGATATGACAAGAATTTGTTCGTATTGTTTGTCTTTTCTGTCTGTGTTTTTTTGTGTTATAAAATGAATAAAAAAAATTTGGGGAAAAATATGTTCATTTTCCACATGAACAAAGCTCCCATCGGCCCCAGCCAAGGGATATTGGGAGTTATCATAGAATTGTAGAATTGGAAGGAACCCAAGGGTTATCTAATCTGACCCTCTGCAAAGCAGGAATCTCAGCTAAAGCATCCATGACAGATGGCCACCCAACCTCTGCTTAAAAACCTCCAAGGAATGAGAGTCTAAAACCTACCAAGGGAGACTGTTCCACTGCCAAACAGCTCTTACTTCCTGATGTTTAGTCGGAGTCCTCTTTCTTGTAACTTGAAGCCATTGTTTTGAGTCCTACCCTCCAGAGCATGAGAAAACAAGCTTATTCCTCCTTCCATGTGACAGCCCTTGAGATATTTGAAGATGGCTATCATATCTCCTGTCAGTGTCCTCCTGTCCAGGGTAAACATACCAAGCTCTTTCAACTGTTCCTCATAAGGCTTTTCTAAGCTAAACATACCCAGCTCTGTCAAGCGCTCCGCATAAGTCTTGGTTCCCAGACCCTTGGTCATCTTGGTTACCCTCCTCTGCACATGTTCCAGCTTGTCAACATCCTCATTCAATTGTGGTGCCCAGAATTGGACACAAGGGGCAACAATCCCATGGTCAAAGAAATGCTTTGCTCACATAACATCCCAGGTCCAATCGCCAGCATATCCATCCAGAAAGTTTGGGTAACAGGTGGTGGGAAAGACCTAGAATCATAGAATCATAGAATAATAGAATCATAGAATCATAGAGTTGGAAGAGACCACAAGGGCCATCGAGTCCAACCCCCTGCCAAGCAGGAAACACCATCAGAGCACTCCTGACATATGGTTGTCAAGCCTCTGCTTAAAGACCTCCAAAGAAGGAGACTCCACCACACTCCTTGGCAGCAAATTCCACTGTCGAACAGCTCTTACTGTCAGGAAGTTCTTCCTAATGCTTAGGGTTAGGGTTAGGGTTAGACACTGGGGACCTATTAGGCTAGATGGGATAAAAAGTCTGACCTGGTAGAATTTTGGACAAGATGGATTGTTTCAAGAAGTGGCAGAAAGATATTTCCAGATTTGTTTGGCAGGGCAAGAAGCCTTGAATAAAATTTAAGATATTAACTGATGCTAAAGAAAGAGGTGGATTTGCCCTGCCAGACCTTAAACTTTATTATGAATCAGTAGCTTTTTGCTGGCTGAGAGAATGGCTGCTTCTTGAAAACACTGACGTGTTGGACCTAGAAGGTTTCAATAACGTATTTGGTTGGCATGCATATTTGTGGTATGATAAGGTAAAAGCACATAAAGCGTTCAAAAATCATATTGTTAGAAAAGCACTGTTTAATGTTTGGATAAGATATAAAGATTTGTTAGAAAATAAAACCCCAAGATGGTTGTCTCCAATGGAAGCGAAGGCACAGAAAAAACTCAATATGGAGGCCAAATGGCCGAAATATTGGGAAATTCTGGATCAAGATGGAGACAGAATAAAATTGCAGAGCTTTGAAAAGTTGAAAAATAAAGTGCGAGATTGGCTCCATTATTATCAAATAATGGAGGCATATAATTTGGACAAAAAAGTTGGTTTCCAGGTGGAAAAATCAAAATTGGAAACAGAATTGTTAGACTCTAAAATTAAGAATTTGTCAAAAATGTATAACTTGCTGTTGAAATGGAATACTCAGGATGAAACGGTGAAATCAGCAATGATTAAATGGGCACAAGATGTTGGACATAACATAATGATGGCTGACTGGGAACAGTTATGGACCACAGGTATGAAATTTACGGCATGTAATGCTCTAAGAGAAAACTTAATGAAAATGATTTATAGATGGTACATGACACCAGTCAAGCTTGCAAAAATCTACCACTTGCCCGATAATAAATGTTGGAAATGTAACGAGACTGAAGGCACATTCTTTCACCTTTGGTGGACATGCCCAAGGATTAAGACATTCTGGGAGATGATTTATAACGAAATGAAAAAGGTATTTAAATATACCTTTCTGAAGAAACCAGAGGCCTTTCTCCTGGGCATGGTCGGCCAATTGGTGCCAAAGAAGGATAGAACTTTTTTTATGTATGCTACAACAGCAGCAAGAATACTCATCGCGAAGTATTGGAAGACACAAGATTTACCCACCCGGGAAGAATGGCAGATGAAGTTGATGGACTATATGGAATTGGTGGAAATGACTGGCAGAATCCGAGACCAGGGAGAAGAGTCGGTGGAAGAAGATTGGAAAAAAATTAAAGATTATTTACAGAAATATTGTAAAATTAATGAATGTTAGAAAAATGTTGGAATGAAGCTATATGGCTTTAGTAGAAATGTTATAAGGAATTAAGTATAAATAGATTAATAGAGTATTAAAGGAAAAAATAAGGTTAGAATGAGTTAAGATAACTATAGGATAGAAAATAGAGGTAGATGGAAAGGAATTGCTGAAATAATTAACAGAAGTGGAATACAACAAGGGAGGTGCGAGGAGGCCGAGGAAAGAAGTGAACGAAAGATGGGATAATGAAATTTGATTTATTTTATTGTTGCATTGTTTTGTTGGTTTAATGTGTTGTATTGTATGTGTTTTTTCTTTTCTTTTAGTGTTTCATTTTTTTTGGACAGTAATAAATATTATTTTTTTTAAAAAAAGTCTGACCTGGTAGGTCTCTATGAAAGCATGTGAAATAGATCTTATGAAACTACAGAAGGCAGATTGGGAGTCACATAGGAGTGCCAGCAGTCAGATGGTGTGGCTCTGATGTCCTTCATTGCTCCTTGCCCCTTTCCCCATGAAGAGGAAAGGAAGATCATCTGAGCCTGCAATCCCATGCTCACTTTCTTGGGAATACAGAAGGAGTCACTTTTTCAAAGTACACATCCACAGAATTTCACTGTTAATTTGCACAAGTTACGCAGGCTATATAATACTGCCTCTCTCTGTGCAGAATTTATTTTTAGTGAAGGATATACTGCTCTAGGGACATCCTCCCCCCAAAAGTAGGCACACATTGTATTATGCCTATTTCATTGCTTGTACCAATTTCAAATGGGTTAGTTTTCTTTCTGCCAATCAACACTCCAGAAGAGCTCATGGCCCACCCCCCACTCTGAGAACCAGTCACTAAGAGAAGTCAATACCATGCAATATTATTTTTTTGAAAATTATTTTTATTTCATTTCAAAAGGAGTATAAAAACACACAGGTATAAATGCAAACACTAGGGATAAATAACCCATAAACAAATTCTCACATGTAAGGCAAATTGGTAGGTGACACTTGAGACATCCATGTACACAAACTAGTATAATAAATGGGAAGGGTGCTGATACCGACAAAACACCAGGAAGTCTCCCATTATTAAAAATCAATGCTTATGGATTGATTTATGGATTGCTTATGGATTGATGAAGATGGTAAGACCAAAATGGTAGCTCAAAGTCTGGAGGAAAAAGAATATATGGCTCTAATGGTGGATATTTCCAGTTTAACAGCTGCTGAAAGGAATATAATAAGTGTCTTGTGGGGCACTTGTTGGAGGTCCACAGTAAAAACAAACAAACAAACAAACAAACAAACAAACAGATCTGAGCTAGTTGGGGGTCCAGAGGTATAATCTGGGACACCATGGGTGGAAAGTCTCCTGAAACATTCCCCCTCCCCCAAGGCCTTTACCACCATTTTAAAGTTCTAAGAAGGTTCCTCAGTAAGACTTGGTCAGAATTCAATGCCCTTTCCAGCTGAATTGTCACACTGGATGCTCTTGATGGGCCATTCTGATCTTAATATTGCTCAAGCCAATGAATTCCCTTTGCAAGCAATTTCCTGCCAACACACAGACAAAGCAGCCTTGCCAAGTTCCTTTCTCCTTTTCTTTCCTTTCTCCTCTTGATGTAGTTATGATGACCCCTGTCAAATGAGAATTGGATGGGAACTTGTTTTTTATTGGTATCAATGTGTTTCTGCTTGCCTGCCTGCCCGCGCATAGATGTATCAGAGCCAACATGCATAAATCTATGCACCAGACATCCTTAACTCTAAAGATAGCTTATCTACCTGGAAAAACAATATCTCATAATAATGATCACTTAAGAAATACAGATCTGATGCACTGAGCAGTATCATTCATTTATTGCTATGACAGATAAAATTAATATCATGCACAGTCATCAAATACATATGTCAGGAATGACAGCTTACTGTCTGTCATTCCTAGGTTTTTAAAGAACACTGCACTGTCCTTTCTATTATCTACTGATGTATTACACCAATTCCACTTTGATTGATGAGCCAGAGGATCCCACAGTGGAGATTAAGCAGGCTTGCCAAACAATGCCATTGGGGTTCGCTGTCCAGCAGAATCGGCTCCCTTGGCTCAGCGTTGTTCTCAGTGGAACAGGTAGCAGATGACGATGAGGGGAAAGAGCATCAATGTATGTGTGCCTGTTGCATAAAGCAGTCAGCACTGAGTGTAACGGAAATCAGCACCAGTTGTTTCTATTACCTGCATATGCTATGCAACTCTCACATATTTGAATGTGCTTTTGTGTTTAGTCACTGGGAAAAGCAAGGATTTAAGCATGGGGCAGCAGTACTGCCTTCTGACCATTGGAAATCTCACCCAGCCTCCTCTCTAGCTTGAGCAATCCCATCAAAAATTGTTTACATGTATTTCCAACATTTAGAGAGCTAAAAACTTGTGTCTGGGTTTTTTTACAATATAAAAACAATGATTCTAGAGATGTTGAATTCAATTCACATTGCCAAATTATGTGCTTAACTTACGAAGGAGAATGGGGAAAGGGTAATTAACAGCAGCCAATAACCTGCAATCAAAGCAGAAATGTTAGTCTACCAAGACTACAGCCAGGGAGGACAGCTCCTCATTCACAGATACAAGAACTCTCCTTTCCTTCCACGCTGACTGTTAAATGGTTACTAGATCCCCCTGCTTTGAAATGAACCAGTAGAATAGACTCTGTCCTAACTATTGCCACTAAGAATGCAACTAGCCTTGGATTCTGAGGGTTGATTGATCTGTGGAGATCATACCGACACAGGCAAAAAGTGTTTGCTTAAGCATCTCAGCTGGACTCATGCCAGTTTCAGGACTGCAGACATTTCTGAAGAAGCTGGATGTGTATGCAGTGCATAACAGATTCCTCTAGCCTTCAACTCATGGCAGTAGTTCTGCCCTGTGGTATGTGCTACAGGCAGAGGCAAGTAAACGCAAAAGCCTGCAGTCTGTACCACCCAAAATAGATATTCTAGGCTTGCATGTTGGATGGCACCTGCCATTTTAAAAGGTGTACTTCCCAAGATATAAGCTTAGCATTAAATCTACACAGGGATGCTGTTAGTTCACATATATATATATATATATACACACCGTTTTTTTAAAAAAAATGAACAGGTATTTATATTGCACATTTCAAGTGTTCAAAACACTTTAAGCAAATTTATCTGGAATCCTTACAACAACCCTGAAAGTTAGGTCAAGATTGCCCCCATAATGTAGATGGAGGGGAGAGAGGGATATTTTATTTATTGCTACACAGTGAGATTATGGGGAACATGAGATTTGAACCACAGATCTCCTCACTCACTCACTCAGATCTACTTAACTACTACAGATTAAACTTCCTCCTGCCTAAGCTCATTCCCCCCCCCCCTTTTGCAAAGCAGCCACCTGGAGAGATGCAGAGGGGGGCTCCAGCAGAGGCCTTAACACACTTCTTCAGTGTAGAACCACATCACCCATTTGTTTTGCCGTCGCTACTGTACTCTTGCTGCTTCTGCCAAACTGTATCCATGACCCACAGTCACTTGTCAGCTGCTGTTAGACTCTTGTGGGCGGTTTGTGAACAAGGCTGTGTGCAGCCAGCTCAGAAAGCCCATTCTGTCTCCCTTACTGGCTTGTGAGTGAGAGCAGGAGACAGAGAGGCAATTGCAAAGAAGCCCTGCTTAGCTGCTAAGTGGTGAAAAAGAGCTCCTCTCGCCAGGAGAAAGGACTTACCCATCTCTCCCTGTCCCCAGCCGCAGTAGCACTTACATGCTCCTTAGAAAACTGATATACCACTTCCAACCCCCAGTGCCATCAGCACCAGCTTCCTTGTCGCAGCTGTATCAGATGGAAGAGGCTGCAGCTCAGTGGGAAAGCACATATTCTGCAGGCAGGAGGTCCCAGGTTCAATCCCTGGCATCTCCAGGGGTGTGGGAAACTTGGCCCTCTAGATGTGGTTGGACTCCCCTCTCCATCGGCACAGCCAGTGGCCAGGGATGAAGGAGCTGCAGTCCAGTAACATCCGGAGAGCACCCTGTTGTACACCCTGCCCCTGATGCAGGCGGCAGACAGACCAGGGAGCAAGGAGTGGAGAAAATCCCTCTCTGCCTGGGACCCAGAGCAGACACTACTGGATGAGATGCTGCTTCCTAAGCTCTCATCCTGCAAATATATTTGTTGCAAAACTTGGATTTTCTTGGCACACAGTTTCTACAGAGAGATTCCCACCCCCGACTGGCACATGGCCTTATCTATACTTCTTCATTCATGCCTTGTTACCTTTGCCTCTTCCATTCCCCTCTTCTTTCTGTTATATGCTCGCCTAATCCTTTGCCCCCCCCCCCCGGCTGACTGTCAACATTTTATGTTTTACATTATTTTGATGTATTACATTATTTTAATATTTTTGGAAGCCACCCAGAGTGGCTGGGGAGGCCCAGCCAGATGGGCGGGGTATAAATAATAAAATTATTATTATTATTATTATTATTATTATTATTATTATACTGTAAGCTCATTGGGGTAGGGAGTTACCTTCTTTTTTCCTTGTAATTCTCACTAAAGCCCCATGTTTGCTGCATGAGCTATGAAGAACAAACCAACAAAGAAAATACAAAAACAAAAAACCCCACCCTAAATACTCTGGGAGAGAATTTCAGTCCACCTGAATATTGCATAAGAAGCTTCAAAGTTCTCCTCAATAAATTCACTTCTAGTGGACATATGGAAAACGAGGAAGCAGAGCAGGAGTCCATACACAGATCCAATTGCATAAATCAAGACCTAAACAGAAGCGACACGTTCCTCTCCCATTATGAAGACTGAGTGAGCCACTAGCCATTCTGCACACCCTTCCCTGCCATTTAAATTGGCATCATAGGCCCACTGGGAGTCAATGCTCTGCTTTGCACCGCTTACTGTCAGCTGTTCTGGGGCAACATCCCAAGAAGGGAGGGCTCAGGGATAAAGGATATGCTTTGCATGAATAAGGCTGCTGGTTCAGATAAGGAATCAAGGCAGCAAAACAGGGAAGCCCTGGAGTCAGAACACTGGAAAGCTGCTACCAGACAGAGTTGTCATAATCAGCCTGGATTGGGGTGGGGAACTCCTGAGCGTCACCTTCCCTCAACAAGCCATTTTTGGGGGGCTGCATGCCAGCAGTGGGAGGGGCCAGAGCCACAAGTGGGTGGGATTTGTAGGACTGCAGGGTCGCACAGCACCCTCTTGCATTCTCTCCGGGTTTGGGGGAGGTGCCTGCTGCATTATGTCACTGAGGCAGTTAGACTGCATTGGTGGCAGATTTATAGTGGGCTGCTCAATATGATTCTGCCTTATTAGTTGTTCTGTGATGCTTCCCCAATGTCACCACATTATTGCTTCCTGGATGGGCACTCCTGTGCTACAGTGCAACAGAAGCAGGAGAACAACCACCCTGGAATGGTCATGGTATGGAAAGTTACACGATTTCAGCAGGAAGCTACAGGGCATGCACTGAATGGCAATGCAGCAGTAAAAAAGGTAAAGGGACCCCTGACCATTAGGTCCAGTCGTGGACGACTCTGGGGTTGCAGCGCTCATCTCGCTTTATTGGCCAAGGGAGCTGGCGTACAGCTTCCGGGTCATGTGGCCAGCATGACTAAGCCGCTTCTGGCGAACCAGAGCAGCGCACGGAAACGCTGTTTACCTTCCCGCCGGAGCGGTACCTATTTATCTGCTTGCACTTTGACGTGCTTTCGAACTGCCAGGTTGGCAGGAGAATGCAGCAGTACATGGGCCCTAAAACATGCACAGTATTGAAAGTGGGATCATGTATATCCACTTGATATTGTTATGGATGTATAATATATAAGAGACATGTGGAGGATCTCTCTCTCTCTCTCTCTCACACACACACACACAGAGAGAGAGAGAGAGAGAGAGAAAGAAAGAAAGAAAGAAAGAAAGAAAGAAAGAAGAGGCAGCAATCCCAGAAAGGTAGCCCAGAGAACAAGAGTGGGCCCCTAGCATCTGCAATTAGGCCAGGGCCTGGAGGTTGCCCACCACTGGCTAGGCAGACCAGTGTGACTCGGTATAACAGCACTTATAGTGGTATATACTTATAGGGACTTATAGGGACACGGGTAGCGCTGTGGGTTAAACCTCAGTGCCTAGGACTTGCCAATCGCATGGTCGGTGGTTCGAATCCCCGCGGCAGGGTGAGCTCCCGTCTTTCGGTCCCAGCTCCTGCCCACCTAGCAGTTCGAAAGCACCCCAAGTGCAAGTAGATAAATAGGTACCGCTTTAAAAAGCGGGAAGGTAAACGGCGTTTCCGTGTGCTGCGCTGGCTCGCCAGATGCAGCTTCGTCATGCTGGCCACGTGACCTGGAAGTGTCTCCGGACAGCGCTGGCCCCCGGCCTCTTAAGTGAGATGGGCGCACAACCCTAGAGTCGGACACGACTGGCCCGTACGGGCAGGGGTACCTTTACCTTTACCTTTATAGTGGTGTAACATACAGAAGTTGAAGTCCCTAGAATATCAGTTTATTTGAAAAGGTGCTACCAGAGTCACAGTTCAAATTGGGAAACACAGAACAGACTCCTTGAATCTGCCCCTTCCAATCACTGTAGTATATATTCAGACTCTCTCTATTCTGCCACACTTCCACTAGCAATGGTGGACCTTGGCATCTCAAATTACAGCAGCACCCTGTGCGATGCCAAAATTCGGCACCCCTGCCTCCTGCACTCCATTTCTAAATCGAAGTTGCGGCATCCTCTGTGGTGCCTCCAAGGCTCAGTGCCCAGTGCTCCCCTAAATTGGCCCCCAGCTTGTGGCCAGACTAAGATCATACAGCATCTCCTGCCCTTGAGGCCTCTGAGGTTGTCCACCAAACACTTTCTAAGGAGCCCTTCCTGCCCCATAGCTCCGTGTCCTCCTCTTCTTGCACCTGTTCTTCCTCTTCAGTTCCTGTGCATCACTTTACTGACCTCTCAGGAGCTCTTCCCACTCACTTTGCTACCCTCAGTCTGCCACACACAATCCTTTCTAGGCCTGGGGCCACCAACCTTATCTTCCCTCTGAAGAGCTGAACAGCAGCCTTTTCATTGGACAGCTGCTTCCTCCCCTGAACCCTTGGAATGTTTTGGACATTCTGTGACATCACACCAGGCTAGCCAGTCTGAGGCAGAGACTCCATTGCCACAATGTGTGTGTGTGTAAAAATATGTGCACATCAACACACACACAGTGACATTGCAAGCCTGGCCCTTCCCTGCCCCCGCTTCCTCCTCCGATCTCATGTTTCATAGGGTAATTTAATCCACTTCCCCTGAAAATAGGCCACTTTCCCTCGGTAATGTTTCCTCTGTTTAACAAAGAAGGTGGAAATCAGTCTGGTTCTTTCGGTTGTTATGCCCCCTCCCTCCTCCCCCAGGCAGAGATGCTCCACAGCTCTGAGTGAAGTCAACTGGAAATAGAGAGAGGAAGAGACATAGAGAGAGAACGCATTACTTCCCCTCTGCCCACCCCAACCTCTCCAGCAGTAGGGAAATGGAGGAAAAAATAATACCAAAAGGTCATTTTCCTGATGTATGGATGTGCACAGTGGGCTGCAGGGCCCCCGGAAGGCAGCTGGGAAATAGTAATCTCTCTCTCTCTCTCTCTCTCTCTCTCTCTCTCTCCCATTTGATTTCTGGCTGCAATGCGCATGTTTGCAGAACCGAAAAGCGACTGGAACCTGGTGGACTGAAAAAGCCCTAAAGGGGGACTCGTAAAGGAAGAAGATTGGACATGATATAATTGCTATTATTCTTATTTACCAGAGGGTTGCAGGCTCGGTTGCTTCTGTAATGTGGAACTAACCATGTTATGAAATCGGATTTCAGAAAACAATAAAAACCATCACTTTGCCCCCACTGTGCTGTAATGTATATGGATCCCTGAGCAGAGGCAGGTTCAAGTCCCAGGCTCCGACATTAACCCATTGGATGGCCTCAGGAGGAAAGCACTCCTTGCTCAGCCTGGAAGAAAATGCTAGGTGTTAGCCACTCATTTATGGCCTCTGTTAGTACAATAGGGGGTGATTGCCATGGGGTGAGAAGGGCTTCAAAGGAGCGGAAAGGACAAATGCATAGGAAAAAGTCTGTCCATGGGCTGCAAACCTCAGTGGCCAGCATGCACCCTTCTAGGTTCAGAGGCAGCAAAGTCAGCCGACCTATAATTCCCTATCCTTGCTCCATATCATTGTTTGGCAACCCCACGGAGAAAACCAGCTGAAGAGAAAAGCAGGAGGTGGGAGAACATGAGAGCTGACGTGGTGTAGTGGTTAGAGTGCCAGGCTAGGACCTGGAAGACCAGGGTTCAAATCCCCACTCAGCCACAAAGCTCACTGCCTGTCAGCCCAACCTCCCTCACAGGGTTGTTGTGGGAATTAAATGCATGTCACCTTGCGCTCCTTGCAGGAAAAAGTGGGATATAAATGCAATTAAAAATAATAGCAATAAATTAATAACTCAAATGTCTGGCTGCCATTTTCAGCGGCAGTAGTTGCAAATCACGTGTCACCTCTATGTCTGCCTCTAGTGAGGCCCCAAGGCTACCTGGGGTCAAATCCAACTTGGGAGAGTCCATGGGAAAATAAGGTCTCAGTTCCTCATCTGTGAGACGGGGGAAAAAAGGATCTGCCATAGGGCCCCACTCGTATACCTTTCCAGATGCTGGAAAGGTTGGGAAGAGAAACTCTCTCAGGTGTATATTCAGAGCATGTCAAAGGTGAGGAGTGAATCTGATAAGCACATATAAAAGGCAGTTGCTGTAGGTTCAGTTTGTGCCTCTGTTTGTCTGGAAGAGTCTATCAAGCACTCCTTCAGAATTTCCTTCAGGCTTGTGATGGGTGCCTGGCAAGACATCATCAGTGCCGCTCTCCCTTTACCCACAAATGGAAGCCTATTCAAGTGGCAAGCACAATCAGATGGCTCAAACAAGCAAGTCAAGTCACATGAACAAAACGTTTTTGAAAAAACACCACCTTTCCAGCTGGTGGCATAGCTAAAGTCTGTTCTGCATAAACTTAAAAAGACTTCTCATAAATTAATATTCAGGTGGTATTTGACATGGACTGATAGGATGCAAAGGAGTGGTGGGAGGTACCAGTTGGGGAACCCCCAAGGGAACCCCATGTGGAAGAAGGCTCAGAGCCAGGGGACTGGTGATGGTACGATGATACGATGATACCTGGTCAGAGGGAGAAGATGGGGCAGACTGGGAGGAGGAGGTGTCAGAAGCTGAAGAGGCAACAGGGTTTAGTGAGAAGGAAGAGGCTGTGGCAGAGAGCAGTCCAGAGGCAGAAACAGAGGTTGGAGATGAGGGGCTACTAGAGGCAGAGATGAGACAGGCTGTTGAGGAAGCCAGGGATCTCCTCCTCCTGCTGTGACCAGTTATTCCCGCCCCCCATGTCTCCTAGAACACAGAGAGGAATGAAGAGTGCAGAGCATAGAGAAACAAGATGAAGGAGCCTCAGGCTGCTAGGGAAGGATCCAGGGGAGGAGAAGGCTTAAGGAACTCTGGGAAGACAGGGACCTTTATTCCTTTCAACTGCCTCAGCTTGTTCTGGTGCACATGGTGGTACCACTGCAGCAGATCCTTACACATACTCATGGGATTGGGATGCCAGCCAAAAAATGGAATAGGGCAAAGGGGATGGAACAAAACCACATGGTTCTGACTCACATTTGGAATGCCTCTCACATATCCTGCAATTCCCTTTGCTTCTGTGGGCAGGGCAGACCCACCAGCCTTTTCAACCTTTCTGCATTAGATCTAAAGCATCTTTCCTCACTGGTTTGGACCCTTTCCAACCATCCCCTCTTTAACAGAGCACGGCCGCCCAGACTATGACCCTAGACCGCCAGTGAGGCCTGATCAATAGAAAGCAGAAAGGCTCTAATAATACACCCAGTGTCATTTTTACTTAACTCTGCTGTTGGCAAAAGGGGGAAATGGGGGGGGGGGGTAAAAAAGCAAAATCCAAACAGACCGTGACCCACATGACAAATGACATGTTCCAGGGTGATCTGTCCCATGAGGCTCTTTTCTGCCATCTCTCTTTACAGCTAGGGATGTGACTGGAGGCTGTAACATGATTTGACAGCGACATGGAAACACAAGGGGTTTTCGAGGAAAGCCAGATACTCTTGAGACAGATGAGGGCTGCAATAGTACATATATTTCCAAGAGCTATGATTCGCACTTGGGAATCATTCAGCCAACTTAGGTTCCTGTATATTACCACCATACATTAATATAACACTCTGGCTTTAAGGGGTGCACCATACCCCCCTCCAGCTGCTCCCCTTCTTGTTCACCTCAGAGTGTGATAGAAACACAGCCTAGCAATATGAGCAAACTTGAGGTGAAGCAGTCCCCCCCCCCAATCCTCTGAAATGTGTCAAGAGGGTGAGGTCAGAAGCATCCACTTCCAGGTTTCAACCTAACAGTGCTTTGCCATTACATCTAATAAGGACAAACTGTTATTTAAGCCACAGTTTATTGAATCAAATCCCAAGGAGACAATGCTTTCTGATCCTGACATGTTCTTATAAACCATAATTTAAAGTAACCACAGCTCTTAAATTCAGAGGTAATAAACTGCAGCTAGTTTAAACAAAGATTTGGATACTCCCAATCTCCTCCTCTGATGGGAACCCAGATTGGAATAGATATCAATAGTCCTTGCCATCCAAGATTGCTTGCAGCTGCCCCACCAAAACTCTTTCCATCAGCTTCCTCCAAAAGTGGGCATATAGTTATTCCAACCCAGGGCTGATTTCTTTAGAAGTGGTCACACCAACACCCATTTCAATGTAGCAGGAACCATCCCCTTGCACACTGAAGTGCTGGTCACACTCTGGACCCAACCCTCTGCTAGATTTAATTAGCCAGGCAGGACAGAGGGATTGCCACCAGCACCTTGTCCACATCAGCAAACTGCATAAACAGAAACCATTCCCACAGCACATCACTGACTCTGGCATTGCGTACTTCATCTGGAACTGCAACAACTGCAGTGCCAAGGTCCCTCTGTCCCTCTTATAGCTCCGTGTCTATAGTGTTACCACCTGAACACCTCTGCAACTGCAGCAGGTAACAAATCAACCCTCAATCTTCTTCACATGCCACCCCCTCTCCCATCATCCACTTGCCTCTCTCACATTCCAAGCACACCCTCAGGTTGAGGAAGAGGGGCAGGTGCTGGGAATGTAAGGGGAAGGATGGAATAACATATTTAACCCAGTACAGCCTTTGATCTCCAGGAGCTCTCTTGTCTTTGCCACTTGTGTGACATGAGACTCCATTCAAGATTCTTAACAGGAGATTCTTTGGGAGATTTAAAAAGTTTACATCTCAGCAGGAAACCTGTTGCTACCAAATGATGGCCACCAACTTGGATGGATGGCTTTAAAAGTAACTGCTAGCCAAGATCACTATGTTTTTCTCTCTCTGTTGGAGACAGTATGCCTCTGCATACCAATTGCTGGGAATCACAAGTGCTGTTGACCTCAGATCATGCTTGCAGGTTTCCCCATGGGACATCTGGTTGACCAATGTGAGAATGGGAAGCTGGACTAGGTGGACCATGGGCCTGATCCAGCAGGCTCTTCTTAGGCTCTTATGTAACCACGCAGTGTGGAGAAGATCTCGTAAGTTCACTGAAGATATATATGTCAAAGCCTGAAAGCTTAAGGGGTAGGGAGGGAATTATTTTGCAGAGGGTCGCAGCAAAAATGCATAGCCTAGCAGCTTTCCTCCTCCTCCTCTAACTCCGCTTGGCTGTGAGCTCCATTATTACATGAAGCACACACCACACAGGGTCTTGTATTATCTGTCACCTGGTTATTAGATGGAGCTGCCAGCTCCAGTCTCAGGAGCAACAGAAAGAAAGAAAGAAAATCGCTGACGCCAGTCCAGGTGATGGATTGAGGCATCAAGTGCTGCCCCCACGCCCTCCCAAGCGCCTGCTGAGACCTCTCCTTCTCTGTTACTGTTTGTCTGCTTTCCTCAGCAGCTTTCCCTTGGAAAAAATAACAACAACCACTATCTGAATGCCCCATTTTACTTAATACAAAGTGAATTTCAAAGCTGGGTAGTAAATTCACAGGCCAAACTGCTCTCCCTATAAGCAGGGTCAATTAAGCTTAAACGACCCCTGAAAGGTATTTATCCTTTTTTAAAATTATGACAACCACTTCTCCTCTTTGGTAATTTGCCTTCTCCTCCACCCTCTTCACAGTGTTAGCAAATTCTCTTTGGGTGGAAACCAGAAGACATTCTAAAGCAGAAGAAGCCAATGTGGTGTCTTCTAGGTGTTGTTCCTTCTCCCCTCATCTCTGACCACTAGGCATGCTGGCTATATCTCATGGAAGTTCAAGTCCAACAACAGCTGGAGGACCACAGGCTACCCATCCCCATTCTAAATGATAGTGGAAGTGGTTTGAATGACAATTTGCTGCATTATCAGGCAATTGTTTTGAGAGCAGAGGATGCTGTTTTCAGACCACTTTTGCCACATTCTAGCATGTTTTATTTTCTCTCCAGTTCTACAAATTGGGCTCATTGTGCCTCACCATTTAAAAGCTGGAGGGTTTTAACCTTGTCTCAATAAACCATCTATCCAGCCTCTTTTTTTTTACTGAACAATAATTCTACCCTGGTCGGTGAGGGTTGGGAGAGAACCCTGTCTGAAACCTTGAAGAGCTGCTCTCTGTTAGTGTGGAATATCCCGAGAGCTAGACAGTCTGACTCAGTCTCAGGCATCTTCACATATTCCTGTCCCTGGACATCAGCCAGGCTGGGTGGGGATGATCAGAGTTGGAGTCCGCAAACATCTGGAACACCACAGGTTTTCCCTCCCCAGACTTAGCAGCTTGCTTGGGGAAGATGCACCTTTCTAAATCCCAAAAACTCAAGTAGAAGGGAAATGGTCCTTTCCATAGGCGTGCATTTGACACAGGGCTGAGTTAGAGCCACTTCATCCATCACATCTGTTGGTGCACACACAAAAGAAGCAAAAGCATTAAGCACATACCTAAAATTATAAATATGACAAAGGCTTCACAGGTCCCACTCATCAGGCAAACCTCAACTGGCTGTGGCGCATGAACAGTGCAGCAATCATGGATCTCCCTCTGGGTAGCGCAGGGATGGGAAATCAGTAGCTATCCTCAGATTGCTGGATTACAACACCCATCATCCCCAACTGTTGGCTATAAAGGCTAGAGCTGTTGAAAGTTGGAGGCTTAACAGCATCTCGAGGGTCACGCCAAGCCTTGGCATAGTATTTGAAATAACTCTTTAGGATGGTAGTGAACAGCTGGCTTTGTGGGACTTCAGTCACATAGGGGAATGAACACATGTGAGTGTGAGAACTGAGTGTTCTTTTTTTTAAAAAAAATGTAACTGTTGAGTAAAGAATCAAGTGGAGGATACATGGGGGTGGGAGAAGAGCAAAAGCCTCACGTGGGTATTAGGACTTGGGGCTGCCTCAAGCGGCTTAATTTCACCAGATGCAAGGCAACTAACACATTGAAAGATGAGTAATGCACTTCCCTGCACCCGCTGTGAGCTGGCAGCCATTTCTCTGAGCACAGCTGCTGGGGTGGGAGTGAGCCTGGAGATAGCTTCTGGCTCTCTGCACACACAGTCTGGTACACATTAACCTCTCTCTTCACCGACATGTACCAGGGCACATAACGGCAGGAAGAAATTCAGCAGTGCAAACTGACCCTACCAGATTTCCCATGGAGAGAAAGCTGCTACTACCACCACCACCAGAAACAGAGCAGGGCAGAGAAAGACAGGAGACTAAGAGGCCTGCAGTCTGGTGTCATCTCTGAGTGGCCAAAAGGACCAGGAGAAAGTAGAAGGGACCACACACTGCAGACGACATGGGACAGCTTCCAGCAAACTGTACTTCTGTGGCTACTGCATCCCCCCCCCCCAATGTGCATGAGCACTTTTGCAGTGTAGCAGGACGAGTTTCCCCATCTTCACCACCCAGTGGAACAGAATGGGGCAAAACATACACTCATATGAAGTCGAGAGAGGACACTCATTACAGGGGAGCCCCACTGAGAACTGAACAGAGGGATGCCACTTTTGGCAAAATGCCTGTAACTCCATAAGGAATGGGGGAGAAATATGATTCAGTTCACATTCCAAGCTAAATCTATCAACTCTGCACTTTCTGAAACAATACAAGAAACACAGCCATCTCTTATGTAAATGCTGGGATGCAGTTCTGCAACCAATGTTCACAAAAATGCATTAATTTTACAGGGAAATGGGCAAACAAATGAATATACCACTGAAAATAACATTAAAATGCATTGTATCAGGAGAGGTTGTTTATTTATTTATTATTTATTATTGAATTTCTATACCGCCCTATACCTGGAGGTCTTGGGACAGTTGTTTGCAAGTATGTGTACATTTGTCAAAAATGTGTACAAAAATGTGTTGACAAAATACCGAATAATTTTCATGATTATTATTATTTAATCACAAATTGCTACAGAGCTGTGGAGAGGTGAATTTGGGGAAGGGCCATAGCTCAGTGGCACAGCACCTGCCTTGCCAACAGAATGTCCCAGGCTCAATCCCCAGCATCTCTGGGAAGGGTTGGGAGAGCTTCCTGCCTGAAACCCTAGAGAGCTGCTACCATCCAGTTTTAGACAGTGCTGACCTAGATGGAGCAATAGTCTGGCTCAGTATAAGCCTGCTTCCTGTGTTCCCAAAAGACTGGAACAATAAGAAACTTGGAGAACGGACACTGGCACATCCTTCCATACTGAGTCTCCATAGTGCCTCCATTCTGCCCAAAGTTTTTCAGGATGCTAAATTTTTTGAGACCACCAAGGATTTACTGCATATAGCCAGCCTTGCAGATTTCACACTTAAAAAGCAAGCTGGAAACTCAGATGTCAGTGAACATGGGGTCCCTTTTCAAGCCTCACTCCATATGCAGTTAGACTCAAACCCCAATCCTGGCATAGCTCAGTTGGTAGAACATGAGAGGTTGTGGATTTGAGCCCCGTGTTGGGCAAAAAATTGCTGCATTGAGGGTTTGACTTACTGGCGGAGGAAGAGGGGGGCAGGGGGAGCGCACCACCCCCAGCACCACAATCCCAGTGGGGTGCCATTGCGGTGCCACGCCCCCACAGGCGGCACATCACACCCCCAGGATGTGCACCATGCCCCCAGGATGCCTGCCATGCCCCCGGGATGCGCACCAGCCACACCCCTGCCTACTTTCCACCCCTGGTGCCAGAGCATGGAGCTCCGCCACTAGTTGGACTAGTTGACTCTTGTGGTTCCTTCCAGTTCTATGATTCCAACTCCCATCAGTCCTAGTCAGCATGACCAAGCATCAATCACGATGGGAGCTTGCAGTCTCTCAACATTTGGAAAGCCACCACTACCCCATCTCAGGTTAGAGCATCAGAACTCTACCAGTGAGCAACCCAATCTTTCATCACTAATACCAGCAGCTGTTTTGAAGGCAGCTATTAATCTTCACAGGAAGGGCATGTAGGGACAATACATTCCCAGCCACTGGCTTACCATGTGGAGATTATATATTCAACATCCCCCCCCCTTTCCCAGAGATCCTTTTGCTTTGCTGATGCTGTTTAGCCAGATGTCCCCAGGCATAGATTCTCCTTCCCCTGCCAGCCACCAGAAATAGTGGCTCCGTCTTTTGCCACTACCAGTTCTAAGGAAATAAAGCACTAGTTTCCATAAAGGATACTAGCTCTGAACAGTGGGGGGAAATCAATGGAGCATTGAGGAAGAATTGTTAATTCCCCCTTTCATTAGCAAAGAGCTCCCTTGTAAGCTCCCATTTAAATCCCATTTAAATGGAGGTGTAGGAGGGAGACGTGCGGCTCACAGATTGGATTACGCTCTACTTAGTGCAACACAGTGGCTCATTCCTCCTGAGACCTCTGTCTGGGAGTTTGCACAATCCCATTGCAGATTGTGTCTGCCTGGTCCATTGGTGGACGCCTGGTTGACAGAACATCATCTCAGTTACTCAATGAGTGTAAATGGTGTCAGTCAAGTCCACTTTCTAAACTTAATGTTCAGTATACCTGAGAGGGCCACTTTCCCATTGTTACAGCCTAGGCATCTTTCTTCTTCTTTTACATATAATTTTTATTAATTTCTTTTTTAACACAATATTTCCAACATTACAATAGCAAATAAAAATACCCTTTGCTCTGCTGAGCTTGTGACTTCCCTCCATCCCTTCAACTGGTTTTTTTGTTTTCAAGTCTTTACATTGCACTTTAAAATCTCCACTTCTGACCTTCATGTCCTTCATGACTCTGTCTCTTTGGTCTAGAAAGTTATAAAATGTTTTAAATTTCGTTGCAGGATTTATTTCAATCCCGCTAGTGTCTTCACATTTTTACAATAATTGTTCATATACCCAAATAATTTACTCCAGTCTCTTTGAAACTTTTGGTCGTCTTGGTTCCGGATTCTACTGGTCAGCTTGGCTAATTCTGCATAGTCCATCATCTTTGTCTGCCGCTCCTCAATCGTTGGCAATTCCTGCACTTTCCACTTTTGAGCTAATAAAGTTCTTGCTGCCGTCGTGGCGTACATAAATAGTCTTTTGATCTACATTAGCAATTTCCTATCCCATCAAACTCAGCAAAAATGCTTCTGGCTTTTTGGGGAAGGTATATCTAAACATCTTTTTTAATAGATCAATTATAGATCAATTCCCAGAATGCTTTTACTTTATCACAAGCCCACCACATATGGTAAAAATCTCCGTCTTTTTCTTTACATTTCCAACATAATTTGTTCCTCATCCTATGCATTTTGGCCAACTTCACTGGTGTTAAATACCACCTATACATAATTTTCATTACATTCTCTTTTAAGGCCGTGCAAGCTTAAAGTTTACAATTTCATTCCACAATTTCACAATTTTGACCAAGATTCAAACTCAATATTATACCCAAAATTAATAGCCCATTTTATCATAACTTATTTAGTCCCTTCATCTTTTGTATACCATTCCAACAACAGATTATACATCTTTGATAGCAATTTAACTTTGCCCTCCAACAATTCAGTTTAAAATAACATGTGTCTTCTATGAAATAACATGTTTGAAATAACATGGGTCTTCTGTGTGTCCTCTACAGCCTAGGCATCTTTCATGAGGTTAGTTGGGTCTACAGCATGGGTGCTAAAAAGATAGCTGATGGGCTGGATCTGGCCCCTGAAGCAGCTTCATACCTTCTTGGTTTGGAGTAAGCGCAATCCAATCAATCAATCAATCATTTTATTTGTATGCTGCCTTTCCAAAGTTAAAAACATGCTCAACATATAAAAAATTACACAACTACAAACATAACAAGTCACAAACAATAAACAAAACTTCAAAAAGTACACAACCAAACCAAACAATTTCCACATAAATCTTAAGATCCAAAATAAAGATACAAGAAATTAACAACAACAGCCCAACCGCAACAAAACCCCTAAACAACACCCCAGCCGAAGAACTGTCAGAGCTCTCAGAAATGAGTAAAACACTCATCATTCAGGGACTCAGGAAGGTGTACTAAATACTCTCCGCTAAACCTTTCAAAACCTCAGAGGAGCTATGGGTGGTCTCAGTTATTGTTAGAGAGATGTGGAGCTGCCACCATTCATTGTTTCTTTCTCTCCCCTCCCTGGTAAAACATCTAGGATTCTCAGGACAAGTATTATATGATATGAAATGAGGTTACTATGTGTCTCCCACTCCCACACCCAACCCACCTCACACCACTGACAGCATACCCTCCAACATTTCTCTGATGAAAATAGGGACGTACAATTCCATCAATGATAATTTTGCTATTTATACCCCACACATCTTACTGGGTTGCCCCAGGTACTCTAGGCAGCTTCAAACATATATAAAAACATTTTTAAAAAATCAAACATTAAAAAAACCCTTCCCTATACAGGAATGCCTTCAGACAGCTCGGGGTTTGGATAACTCCATACTCTTCCAACATTTCTCCAAGGAAAATAGGGACATCCCAAGGAAAAGTGGAGCATTCTGGGATCAAATCAGAAACTGGGATTGCTTCTTTAAATCAGGGACACCCCTGGAAAATAGAGACACTTGAAGAGTCTGTGGTAGTTTCACTAATGTCACCCACTCCCGCCCAAAAAGAGGGGAGAAGATTTGTGACAGCCAGGGGTGCCAACTTGAATAAAATAGGGAGCAGGTAAGCCCCACCCCACATAATCAATCACAAGACACCTTGCACACACACACCATTTGAATGGCAATGCCCATCAACTTTGGAGGGCCCAGCCCCCTCAAATATTTCATTGGGCAGGGGGTCTGAAGGGACTTTGGCCTCTAAGAGTTGGCTTCTATGGTGGCAGCTATAGGTATCTTGCAATGTTTAGTTCTGTCCAAGTTTTCAGAATTGACCCCTTCACTGGACTATTCTTTTGTGGCCACAGCTTATTCACTGAACATCTTGAACATAGATCATTAAAATATCAAACCACAAACATCTAAATATATATATGGGCAAGACACAGCAATAGTCCCTTCCTTACACATATTTCAGCAGCTGGAGAATCTCAAATAAACAACCTAGCCCCGGTTGGTGGCTAATTTAAATGAAGCTTTGGGAAAGAGACACGGGCTGACATTTGCCTGAGTTGTTTACTCAGCTCATCACATGTATGCTCATATGCATAAATATGCACACAGTGATTGCTGTTCACAGGGCATCAGGCTGCTGGTTAGCATCTCTTCTTTCTTCTTGGATCAGCCACCAACCCCCTGAAGCTTCACATCCTGGTATCCCAACTGCTAGTGCCAACATCCAGTCTGCAATCTTGTGAATTACCTGGATAGAAGCTCCACTAATGGCAGGGACCAGACCTTACAAGGTGGCCTCCTAATGCTTTTGAGGGAAGGTAGAAGCATCAGCAGGGAGAAAATGGTAGGTAAGGAGGAGATTCATCACTCTTCACCTCAAGGCTGGACCAAAATTCCCACCCCACTCCCTGTGTGAAAACAAGGGTGAATTTCCTTATGCCTTCTTGGGGTGGGAGAAATTTCTTCAGCATTTCTTTTTAGGTGGTTGTGCTTACCTTAGTGGTTCAAAGCTGTAGAGAAGAAGTTGTTAAGCTATAGCCCTCTAGATGTTGCTGGACTCCAACTCCCATTATCCCTTGCTGGCTGGGACTGATGGGAGCTGGAGTCCAACAACATTTGGAGGGGCACAGGTGTAGGGGAAATGTGGAAGACCATTGTAATTTCAAGGAGTTAGATGACATGTCTCTTTCCCTTAACATCTGCAGTTTTAAGTTTGCTGATTCATGCTGGTATAACTTGTTTTCCACACACCTGTGTCAGGAGTTTCCTGGGTCTCCTGTGTTCTAAGTGCTAATTGGCTAGTGGGGAGGATACCCAGTTGCAGTGAATTGGGTTGGAGACTCTCAGCTGCTCCGCATTCCTGTTGAATCACACTCCATGTCCCGGGCTGATCATGAGTGATGCTTGCTAACCAGGTGCAGTCAATCAAGTCAATCAAAGTTGACTATAAGAGCTGTAGGCTGAAGGGGCTCAGAGAGCTTCTCCACAGGTCGAGGTACCGGATGCTGTGAGACTGTTGGCTGGGGTCTCTCTCGCTGCTCTAACTGGAGCTCCGGGCAGCTGAAGGGAAGATTGTGTGTGACTTTTGTCAGGTATGCTGTAATTTGTGTTTTGTATGCCTGCTGCTATCTGTTAACCTTATGCAAATAAAGCATTGCTTATTCTTCATCCACTGGTGTGCTTATTGGCTCCAGATCTGGAAAGAACCCTGCCCTTGGCAGAACAACAGGTTAGGCACCTTTGTACAGCAGAGAGAGCCTTGTGTAAATTTTTGCCAGCCACACTTGCTGAAATGCCTTGGGAGCTACATGTTGAAACATGGCGCAGTACTGCTACCAATGCAGTCAAAGAAATGTAACCAGTAGAAAGATACGGTGAGAGCCTTGCATGGCTGTGCATGGATTGTGGCTCTTTCAGTATGTGCATTAAAAAGTAAGAAAAACTAGAACACACCTGCCCACTTCGTAAGACTAAGTGAGTTAAGCAGCAACAGTCACCCAAAAATTACAGAGAAATTTATTTCCCTCCCTCAGTATTTCAGAAGAAGAAGAAGAAGAGGAGGAGGAGTTTGGATTTGACATCCCGCTTTATCACTATCTGAAGGCGTCTCAAAGCAGCTAACATTCTCCTTTCCCTTCCTCCCCCACAACAAACACTCTGAGGTGAGTGGGGCTGAAAGACTTCAAAGAAGTGTGACTGGCCCAGCTGCATGTGGAGGAGTGGAGATGAGAACCCGGTCCCCCAGATTACAAGTCTACCGCTCTTAACCACTACACCACACTGGAGGATTGTGTTTCATCCTTATCCACTGAACAAATGCTTGAACAAGAACTTCTTTGCCATTTTGAGCATCCTTTCACCAGCCAGCTAATTTCCCCCCTCAGCCAGCTATTCCTACAAAAACTGTATGTAACCTGTTCCCATCTAATGTAAGAAGATGGTCCTCAGTTTGCTGAGTGCAAGATCTCCACTGAGGGAAAGAAAACTAGCTAGGGAGTATGTGTTGTTTCTGTGTTCTGCCACCAATTCATGACATCTGTTCCTGGGATGGATCCTGCTGCCAATGTCATGTTTGCCAAAAGGTGGGGGTACCACCAATAGGGAGAGCTTTTTTTTTTTTTTAAGTCCCTTATTGGGTCCTTGGGCTGCAAAGCTAATTAGCACGGCCCAGGGGAAAGCGAGCGTCACTTTACAATAATTGGCTAATCATTAGTCACTGTAAAATCATTAATCACAACAGGGGAGCATGTTGCTAATGCAGCTCTAAGAGGCATCATCAGCAGCACTCTCATTTAATGGATGGCTCGGTTAATGGGGAACGGCGGGAGCCAGGAAACCCTACCTGGAGATGAGGATTCACATTCAGCTGAAGAGGAGTCAGTTTCACCTAAGCCAAAAATGTTAGTCACACTGCTGCCTGGATTGTGTGTTTGTGTGGCAATTGGGACACATTTCAACTGCGGAAAGCCTAAAGCACCTGCAGTTATTCATTAAAAGAGGGGAAAGATTGGCAGGGTGGGCATGGCAGAGGATTATAAAATTATGTATCAACACCATCCATGCTACCCTCCATGGTAAACCATGCCCAATGCAACTCAAAGAACAAATATATTACATTAGATATAAGAGCAACATCCCAAAACAATGCATTAACCACTCATTCAGAACACATCAACAACATATAAACGGAGAATCAGCATTCCAATAGTCCCACCAAAATGCCTCACATTAATAAATTCAGCATTATGCTAATACCAGACAATTCACTGCATTGTGTTGTGAGATCATTTTTCACATCTTCTCCACATGCATAATATGTGAAGTCAGTGTCACCCAATGATATTGACTCTGAAATTCACTGCCATTAGGTGCAGTGAGAGCCACTAGCTCTGATGGCTCAAAAATACATTAGACTACCTCTCCTTAGCCCCAGCCATTGTGGCCATTGGTCAGGAAGGTTGGGAGGTGTGGTTCGGCCACATCTGGTGGACACCTTGTTGGCTCCCCCTTTTTTAGATCCATTTTCCATGAATTTGTCTTAGCAGATATTAACCAAGATAAATGCTCAAGGACAATATACCTCTGAATAACCAATGCTCTTGCTGTTGTGCCCTGTTTGTGATTTTTGCAGAAGCATATGATTTGCCACAGCTGGAAATAGGATACTGGACTAGACAACCCATTCATATCACCCAATAGAGGCCTTATGTTTCAGTCCATCATCCCATAGCCTTGCTGTGAAAAAGCAGTGTGGGGAATAAGAAGTGGATTGCTGGGACAGGAGACTATTGGCAACTCTCCTTTCTTAGTTTGCATCTACTACTCCTTCCAGCTGCTCTGCCTCGCTTATGCCACAGGTTCCCACTTACATACTCTTGCTGCCTTTGATGGGCAGCAATGAAACTATATTCAAATAATGTCATTCAGCATCCATTTGACACAAATAATATTAAATGGTTATCATGAGTCAGGTTTCCCCAACATTGTACCCTCGAGATGTTGTTGGATTCCAGCTTCCAACAGCTCCAGCCAGCATTGCCAGTGGTTGTGGGTGATGGGATTTGTAGTTCCAACAGGTTCGGAAAGGCTGGTGTAGAATGTGGAATTTCTCAAATAAAGTCCACTTAATGCTTTTAATGCTTGATGTTTTATCATGTTTTTAATATTTTGTTGGGAGCCGCCCAGAGTGGCCAGGGCAACCCAGACAGATGGATGGCATACAAATCATACAATTATTAATTACTACTACTACTATTAGTATGTCGGGATGCAAGAGGTAATTAACAGAAGATTTATTGCATACAAGCAATTAGCCTCCAATCGCTCTCTCCGAGCGACCATCTATCACAATCATTTTGACTCTTCTGAAGAATACTTCCGGCTATTGCAGAATATCCTGAACCTCCTACCCTTACGTTTCTGGGGTCGTCGTCTGTCTCGGACTTTTCCCATTCGTCTAGTTCTGGGACTGACGGGGTCAGCTACCTCCCATCGAGGAAATTCTCTCCCTCTCTTGTGCCGTGAGTGACTGTAATTCCTCAGAGAGCTGGCTCCTATCCAGCCCACTTTTCCTGTGTTGATAAACCACATTCCTGCCAGCTACAGAGGGAGGAGGCATCAGCCCACTGCTTCCAGCTGTCTGAGGAATCCTCAAGTCTCCCTGTTCTCCTTCTGCCTGCCTGCCTTCTAACTCAGGCTGCCCTTCTCGGTTTTGGGCTGTCGTGTTCATGACATGCTACTACTACAACTACTGCTGCTGCTACTGCTGCTGCTGTGGTGGCTGCCTTTTCCAACTGATATCTTGTCCTCTGATTCCACATCCCTATCACACATTCACTGCTCACCAACACTGCCCTCACATTGGCTCCCTCTTCCCGAGAGGCAGCTGCTGTGTTCCCTAGATTTGTGGCCCTACTTGGCTTACATTCTTGTCTCCAGTCCTGATCAGCAGATGCTCTGAACAGCTCTCAGAGCCAGAGTTGCTTGGTATGATTAATGGAGCAGTCCTCTCAATAACTGAGGTCCATCATACGCCAGAATTCCTCTTTCTACACATAACACCTTCCTTGGAGATCCACGTCCACTTCAGATGCTAAACTCACAGCGAATTGTAAGTGAGCATCACCAACTGTGACCAAGTACAACAAACAGAATTAAATACATCAGTGCTAAGTACTTTAAGAGCACATTAATTTGTCTTGGGTAATCACGGGCAGCGGAGGAGAGGATAACAGACCCTATTAACAGCTACTAATTAAGGATGCTTTGCTGAAAGTTTCCATACATTGAAGGATGGAGAGCTTTTCTGGAAGATGCGTAGCTGTTAACATCCATCACACCACACACTGTGGATCCAATGACAAATCAGCTACTTTAGCACTCAAGTTGTTTGAACTTTTTCTATTGTTAGGATGGGAGGGAATGGCCCTCTTCTCCACAACAAGTAACCATGGAAACACTTATTTCTCTCCCGCATGCAAAATTCAAAAGGAAAAATAGTTGCGGTTTGGTTGGCTGCTTTCACTTTCCAGCTTTCCAGCCTCACCGAAGATTCTATTGGGAGGGTGAGCCTGAGATTAAGTAGGACCAGTGGGAGAGGATCCCAGGGCAGCCCACTGCCTCCAGCTCAGAACTGTATGTATACAAGGCCAAAATGTGGTCAGACCAATTCTAGGGGATTAATCCCTGTGTGGTCTTTGTTGACAGCAAAGAATGCCTGATCCAATTGGAGTGATTACCCACTCCCATTCACCGGCCCACAATTGGCACTCGGATGTGCATTAGCTGCTTGATTAGTTACTCTTTTATGCTGGCTGAAGCATTTGCAGAGATTGCAGGCGACAGTTCCAGGAAATTATGTGGCTAGAGGGAGAGGGAGAGAGAAAATATTAAGATCTCCTATTTGTGTTAACCTGTGTAGGTGCTTCCTGCCCCTCTCCCCAGGGGTTTAGAGGTGGTACATCTGGTTAACTCTTTCCCTTTGCTTATAGCACTGAATAATATGAAACATGTCACTAAATATTTTAGCTGCACAGTCTAGTCCAGCTGCTAAAAAACTAAGAGCAGTCCCAAGTAGAGAACCCTGCAGTCATCTCACCCTAGCGGTGGACTAGATGGGCCCTTGATCTAATTCAGCGGGGCTCCTCTTAGGCTCCTATGCAGTAGTTACCAGGCCTTCATCAGAAATCCAAAAGCTATAATTTAAGCATATTTTTGGAAACTGGACTATGGGCAATCCTCCCTTCCACATTTGCATTCCTGGGATTTCCTGGGCATTCAATACTCTCTTCTTTAAATGGGCATGAAGCTTCTCACCCTAGGTGAGTAGGTGCGTAGTAGACTGCAGGGCTGTGTTTCATTTACAATAACCCCAAACCACACCTAATTGCCCCCATCATCATGGCCAACTAAAACTGCAAAAATCAGCTGCAATGCCATTTGATGTGAGTACATCCATTATAATGGCTCAGGTGGGGGATCAGTACTGCTTGATCAAACCTCATGCAATGTGACCTATAAAATGTTTTGAATAGTTTGCACTGGATAAAGAGTTCCAAAAATGCTTTCCTTAATAAAAGGTAATCAAGAACAAGTTTGAGAAACTCAGAACTAATTCAATTCAATTATTTCTACTTTTTATGCACAAGTCAAGATAGATTGCCATATTCATCATCTCAGTAACTTATAGGGACCTTTTCAAATTTTCAAATGTATTTTAAAGAAACATAACTATACTGTTTCTGAACTGCAGATGATCTCACTTATACTCTGTGTAGCTGCAGTCTGCATTACCAGCCCTACATTTTCCTAAGCTTGCTGTTCCTTTCAGCATCCATATTGTAATAAATTGAATGAAGAATAGCCAGTTTATGCACACTGACGGGCTATCCTATTTTCCACACAATAGTTGAGAGACTTGAAGATTCCCAATGGGTAGACAGGCTTTATGAGGTCAGCATTACCTAGCTGTAAGGGCCACCTAAGTTTGAAATTCACATGCTTGGAACCTCACCATGAAGTTGTTACAGTAAGTCCCACACTTTTAACATGGTGGGTGCTGGTACTGAGTACCACTGAGTACCCCAGAAACAAAAACATTAAGAGCCTAATAAATGAAATACAGTCTCATCCATTCTTTTTCTCTTTGCCTCTGTTTGCCACCATACCCTAATTAAAGTGTACAAGATGGCAAACCAACAGCCCAATAGCAGAATTCAGCCACCCAAGCAACAGTGCACCTGTCCCAGCCTTCTCTATCTTGCTGCCCTCCAAACAACAACAACAATTTATTTATACCCTGTCCATCTGGCTGGGTTGCCCCAGCCACTCTGGGTAGCTTCCAACACATATAAAAACATAATAAAACATCAAACATGAATAGCAACAATAACATTAATAGTCACAATAACTTTACAATAAACAACTTATATCAAATAAAGCAATATTCAACAATCCATTAGAATCTAATGGTAAGCAGTCTACCATTCTCCCCAAGCATTAGCCATGCTGGCTCAGGTTGATGAAGAGTTGTAGTCCAAAACACTGGGAAGACACAAGATTGGAGAAGGGTACTGTTAAGTCCACTGTTGCTTTGGCAGCAAGATTCTGCCCTTGGACTGCCAGTTAGCAATCACTACACCTAGAGATTCTGTGGTGGCAGCAGTAGCAGCCAAGAATTACCTTGCTGCAACTGGCTTGGCTGTCTGGTACTCATAGAGGAGCAGGGCAATCAAAAGGATCTCTGGCTGGCAGCCCAGTATCTCATAGGGTTAGGAGTAAAATAAGACACTGTAACCCACACCTTGAGTTCTTGAATATGATAGTTATTCAAAAGGAACATGGAATGCATTTCTGGCCAGCCATTTCATTTTGCTTTTCTTAAACTCAAAAATGTTGCAGAGAGAGGTTTGGCCCTCTCCAAACCAATGCAATTTCCCATCTGGGTTGATGCAACTCATACACCAAATGCAGGTCGTCTGTGCCCTCAAAACTACTACTGCAGCCAAGGGAAGTATGTTAGTCGAGATAAGATTGTTGAGCCAGGAAAAACTAGAAAGTAAAGCGCTGCTCTATCACTCGCCCTCAGTTCCCCCCACCGTTCACCCCACTAAAAGTCACTTTGAACCACAACGTTGCTACAGAAGTGTCATGTTGTCTCACAATCTTACTGCCCCTTGAATGCTATAGAAAAGATTGGGTGCAAGACTGCATTGCAGACCACAACCCTGCAGTCCCTAAGTTCAAATTTAATGCTTTATTATGTTTATATGTGTTGGAGGCCACCCAGAGTTGCTGGAGCAACCCAGTCAGATGAGCAGGGTACAAATAAATTATTGTTATTTATTTATTTATTTATTTATTTATTTATTTATTTATTTTTGTTATTATTATTATTATTCAACCCTCCAGAGAAATGAGATCTCTACACAGAAAACCAACATTTACCTGACGCTGATTAACTGCCATGCTATCGCATAGACCTTCAGATCAAACTTAAGCCCACTGCCCCTATCCAAGGTGCTGCTCCAACTGTGATCCATTAGCAGCCCTTTCTGGCTTTATCAAAACATTTCATCTCACGCTCCAGTGGCTGGTGTGGTGGCTTTATTTTAAATTTGGGTGCAACACGCAGCATGTAACTCAGTGTTTAGGAGGGTAGATCCATTAGGGAAGACGACGGCACAGAGGCTTTTTATAGCTTTAATGTGCAGCTGTTCTCACAGAGCTGGCATGGGTTGGCAGTGTAAATTCTTAAAGCGGAAGGGAAATTTTGCTGCTGGGGGCATTTATGGGCTGGCTGAAACCAGATGCACTAATAAAACTTTTGGCAGGAAAAGCGAACAAGCTGTCTTGGGGAGGGGCAGTGGGGAACTGATGGATGGAAGTGAAGGTGGAGAAATCCAAATGAAAAAGAAAACAATGCTTTGTAGCAGCCAGACTCATGTGCCAGTTGTGGACTGCCCAAAGAGGAAGGGCTATCTTACTTGCAAGAGAGCTACAGCAAGGGGCCAGGTGCTCCTTGGAAAGAGAAAACAACAGAAGATGCTTCTTGCATGGGACAAGTGGAAAGAGCTCAACTGTTTCTAAAAGGAGATATCTAAACCCTTGCCTTCCTAGAAATGACATTTCCACATTAGGGACCCTTTCCCCTAAGATGCATTTGGGTCAGTTGTTATTACACATCAGTCAGGGGGTAAAGTTCCCCAACCATAATTAGAGCCAATCTCTCCCTTGTGAATTAGTTTATTTGTGTTATATTTTTAAACTTAATTATCAATAATAAATCACAGTGAGTGGCACTGTGGTCCAAACCACTGAGCCTAGGGCTTGCCAATCGGTAGGTCGGCGGTTCGAATCCTTGCAATGGGGTGAGCTCCCGTTGCTCGGTCCCAGCTCCTGCCAACCTAGCAGTTTGAAAGCATGTCAAAGTGCAAGTAGATAAATTGGTATCGCTCCAGCGGGAAGTTAAATGGCGTTTCCTTGCACTGCTCTGGTTCGCCAGAAGTGGCTTAGTCATGCTGGCCACATGACCCGGAAGCTGTACGCCGGCTCCCTCGACCAATAAAGCAAGATGAGTGCCACAACCCCAGAGTCAGTCACGACTGGATCTAATGGTCAGGGGTCACTTTACCTTTATGATTTATATTTGCCATGGACCTACAATATTCCCTCAGGCACAGATACATAACAAATAGGAGGTGGCAGGGGGCCTCACAATATGTTAGCTTAACCAAGTCTCTCACTGCTTCTGACTTTTGAGCAATGCCTGATGCAAACTGAGATAAGACCACCATGCTGTCAAATCTTCTGGCACAGGCAGAACTATGAAAGAAAGGGCTTGGTCTCTCATATTTAACATGAAGAGGGACCTCTCCCACTCATAGTCTCCCACTTAGCATGGTGGGTTGATAGTTGCCAGATTAAAGGTGAGGTTGCTTCAGATTGTGGGTGGTTGTCAAATAAGAGGATGAGAATATACTTTAAATGACATGGAGACTTACTTGAGCCATTTTGAGCCATACTTGAGCTGTGTATCAGTACTTCCATGAGTATATAACATCTATTATTTATTGTGTCTAACGGTTGCTGATTTTGTTTCCAGGCTATATTCAAGGTGCTGGTGTTTATCTTTAAAAGTTCCTTTGGTCTGGGCTCTGGGTATCTGGGAGAATGTCTCCTTCCACATATTCTTTACTGAACTTTAATAACTTGGCAATTACACAATCTATTCAGCTGGTGGTCACTGTCCAATGTGCCTCTTTGGTGGCTCCTAAACTTCAATACTGGCTTCCCAACAGTGTGATGGTTTGGGGAGCATGTCCACTAAGCAGACTGTTTTAAAATCATCCTTTTCAGTCAATCTTTTCTTAAAAATGGTTTTTAAAATGCCTTTTCTGCCCTATGCTTCTTGGGTCACTTATTGATAAAAAAGGTAAAGGTAAAGGACCCCTGACAGTTAAGTCCAGTTGCAAACAACTCTGGGGTTGTGGCACTCATCTCACTTTACTGGCCGAGGGAGCTGATGTTTGTCCACAGACAGTTTTTCCATCTCATAAATCATAGTTGACTACTAAAGACTTGTGCTGGTCCAACTGCTGTCCTGTCCACATCACCCATGTAATTCCACTTTGCATGAAGAACATGTTTGTCTTCCTCACCCAACAAGGACAGGGTCTGGTCAACTTTACAAAGCCCTTCTCAACAAGGAGTCAAAGCCTCCCCCCCCCCCCCGATCTGAGAGAACCACCACACAATAAAAGTGGTGGTGGGGTTAGTGTTTGACTGACTAAACTGATAAAATGCCTGGTGGCCTGGGAAAAATGAAAGTTGGGTTTCTCCAACAGTGATGTAGCAGTCAGGAGAAAGAATGGCTGCTTGATCTTCAGCCTGCTTCAGCATCAGACTAGTAGAGGAAGGTGAGGAGGAAAGAGGCCTGTAATTCTGCACATGTCAAGTACTTTCCCACAGGGTATGGAGCTCAGCCAGTCTCTCTGCAGCTGTGAAAGGTGCTATTAAAATGGAAAGCATGTGGTCTCAATAAAATGACTTAAGAAATCACCAGCACATGCTTGCTTAACAAAAGATCTAATTGTTTTAGAGGCAGAATCCTCAGTAGTGGGAAGGTTTGCAAAGTTCCAGAAAATGTAGCAGCTTCTCAGTATCCAGAATGAGGTAAGCTGCTCTAAAAAAATGATAAACATAAGGTCAGCATGGTGCAGTTGTGTTGGAAAAGAATCAGGGATACCCAGTTTTAACTTCCTTTGTGCCTATAAAGCTCTTTTAGTGACCTTGGACCATTATCTCTCAGCCTAATCAACCTTACAGGGTTCTGAACAGTAGTAGCTGGGGAGACGTTATAGGTAGGACACTGTTGCTCTCCAGGCTGTCTCTCCACACAGTGGGCTGCTGGCGATTACTGAGAGCCAGCAGGAAAGAATGAGATGCAAGGAGCTTGGCTCAGTGTGGTGCATGGCAGAGTGTCCAATCTGACACTTCTGCTGCCGTGCACCACCCAGCCACACTTCACGTGCCTTGCCCTTTCCCCCTCCTTCTCAGTAAGCACCAGGGCTGCACCTCACCAGCCACTACTGATTGTTGCGAGGATAAAATGGGGATGGGGCATGTATGCTGCCCTGAGGTCCTTGGGGGGAAAGGGTGAGACCGAAATGTAAAAAACAAAACAAAAAACTATAGTAACCCCTCTTTTTGAAATACTGTTGATTTTAAGAAACAGAAAATTGTACAAACAGAAGAAGTCAAGAGCTGGAAGCATCTGCTTCAGCTGTACACATGAAGTGGGTAGGAACAGTAACTAGAACAAAAGGTACCTTAGGTTTCAAAGGTTATGTTTATCTGTGATCCCTGCCTCTGTTGCACTCTCCCCCCACCCCACATTTTTATTGAATGAGTTGTTTTATGATATTAAAGGATTGTAGTGCATAGGCACCAGGAGGACAGGAAAGAAATTTGTATATACTGTATGCTTCAGTCACAGGCAAATCGAAACAGAAGCCACACCAAACTGTTGAATGGGTTGACTCATTTTGTGCAACATGACATCATGGGGAAAAGGGGAGGAAAGGCTACCAGAGGAACTGCTAGCCCATTTTCTCCTCTACGTGAATTCTCCCACTTGCCTTCTTTAATGGGTCATAATAGTTCTGCTGACCAAGGCTCTGTGCTGTCAGCTGATGGACAGAAGGAGAGTTTCATTCCTGCTGGGATCTGCTTTGCCAGTGCGTTCCCTGCAGGGAACTGGTGAGGCAGACTCCAGCAGCAAGCAAGATTAAACCCTCTGCTCAACACCTGGTGAGTAGTAGGTTCAATCCAGCTCAGTTTGGCTGCATACACCTGTTCACCTACTGGAAACAGGCATGCAAAGCCAAAGTGCAGTGTGGGGTTCTTTGCAAAAGGGCTTTCAAAGAGCCCCTCACTGCCCTTTGAAGTCCCAACAGTTGAGGTGTCAAAGTGCAACATTACCTAGCATTACCTGTCAAATTTGGCCCTTGAGGGATAAGAAAGTGAAGATCTGGCCAGAAGAGGTAATCCATCCCTGCTATGGAACAAAAGCAGCCAAATATAGTCCCAGTGAGTTCAAGGGAGGGTACTGTATTAGATTAAATGAAGTTGTAATTTTTGCATGGGACACATGTGGGTGAAGAACACAGCTCACCCATATCTTGGTATGCCTTTCAACCACCTCACTTATATAACCCTAAGGTACCATCATCTCCTGGGATGTTCAGTTTAGCATTAATTGGGATGCAAGTTTAATTCAGTTCAAATTACTTTTCTAAAAGCTTTGAAGCAAGCTCATTCAACAGTGAATTCAGCTTCAGCGTGAATACATTGAAGACATTCTGCACTTAATTTCTTGCTTGTAAAATTCACAGCTGTGTATTCAAGAAACAGATCATTATGTGGGAACAACTAATATTAATTGAGAATGCTTTCAAAGGATGTTCAAAATAAGCTAAAAAGTGTGTTCAGTGTGAAACAAGACTGCATTCAGAGGAACAGCATTGGAAATCTTCTGGTTTACTCAGAGAGTGTGTTTTGTTTTTGCTCCAGCAACATTATGCTCAGTGGCTTCTAGCCTCTGCATCCTACATGACAAAACATTTCATACTTACTCCTTTAATGAAAGTCTACCATTGATGCCCACAAAGAGAACTGAGGGGTGGGGTTCTATGGCCACAGGAATCTAGACTGAAACCACAGCTTGTATTTTCAGGGCCAGTCCAAAGCCTGCTGATTTCTGGGTTAGCTTTGGAAATGAACTGAAGTTGAGCATAGCACAATCTTGAATATCTCTAGGCTCTGCACGGCCCACATATACAGCATATTTTATCCCCCTTTCCAGACAATCATTGTCTCTGAAAGCAGCTCACATCATCAGTTTATGTTTATTTTTATTTCTTAAGGGAAAGACAGGACCCCCTGCCATCAATGTTTTTACAAAGTGGGGGCAAGACATACATGGGAAAAGAGTGAAGGAAATAGGTAGGGGAGGGAGATAGATCTTTACAGCCAGAATGAAGCATTAAGACAGAAATGGGCATTTCATAGAATCATAGAGTTGGAAGAGACCACAAGAGCCATTGAGCCCAACCCCCTGCCAAGCAGGAAACACCATCAGAGCACTCCTGACATATGGTTGTCAAACCTCTCCTTAAAGACCTCCAAAGAAGGAGACTCCACCACACTCCTTGGCAGCAAATTCCACTGTCAAACAGCTCTTACTGTCAGGAAGTTCTTCCTAATGTTTAGGTGGAATCTTCTTTCTTGTAGTTTGGATCCATTGCTCCGTGTCTGCTTCTCTGGAGCAGCAGAATTTATGTCCTGTAACGGCCAGGCTGAACTTTTCTTATTGGTGTTCTTTCTTCAATAGCAATTGGTGGCTCTTGTTCCATTGGCCAATGGATGTGGGGCAGAGAGTCCATTCCCCCTTACTCCTGCACTCCTAGAGCAATTGGAGAAAAGCATTCTTTCTAGCAAGGCAAGGGGGAAAATCAAGCTTCCTACAGCTTCTCCTTTTCTGGTCAATGGAAGGGGCCAGAATGGCCTCCCAGGTGCCATGATGTTCTTCCTGGGAGACAGGCAGAGTAGCCTCCCAGTGGTCTTTGGTCCTCTGTGCTGATGGAAGAGACCAACACATGCTGCCCTTCCACTCTGCAGCCCCCATTTCCCATGCCCATTTGCAGGGTATCACTGCCTCATCAGTATGCAAGAGGCTTGAAGCAGACAGGCTGAGGTGTAGCAAGGTGACTCTAGGACTCTTGCCCAAGAAGCAGGTAGCAATATTCAGCCCTCAGCCCAAAAAAGGTTCCCGACCCTTGTTCTAAACCAAAACTTTCAAGCTGACTTCAATACGATGCGTTGACCATTCCCTTCCAGTCAGCTAGCTCACTCTGCACTTCATAATCATTAATTTAAAATGAATGTAAATGTGTTTCTTAATAAATAAAAAAATCAATGGAAGCTGAATTGCCTAAAGTGAATTCACTGTGGAATTAATGCAGTTTATTGGCATTCATGTTAACTCATCTGAATTCAAATTCATTCAGATTCAGAGTAGTTCCAGCTCTGTTTGAATTTGATGCTGCCCAGAGGAAGCGCATTTGAATCTGAATGTTCATCAGAATGAGCCAGTACTAAAATCTGAAACACAGATTTTTGCTTCAGCTCCTGCAGCAGATATGCTGTGTAACAATCAGGGGTACCAGCTTGAACAAAATATTGGGGGGGGGGAGCCCTGCCCCACATAATTGGTCACATGACACAGCACACACACCATTTGAATGGCAATGCCCATAAACCTTGCGGGGGCAGCCCCCTGAAATATTTTATTGGGGGACTGAAGAGCTCTCAGCCCCTAGGAGTTGGCTCCTGTAGTAACAGTTGTTTCCTATGGTCCTTGACACTCAGCTGCTCTTCAGTAATATGGAATGTTTGGCTGCTGATAATGGCAGTCTCTAAAGCAGTCTTCACCAACCTGATGCCCTCCAGATGTTTTGGACTAAAACTCTCATCAGACCCAGACAGCCTAGGGTGGGAGTTGTTATCTAAAACATCTGGTGAAGGCTGCCCTAACGTGTCAGATACAATACGATTAGGTACCTGCACCCCCAAAGCCTGGGCTAAGACATAAGAAGACCCCAGCTGCATCAGACCTGGCACCCTGTTCTCACAGTGGCCGACCCAATGCCTATAGGGGGAACCCGCAGGCAGGACCAGAGTGCAAGACCCTCTCCCCACTCACAGTTCCTCATAACTGGTATTCAGTGGCAAAGTGCCTCAACAGTAGAGGTAGAACATACTGTAGACAGGGATTGCCCAACCTGATGGTTAAGAATGGAAAACTATCCAAAAAAACAAAAGCTACCATGGGTCCAGGAACCAAAGTGGAAGAAACATCATTTAGACCATAATTCAGAGCTCAGCTCGCTGTGCGGTCTTGAACATGTTAATATTTCAGGTAATAGAAGCCAGTATTGTATAGCAGGCCAAAAGTCGAGAAATGTAAATATCTCTTTTCCTGATAATTCTCTACGTTTCCAGACCTTTGCACACTTATCTGGGTATAATATGGGTATAATGAGCAGCATAGCAAGGTTGGCTTTTAAGACTATTAAAGCCTAAGAGCTACAGCACCACCCCTCCAAAGAGGAACCTATGCTGCCTGGCGCATTCCTCCTCCAAGGGAAATAAATTTATCTGAGTCTCTGCGTCAGGAGTGACTGGATTCCATAGTCTTATGGGGGGCAGGGGCTCCTTAGACCACATATGTGGTGTTCCAGCAATCATGACTTCACTTCCAAATGTGGTAAGTCACGCTGCATTTAGAGAGCCTCCTGCACATGCTGCTGAGTGAAGCCCTGGCTTCTGACCCTTGACAGCACCACTGGCAAATGGATCAAGCATTCTCACCTGATACAGGTATCAGGCAAAGGCCAGAGCAATGGCTCACAAAGAGCTGTAGCAAGAAGCTTCTTTGCTGGGCTGGATCAGAGGAGAAATTTTATTTTTCCATGCAGCACACTCACCTGCCCTAGCATACAATAAGTGAGCTGCTGCCAGAGTATCTCAAGGAACATTTATAAACATTTTAAAATAACTGAAAAAAATATTGATGCATCAAATGTGGGTTACAGAACCTCTCCACTTCCTGCCGCTATGACTAGCTCCTCATTGCAGGAGGCAGGTTCACACCCTTATTACAGCACAGCTTAGAATGTCATACATAGTTCCTGGCAGATACTGTCACGAATCACTGCAACAGGGCAGGCACTCAAAACCCACTTCGTAATTCATTAGAGAACATTCTGAAGCAGGCTATTCCAAACTCATCCCCCCCCCCCTTCAAATAACAGTGAATGGCTACCAGAAAGTAATGCTTTAATACTCATCAAAAATGACATGAAACTGTCATTAAAACAAAAAACAAAAACATTTCTAAGGCTGTGATCTCAAGCACATTTACTGGGGATTTTTTTCCCATCAAAATTAAAAGGGATCCATAGGAATAAAAGCTGCTTGGAACTGATAGATGTGACAAGGTCTGTATTGCCTTCAAAACTATTCATGCCCCTTGCTTAAATTTTATTTTAAAAGCTAACTGTTGATGTTGAAAAATAATATTTTGGCAGTTTAGCTTTAACATTCTGGTATTGAATGTATGATTGCTTTGTTGGGACACAAGCATTTTAATTTGTTATCATAAGACCTGTTGCCTAGACCATTAATTTTATTTAGCTCATCTATCCTTTTATCATCTTTCTTTAAAAGAGAGAGAGAGAGAGAGAGAGAGAGAGAGAGAGAATGGACAATGCCACAGTCCACCATCTCGTAGCTCTGAGATGGTGCCTCTGAAAAAAATCAAGCCTAGACATGGAAGGAGCTACAATTGTACAGGACAAGAGGATTAATTTCAAGCAACAAAGTATAATCAACAGTAGACTTCAGAACACAATCTTATCAACACAAAAAACTTGATTAAGCTTAAAAATCAGTTGGTTACTTGATTAAGAGACAGATGATTACATTTATGTATTGACAAAGATTCAGTAGCTGCCTCTGACCATATTGAAACAAACAAGATAGTTTTCATCCTGGCTACTTGCAAGAAAACAAATCCCAACACTTCCATTCTCAGTAACAAAGGAAGCTTCACTCATACAGAGCTGTATTGTCTAACAGAACTGTCCACATTATGGTAGTGCTGAATCCCTAAGCATGCAATGGTGCAGCAGCAAGGGAAGAGCACCAAACCTTTAGAACCATATTTTCATCAATAGCAGGGGATAGATGTCATCAGTTAGATTGAAAGGAAAGCTGGAAATTAACCTTATTGCACTCACAACTACAACTCCCTAACATTACAGGCTGAGACATATGCACCAGTTCATCACTAGGACAATGATATTATGATGGCTTTAATGCATGAACAGGCTATAAGAGATCTAGCAAAACACAGAACTCTTGTATCACTACAAGCATAGCTAAATAAGTGCAGACAGTCAGCTGTCAGCCACCAAATGATATTAAATCATAAATAGTGGAGATGAAAGATACCATTCAATCCTAAATCGATACAGAATAACTGCTGTTCTCTTGCCTTCATATTACATCATTAACAGAAATCAGAATTTTTGTCCTCTTCCCCACCCCCACCCCTGCCACACGCCCTAGGATTACACTTTTACCACTTCCCCTATCCCTGGCTCCAACTAACCAACCACTATGGTCATGAGGGAAGGCATATGGAAACTGCCTACAGAAGATCTATAGAAGCAATTCATGTAAATAAAAAATCATGGGGTTCAGTACTTCACTCCTAAGACTGCGAGAGAACTCATGTTTGAATGCTCTCACCGTCCTCAAAATGTATGAGGAAGAAGTCTAAGCTAGAACCATTTTTCCTCCCATGGAAAAGGAGTTCTGAATGCAAAGGAGCATTGAAGCACACCCAAAAACCCACCCATATATATTATGGTGGTCTAGCCCTATTGTGCAGAGGGTGGAACAGTTCTATACCCTTTCAAGATCAGCTCCTTGGGGAAGCTCCACAGCAAGAGAAGAAAGATCCATAGCAAAGAAGCACCACTGAGCCTTCTTTCTTCAGTGCACCCTAGCATAGTTCCAATTTTGCCCATACTCAGTAAGCAAGAAGCTAAGAAGCTGCTCTAGAATGAAAACAGAGCACTTCCACATGCAACACAGAAAACACCTTTGAATCACTCACTATTTATGTGAGTGTGTGAATGGTAGATCCATCAAATGCAGAAGAACACACCAGTGGTTTGTTTATTTGTTTGTTTGATCCGTCACATTCTAGAAGACCATGGAAGTTTTACAACCACATTAAACACATGTGAAAGACAAAGGACAATTTTGATCAGAGTGAGGTTAGAGATGCAGTGCCAAAGCAATAAGAACCAGCACTACTTGAACTGACAAATGTGTACAGTGGTACCTTGGGTTACATACGCTTCAGGTTACATACACTTCAGGTTACAGACTCCGCTAACCCAGAAATATTACCTCGGGTTAAGAACTTTGCTTCAGGATGAGAACAGAAATCGTGCTCCGGCGGTGTGGCATGAGCAGGAAGCCCCATTAGCTAAAGTGGTGCTTCAGGTTAAGAACAGTTTCAGGTTAAGAACAGACCTCCGGAACGAATTAAGTACTTAACCCGAGGTACCACTGTATTTTACAATGGAAGTGGGGGACATGAATGTCACATGTCAGTCCTGACTTAGTTGAAGTCAGATCCATGTAGGCAGGAAGGAAACATCAGGAGATGGACATTTTAAGTGGGTAGATTAGCTGCAGCCTACAGAGATAGAATGCAGTTGTGGTGGCATCTCCTTGGCAGAAATTCCTACATTCACTTGCTCCCAAACATTCATTTGCCACTTGCCAGATTCCACACACACTCAATAAAGAGTCTTTTCTGTTTCACAACATCTACAGCCTTGCATACATGTCTTAATACCTGACATGTTCAATTTCGGGGAGGAGGGCTTCCTTCTCCCAGCCCCTACATTTTGGGACGAGTGGAAAACTCATGAGCAACTGGCCCTACTAAATCCTACCCATCCCTTTCACAGAAGTGAGCAGGAATTGTGATCCCACTTCTTATTAAGATTACATTTTCCTTAATTAAGTGGACATTTTACAACTTACTTTTCACAGGTAATTATTTTCTCATGCTGGGCAACTGCATTCACACACTTATCACCTCTGCTAAAAACCGATAAATCTGTAACAAAAAATAATGGAGCTCTGGAAAGAGTAAGTCCACATGTACACACATAATCCCATGATCAATGTTTCCAGACTGGTCTTGCCTGCTGTGCCATTAAGCAATAATCACTAGAGGGACTTCAGCACAGGATCCAGCTCCACTAATAATTCTATATCAATGAATTAGTAGCTGAGCTGTGAGGGAGTCATTCTAATCGGTGCCAGTCCTTCAACTCCCTAATCTCTCCAGAGAAACCTGCCCAGTCCCAGACAACAAACCTGTTACTCCAATCAACAGCTCCTTTTTGAATATGAAAGAAGCCCTTTGTATGGCTGCACTAACAGATGTGTTTTCAAGATCATTCCAGCACTGCACTGATTTATCCAGGGAAAGGCAGCTTCAGGTTCGGGACATAGAATTTTTCTGCCAGGTTGCAAATGGGACACAAAGCTAGGGAAAATTTACACATGCACACGCGCGCGCGCACAGACACAGAGAGGGAGAGACAGACAGACAGAGACAGATGCAGACAGTCTTGTGGAAGCGTAGACTAGCACATTTATTGTAACACAAATTTCCCTGGAGAACTGTCCATCAAATGCGTCAGAAAATTCCAGGCAACGGAAGGCTTGATCGCATCAAAGAATAAGACATTTACTCCCCACCTCCCACCCCGCGGTACTAACATCTGCTCTATACAGGAATTTGTATCTACACATTTGCTAGACACTATTTAAGCTGACACCTATACCCCCCCACACGGATTTCTAAAAATGACTGTGTAGTTTAGAAAAGGAAAAGATTGTCCCAGCCCAGCTGCAAGAACATTCCCCTTCGCCGCAGGAACTTGAGAGGGGGACCAATATTTTCTTCCCGCACATACCCAAGAAACCCTGCAGAGTCGACGACCCACGGGCTCTTCTGAACCAACTCTTTCCCCTACTCATACACAAAGCAAGCACTTCTCCTTTAAGAAAGGAGGAAAGTTTTCTAGTAGTAGAGAAATCTACTCAGACAAGCGTGAAAGGAATGGGGGCGGGAAGAAAAGGGGGGGGGGAGAGAAGAGTCCTTCTTTCTCCAGATTTAGCGTAAATACGGTAATCAAGCCAAATTAACCCCAAGGTGGACGTAAGGAAGCTACAGCGCCTTTGGAGTAAGTGCGGATGCTGGCGGCATCCTGGGACGATCTCGAGCTGAAGATCGTCGGTGCGCCCGAAAGCGGCCAGGCTACAAGCCTGGGAGGGACAGAGGGAGAAATTCGTCGCAGCTACCGCGATGCCGAAGCCCCAGTTTGGCTAAGGGGGAAGGGGGCTCTCCCTTTCCACTCAAGAAAGGAGCAGGGAACACCAAGGAGCCACAGAAGGTGTCATCTAGCCAGGATCTGGAGGGGGGGCTGTTGAAAGGGGGGCGAAAAATTGCCTTGCCATCCTCCACTCCCCACGGTCAGTGGGAAGCGTCGTGGATGGGGTGGGGTGGATCTGGAGGAATAATCAAACACTTGAAGAAGCTGCGGGGCGGAGGAAAGAGCAAGCCAACCGTGGTCTGAGAGGAGCGGAAAGCGGGAGAAGATCGGTCTCGAGTGGATAAAAGACTCTAGCGGCCCAAGCTGCAGCAAAGGCACGCAAGGCAGAAATCACGCAACCCTAGGCAGGATCATGCAAAGCGCGTTCGTTCAAGGAAATCTGGGTGTCTGCCCGAGCCCTTCAGTCCGCCCACGCGAGCCGAATCTCCCGCGCGGAAACGTCCGGTGTCTTGAGCCCATCGGTGACTGGCATCCAGATAGGGATCCTGGAGGCCAGGGCGGGGAGGAGGTCCAGGTCACCCGGCGAAAGACCCGTTGGAAAGGCTGGAGTGTGGGTGTGACTGAACAGCGTCCGTCCAGGCACTCACCAACCCCTCAAAAATCTGCTGGTAAATAAGTTCTCTCTCCAGGGTTACACACACACACACACACACACACACACACACACGCCCCGCGTCAGCACACTCGGAAGCAGGGATGGCTGGCCTAGAAAAACTAGTAGACGCCCAACGCGGGATGGCAAGGGCCGGGGAGAAACGGGGACCCCGGCGCCTGGAAAGCTCTTCCGCGGCGCGCGCCTTCCTCGCGGTGGATGGAAGCTCATCGCCGAGCAAACAGACGGGCAAGCGCGGAGCTGGCAGCTTTGTAGCTTATCGCAGCTCGTCGGGAGGGAGGAGAGGGACCCTCGCGAAAGCTTCGTCGGACGGGGTGGGGGTGAGAGAGTCCCGGAATGGCAGTGTGCCCGTGCCCCGCCTCCCCGCCCGCTTTGCGCAACTAGATGAACTGGGACCCTCAACCCTCCAAGCCGGCCTCCCTATGGAGCTGCAAAGGCGCTAAGGGAGGCCCGCCGGGCTCCCGGGAAACGTGCGTTGGCAGCCTCGAAGGGGCGGCCGTGGGGCAGGCGAAGAAGAGGCGGACTCACGCTTCTCTCGGAAGTGCCGGCCTGGGAGATGGTGCCGTTGAGCCCCACGAGCGACGGCAGCGTCTGGGACATCCAATTGGTGACCATGGCCATGGTGCTGAGCACGGCGCCGATCTTGAGCAGCGGCACGGTCATGTCGCCCCCTGCCTCATGCCCCTCGCCCTCCGGCGAAGCCCGCGGCGCAGCCCGCCTCCCGGCTCATCTGCCCCGTCGGGCACGCGCCGGCCTCCACCCCGCTCTCCCTTCCTGGCCGGGCCGCGCGTCTCCGTCTGCCGAGGCGAAGGCGAGGAAGCAGCCGAGAAGCGGGGCGCTTCGCGCGCCCCTCCTTATAACAGCCCCGGCCTCTCGCAGCCGCTCTGACGTCACGCCGCCACTGGCCACAGGCCGGCTCAGCGGGGGGGGGGGGGGCGCCCAGCGCAAGTTAAAGGGAGGGTGCGCGTGGCTGGGGGCGGCGTGGGTGTAATTAGGCTTGAGGCTTGCACTTCGGGTTGCAGCCAGCTCCTGAGCCAAGAGGAGCTGCCCTCCTGCGCGCGCTTACTTCGGAGGAAACCTCCACCGAATGCACGCAGGTTTGTGTCCGCGCAAGCCACGCAATAGGAGCGGGGTGCCTGAAGAAACGCACAGCTCACAGAATTATAAGAGGGCAGGGCGGATACTCCGATTTCAGGATAATCCGCTCTCACCCCAACTCCTGCGCCAAACTAGCGCACTTCATTGCTCACTGGACAGGGTTTCCCCCTCTTCTCAGTTTGCAGACTCCACCACCTGCCTCCCTGCAAGGAATTATGGAGCTTCTCTCAGGCTGCGGCGGTGGGGCTGGGGGGCTGGGGCTGGATTAAATTAAACCTGCCTTCCTCTCCCGCGGTCGCTGCATGTTACTCAAATAAGCGTTCCAAGTTCCAACTAAACTTTCCAGAAAAGTAGCCGTCTGTGGTAGCCAAGACAGCAAAAACTCTTGTGGCCCAAGAGACCACCTAAGGAAGAGCGCAGAGGACGCGAACTCTAGCCGCCTGCCCATCTGCTCAACCAGCGCTCTTGCTGGCGTCAGCCACCCCTTCAGGGGTTCATCCGCCTGCTCATCTTCAAAGGTGATATGCTAGGCCGCCCTCTGCCAGCAGTCCCCTTCTGCAGCCTACCTGGAACAGACGCAGGTTAGTATCTGCAAAAAATGGACAGGTCTGATAGCAGAAAGGGGATTCATTTCAACCTACCAGAGCACTCCGCAGCTGACCTTAAGGAGGCCAGGCTTGAGCAAAGGCACTTAACAGTACTTCGAAAGGAAACTCCAGTGGGAAACTGCTGAATTACAATTGATCCAGCAATTCAATCGTGTCACCTGTGGCCTGAATCAAGATTACAGCTGTTGTTGCTGTTGTTGTTGCTTTTATTAGGCTACATGTGTTAATTATCTTACCAATACCAGGAAGCTTCTGTCACCACCATTGCTACTTTGCTAAGTGGGGTCACGGCAACTAATTTCTTTTCAAGGAATCATCTCTGTCTGCTCATTTCACTTTCTCCACCCCTTTCGAAACCTATTCCTCTACATTCTTACAGCATGTAACTGAACAGTTGACAAGCTGGAACATGTGCAGAGGAGGGCAACCAAGATGATCGATGGTCTGACAACCAAGTCTTATAAGTCTTACAAGAAAGGAGATTCCGACTAAAAATCAGGAAGAACTTTCTGATAGTAAGAGCCATTTGACAATGGAGCTGTTTGACAGCAGGGGGTTGTTGTCTTTCCTTCCTTGGAGATTCTTAAGCAAAGCTTGGATGGTCATTTGTCATGGATGCTTTCATGGGTGTAGCGGGGGGGGAGCAGGGGGGAGCTGCCCCCTCAAGTAAAACAATAGAAATACTTAACTAACTGACCAATCATCTTGGTTCTGCCCTAACAAAAGTCCTGCCCCCCACTAACAAAAATCCTAGCTATGTCCATGGATGTTTTAGCTGAGATTCCTGCATTTCAAGGGGTTGGACTAGATGACCCTTGGGTCCCTTCCAACTCTACAATTCTATCATTTTCATGAGATAGACAACAACAATTCCCATTATCACCACTATATGTATAATACATATGCTTGCCAGCTCAAGATTATGCTTTCTGTATACAGTGAAGTGGGCTCTTGTCCACCAAAGCATATGCCATAATAAATGTGTTCCTTGTTGTCTTCCCAATAGTGTCAATTTCAAACACCAGAGATGCCCCAGCTCCACTTTTGCCAATGCTACTTCTATCACAAAAACTGATTCTCCCCGCTACTGTATCTTGAGACCTCCCTAACAGTGCTGTGCATGTTTACAGAGCAAGCCCCATTGGACTCAGTACATAGGGTGCAGACTGCAATACTATGCCCAGTTACAAGCCTGTGTAGCCAAGTGGTTAAATGGGTCTGTGCCCATTGAGCCCAGTGGGGCTTGCTTGTGAGTATCTGCAGCTGCATAATTCCAAATTACTCTCATGTAGGGGCTATTACTCAGTGGTACAGCATGAGATTTGCATGGCCAAGATCTGAGGTTCAGACAGGTTCCTATCTGAAATCCTGGAGTCCTACTTCAAGCCAGTGTTGACAACACTGAGCAAGACAGACTAATGGTCTGATTCAGTACAAGGCATTGTCCTTAATTCAGAAAGATGTAATTCAGAATAACTGCACAAAAGGTTGCACATCTTATACACACACAAACACCTGTATGCTTGGGTTAGGCATCCAGTAGTAGGCTAGGGCAGGGATAGCCAATGATGCCCTCCAGATGTTGTCAAGAACGATGAGAGTTGGAGTCCAGCTAGAAGTCAACAACATCTGAAGGACACCACACTTAGGGCAGGCATCCTCAAACTTGGCCCCCAGCTGTTTTGGGACTACAATTCCCATCATCCTTGACCACTGGTCCTGTTAGCTAGGGATGATGGGAGTTGTAGTCCCAAAACAGCTGGAGGGCCAAGTTTGGGGATGCCTGCCTTAGGGTGTGGGAGTTGTTTGCTGCCTGGTTTGGTTTTTACTGTTGCATCAATCAATATAGCACAGGTGCTCTGCTTTTGCTGCTTTTATCTGCACCACGATTTGATATTGATGGAGGCAAAGATTTTAGTCTTGGAGGATTCTTTCTTTTACTAGCCATGCGATTCAGCCAAAGTCAGATCCTTACAAGACTGCAATCTTATACCTACTCAGTGGGGCTTGCTTCTGAGTAGAAATGCATAAGATTGCATTGAAAGTCACTGGTTTCAATGGGAAAAGTAAACGTGCTCAGTGTTGCAATCCTGTGCAACCTCCTAAAAAATAACATTGTAGGGCTTACTTCAAAGTAAACATGTACAGAATCAGGCTGTACATCTTCCCCATTGAAATCAACTGGACAAGCAGTTGTTATAATCTGTGTTATAATTTGGGGGTGCAATATTTGCTATTATATATCTGTGTAAGTCACACATACAGTCATTTCATGAAAAAAATGTGTATCTTTGTAATTATTCAGGGGCAACTGGAAGCATCCTTTGTCAGTGATGTGGTGTTTTAGCACTAAACCAGGTGTAAAAAGCAATATCTACAAGCAAGGAGCATTGAAAAAGATCCATCTGCATTGATTGTGCTTCCTATGCTATGATTTTTTCCAATTTGCCAGATAGACCAGCTAGTATTTCTGTAGAGATTAGATGTATTATGTTGGTGCACTGAGCTATAACACAACCTTTTTGCAGATTTAAAGCAGAAACGGCCAACTTCCGTATGCTTATGAAATACTATATTCTACAAACCAATCTTCCCAAACCTCCCTATATTTTGGACTATAACTCCCTAGTTAACATGGCCAGCGGCCAGGGGACATGGGAGCTGTAGTTCAACAACATCCACAGGGCAGTAGGAAGATTGCTCCTGATAGTGGGTCATAGACTACCCACAATGATGTCCTCATTGATAATGAAGATGGGGCCATCTAGCAGAAAGAGTTATGGACCACATGTGCCCAAGCATAGCCATAGCATTATGCACAGCTATGCCCAAGGAGAGATACAGTGCTAATACCTAAACTGAAAACATTTCCCTCACCTTTTCCAACAAGTGGAGCTAGGCATCCCCCACCTTTTTAAAAAGCAAAAAACAAAACATAAATTGATTCAAATGTGGTTGAGTCCACCAGCTTTGGCCACCTCTGTCTTAAGAGTCTGGGCTATTGCAGATGTATTCTGCTTCTGCTTCTGCTTCTTTGGCGATCACTGGTAGCTGAGTAAGATTGTCTTCCATAAACATGGTTTTAAAAGTGAGTCCGTAAGTGACTGTGGAGGCCAATTCTGGATCCACAGTTCCGTCCACAGTGGGAACATTGGTTTCTGGGCAGGAGTTAATCACGGTGTGGATTTGCCAAGCATGCCTTCTCTTAACACGTTTCTCCCTTGCGTCCTGAGTTTGAGTGTCTTCAAAGCCCATGACACCTTTGGTAAAGGCTGGTCTCCAACTGGAGCGCTCACAGGCCAGTGTTTCCCAGTTGTCAGTGTTTATATTACATTTTTTTAAATATTTGCCTTGAGACAGTCTTTAAACCTCTTTTGTTGAGCATTACGCTTTCCATTTTTACGTTCGGAATAGAGTAGTTGCTTTGGAAGAGAATAATCAGGCATCTGCACAAGACCAGTCCAACAAAGTTGATGTTGAAGAATCATTGCTTAAACACTGGTGATCTTTGCTTCTTCCAGTACACTGGCATTAGTTTGCCTATCTTCCAAAGTGATGTGTAAAAATTTTCAGAGACACCATTGATGAAATCTTTCCAGGAGTTGGAGATGTCGTTTATAAGTGGTCCATGTTTCACAAGCTTACAGTAAGGTTGGTAGTACAATAGCTTTGTAAACAAGCATTTCGGTTTCCCTGTGAATGTCCTGGTCCTCAAACACTCTGCACTTCAATTGGGAGAAAGCCGCACTCGCAGAGCTCAGGCGATGCTGGATTTCGGCATCAATGTTGGCCCTTGTGGAAAGATAACTGTCTGCAGCATGTTCTTAACCCAATAATAGTATATTAGTGGTGGATTGATTCTGTTCTACTAGTGCTGTGATGCTACACTGTTATGGGAGGTGCTATAGTGCAACAAAGGTTGGAACAAAAAAAACAACAACCTCAGAACATTTGCGGTATGGAAAGTTATGGGATTTCAGCAGGAAGTTACACTGACTGGAAATGGAGCAGATTGATTTTCAAATGATAGATGAAGGAGTGTGGAGGAGAGGCAGGATCATGGCAACAGAGTGTGAAGGAGGGGTGGGTGAGGTCATGGTGGCAGGCCCCACCCTACCAAAATGAGTGTTCAACTGAATATTAGAATTAGGCGGGCCAACTCCTAGGGGCAGAGATGTCTTGGGCCCCCTCAATATCTGCTGGCAGGGGGCTGGGCCCCCATGATGTTGAGGGCGTGGAGGAAGCTGAGCATGCAAGTAGAGCTGTCTCCACATAAGAAGGAAACATGGATCATACAGACAAAGGTTATATTTGCAGTTCTAATGAGCATGCAGGCTGATTCAACAATCCTGCTTACTCACACTCACTCATTATGACTCCAGCCGACGCACATGTGAGCAAGGCTAGACCTGAAATGAGAATGATGTGAAATAAACTTTGGAAGATGTTGAAGGGTTTGGAATGCGGGGTGGGAGGAAAGACACACATCTGGCCAATCAAAACTTTTCTCCAAGTGCCACCAACGTAGGTGTGAAAGTAAGGGACAGGGAGTCAGAACACAGCAGTGTGGAAGGGAGCCTTGATTAGTCTTAATGGAACATTCCCCAATCTATTAGACAAAGCTCATAATCTTGGTGTAGGAGAACAATCCTCTGCAGAAATGCTGGTGAGAGGGTGCATGCACAACAATTGGGAAGTGACGGTGTTAGATGCCACCAACTCAAGGCAGACCACTGACATACAGCTGGAGCATTAGAAGTTGCCTTTTACTGATTCAGAGCATTGGTCTACAAGGCTTATCAGGGATGGGGAATCTGTGGCATTCCAGATGTTGTTGAACTACAGGTACCATCGGACTACAGCTAACATCAACCCATAACCATTAGCCCTGCTGGCCAGGGCTGCGGAGGAGTTGAAGTCTAACAACCTCCGGAAAGTGCCATAGTGACTGCCCCTGATCTACACTGACTGACAGTGTCTCTCCATCATTTTGGACATGAGTTTTTCCCAGCGCAAAGTGGAGATGTGAGGGATTGAATTTGGGTCCTTCTAAATGCAAAGTGTTTGCTCTGCCATGAAGCAGTGTCCCTTCCCCAGCTGGCTACAGCTCTTCAGGTTCTCAGGCACAGTTCTTTCCCAGTCCAGCCTTAAATCTTTTACCTGGAGATAATGAACACTGGACTTTATCATGAAATGCATGTGCACTGCCGTTGAGCTTTGACCCATCAGAGAATGGGAAAGTATATGCCATTCTCATAGATTTATGAACACAAGAAGGTGAGATGATTCCACAACATGAAGTTGTGGGTTCTCAATGAAAATCACTGAGAAAAAGGCACATTTCCCAGTACTATTTAAATGTTTGCATAAATCAGTGAGCCCTAGTTGAAGGATACAGTAAAACAGGCTTAGATTTAAAAACTAGCAGAAAGCCTAGTGGTATTTGAGCAATGGACCACATTGTCTAAGGTAGCTGCATATTCCTTTTCCTTGAAAGTTTTCAAAGAGAGAGAGAAGAAAGACCAGAATGGCATCTGCTAGAGTGGATTAAGAATACACACACACACACACACAATGGCCTTTTCCTGGTCAGATATGAATTTCCCAGCAGTCCTGTTAGTTAAACATGTGGATTTTTCTACAGGACTGGGAGATGTACTGGCTTAGGGCAGTCAGTCAACAGCAGCAGAGGATGTCATAGTGTGGCAGAGGTGCTTACCTGACCTCCCAGCATTTAAGTTTCTGTTGTTTACTGAGCAAGGTGAGTTGGTGGTGAGGTTGGTGTAGTGCAAGCATACCATCAGCACTCCTGTCAGTGTGTTTGCACCACATCACTCTATCTACCACCTCACTCCTCACCCTTCCCCTCCTGATAAGCTGCAGAAACTCACCTGCGAGAAGGTCAGGTAAATGCCTCTGGCCAGCTGTGCCAGCTTCTGCTGGTCAGTGGGGCCCTTCAAAGAACCCCTTGATTCTGTAACATTTTACAGGCGATTCAGTACAGCAGTGAGCAACAAAACTGCAAATGAAAAACAGCAAGTTAATATGTTATAATGGTGAATGAGGAAATTATGGCTCTGCAGCCATTCAAAACAGCTGGGACTCCTGCCTTAAGGGATGCAGATGGAAGGGCAGCAGAGTCCTCTAGTGGTGGCTGTCAAGATCCTAATTCATCTCTCCATTCAGAAAACGGAAATAGCTTTCTTCTTTGGACAAAAAGCTAGTGACTTCTCATTTTCTCCTGATGCAGGACCCACCTTTTGCTCCAGCCTACAATATATTACAAACAGAGCAGGGCAGGACATCCATTGAAAACCAAACCAACCACAAAACAGGTGAAGCACCACTGCTGGGGAAAAGAAGGGGGGGGGGAATATAGTTCAGAGATAGGGAATCTGTGACTTTCCAGATGACACTGAACTAGATCTTCCAGCACCCCTGGCCATTGGCTATGCTGCCCGCAGCTGATGGGAATTGTAGTCCAAAACATCAAGAGGGCACCAGTTTCCCCACTCATGCCACCCCCACCCATTTTCAAGGGGGTGGGGAGGATCCCTCCTCAATACTGTAGTGGCTGCTGTCATGAGAGCATGACTAGAGCCACGCTGGATCAGGCCAAGGGCTCGTCTAGTCTAGCATCCCATTCCAAAGTGGCCAACCAGATGCCTATGGGAAGTGTGCAAGCATGGCCAGAGTGCAACAGCCCTCCCCCCTCTATAATTCCCAGCAACTGAAATGGAGGTAGAACAGAGGCTATCAATGGCTACAATGGCTATCAGTGTCCATCTGTTGGCTTTCTGTCATCTATCAGTGTGATCAATCCATTTTCATTCCTGCCTCTTTCCACCTGCAGGCCTGTCAACCACAACGAGCCAAGTGGGAGAATGCCACCGGTTGCCCTGCTTGCCCGTATCTAACACTGGTTGGCTGTTTATTTGAAATGTTATAAACTCATTACTGCTTTTACTAGACATCAGGAACAAACTATACCTATAAATAAAACCACCAATTAACATCTGTCTTTTGACTCTGTTGTTATATTGCTCTGTCAATAGAGGGATATCATGAAACTCCTAGAGAGAGAATTGATTGGAAATGTATTGATTGCAAATAGAATAATTTTAGAAAAATGCTAGTGAAGGGGGAGGGGATCCATATTGTGTCAAATACAATGGATAAAAAGAAATTTACACCCTTTAAGTGTCTGGAAGAGAAAAGAGCACTGGAAGTGTGTATTCAGTCATTCTTCAGCAATATGATCCAATTATCAAAAATTTCCATGATGTCTCTCTTTTTTAGCATATTTTATTCTGCTTTTGCTAATAATGAGAAATGCAAGGAAATCAGCCCTGAGTGCTCACTGGAAGGACAGATCCTGAAGCTGAGGCTCCAATACTTTGGCCACCATGAGAAGAGAAGACTCCCTGGAAAAGACCCTGATGTTGGGAAAGATGGAGGGCACAAGGAGAAGGGGACGACAGAGGACGAGATGGTTGGACAGTGTTCTCAAAGCTACCAATATGAGTTTGACCAAACTGCGGGAGGCAGTGGAAGATAGGAGTGCCTGGCATGCTCTGGTCAATGGGGTCACGAAGAGTCAGACACGACTAAACGACTAAACAACAACAACAACAACAATTGAGGCACTAAAGCTTGAGAGCATGGTAAGACAAGGTCAGGAGACACGAGCAGCCAGATCTGTGCATGTCTTGTGCAACCTGATCACACTATGCCAGCAAGCAGAGAATCTGGGTTCTGGAACTGGATGCAGGCAAACACTTGAGGCAATGCCAGCAACACCTAGAAGAGTCTCAGAAGCCAAGGATATTCCTGTGCTAAGTCCCCTCAAGTTCAATGGAACCTTTTCTCAGGTGTGTGTATGCAACAAGAGTGGGACACCTTCCAGTGATAACCATGGCCAATTAATCGAGAGATATAGAGATGCTTAATTTGCATCATTTATACAAAGTGCAGAATCTAAATGGGATTTCAAGCAGTTTTAGCTATTTCTCATTTTTCTCCTAGTTTTGGTTGGGATGTGGAAGGGAGGGTAGCGATCATAAAACTTCATTGAGGATAAGGCTGCTTACTATGACGGCTCTGTCCTCCCTCTGAGAACCAGTTGCTGGGAAGCACAAGTGGGGAGTGAGAGGGGCTGCGGTGCTCAGGTCCTGTTTCCAGGCTTCCACATTGACATCTGGCTTGTTACTGTGAGGACAGGATGGGCCTTTGGCTTCTTCCAACGGGGCTCTTCTAATGTTATTAAGAAGTGCTTTTCAAGGGCAAAAATAAAACCAACAACTCTGCAATAGATCTCAACTGAGTGGACTACATAAGAAAAATAAGCATGTGGTGTCCATTGATTCTAGAATAAAATGTTGTGCATACACAGCCTCTGTCTCTCGCTTCTGAGATTTCCTTAGGCAATTCCTCCATAAATCTTTCTGGAACAATGGGGGCTAGAAACTTGGGTGTTGCTTGTTTTTTAAAGGGAGCCTAACGTTGTTAGGTAAACACTCAGTACCATCTTTTTAATTTTCCCCTCCTCAGCTTATGTGGAATCACAGCATAAATATAACCTCTAGACATGCAATGAAAGGAGAGACCTGGGATCACAGAGAAAATGCCTCAACCTTGTCGAACATCCAGCCTCCTGAGTTAATTCAGACACAGCATGCAGAGTGACAGTCAAGAGAGATTTAAACAGATCTGGGAAGTCCTGTCAGGCAGGCACATATAAGGTACAAATGACATTAGATATGAGCAACTGAGATAAAAATGGTCTCCAAGTGCAATGGGGGGTTGGAGACCCTGAACCCAGAATCCCTAATTCATCATCACCATTTCCTCCAAGCAATGCAGCACACTGAACAAATCAGAGGATTGGAATGCAGGTCTTGTATTGCCTTTCTTAAAGAAAGGTGATCGGTCGATAGGTTTCAATTATCAAGGAGCCAGACTCCTGTCAATAGCTGGAACAATTTTCATTGCAGCAAAACTTCTGCTGGGCAGGCAGAGAGTATAATCCAGGAGGTGGGACCTACAGATGGCTAGGGGGCCAGATGCTAATGTCTCCCTCCCTATGCAAACCAAGTGTGGCATGTAGACAGGACTGCCCATCTGCCCATTCCCTGATGTCGCAGCTGATCAGCTGATCTTAGGGGACTGGGAAGAACCATGCAGGAAGTTATACAAACCACTCGTGGCTCTTTGCAAGCCCTGACAATCAACTTTGCAAGTGATGATCCACGGATTGGCACCACTTGCAAATCCCTTTGACCCAGCTGCATCTTTACATGACATCAGGCGTAGGACAGGTGGGCGTGGCTTGGCCATATTGTCTGCTGGGCAAAATAGGGAGGCCCGGTGGAATTGGGCCCTCCGGCCAAAGGCTTCCCACCACTGGTGTAATCATATGCATCAGGATATTCAACATGGCAACCTCAGATATTGTTGGACTGCAACTCCAATCATGTGCCTAGGCAGCATGGCCAATTGTTAGAGAGGATAGATTTTGTAGGTCCAGGAGCTTTTCATTCACGTCCTTAGGTATTCACTTTGCACCACATGCTTAGAGCAAGCAGGGTATAGGACTGCAACCAATGGCCATTCAATGGGGCTTACCTGAGAGTGATTCAGTGTGTTGTGGTCAGGATGAGCTACACTAGACAATGCCAGAAAACAAGCTGGCTTTAGCATCTCCATCTGACAGTAGTTAATTACAAAAAAGGCTGAGTTCAACAAAGCTTGTTTTATGGCCTTTAATGATTTCCAACAAACCTTTGATTCTGTCTACAAGTCCAGTCTTTGGGAACCAAAGCATCCTTGGGAGTATCTAACATGGTGGAAAACTCTTCTCTTTGGATGCTTTTATTAAAAGTTCTATGCCTCCCTTGAATATAAACATCTGCAGGAAGAGGAATTCAACTTAGCACTATGGCAATAATGCCACCAGCACAAGCCTTTCAGCTTGCTGGGTAGAACAATCCCTCTCTCCTCCCTCCATGTGATGTTCTGGGGGTTCTCCTGACCCCCGACCCAATTTTGAGGAGTACAGGGGAATACGGAGAGGGGAGGGGAAAGCCCCATTGAACTAGCACAAGTCTTTGTGCAGGCTTCTGCTAGCAGGACTAATTAACTGAATCCCAGACTTGATAATGCACAAAGAATAAAGAATAAAATGATACCATAACAAAAATGATAATAAAATCAAAGGGGCTGCAGATGGACAAAACAGCATAGTTTAAGGCCTGGGAAAATAAAGAGGTTTTTGCCCAGTGCCAAAAGTTTAATAGAGCATCAAGGTCATATCCAACTAAGTTTTATTCACAGTGGACCCATTGACATGAATGGACCTGAAAGATATCTCACCCCATATAGACTCAGTCAATCTCTGCATTCTGCAAGTGAGGGCCTCCTACATCTTATCAGGAAGCATATTCCACACAAAGTAGAAATCAAGTCTTTAGTGTTGTGGCATCTGCCCTTTGGAATGCCATCCCCTTGAATATTAGAATATTGTCTTTTTGGCACCACAGAAGACCTGCCTCTTCTAACCAGCCCTTTAAGCTGAGATCATTCCCAGTCTGCATGTATCCTGGAATTGCTTTTAAGATGCTTTTAGCACTTGTTGTCTGCCACTCCTTGGGGAGCTCTTTGGGGAGGAAGGAAACTTTAAAATAAAATAGTCACACTTACCAATTTCAATGGGTCTGTGCTGAGTAAGACTGGCAGCAGATGCAACTCTCCGCTTTGTGTTTTCCCATGTGCCACTTCTCAAGGTGGTGTGCATGGTTATCCCTCCCCCCATATTATCATCATAACACCCCTATGAGGTAGGATAGGCCCAAGGTCACACCACGAGCTTCATGGCTGAGTGGAGATTTGAGCCCTGGTCTCCCAAGGGCTGGCCTGACAGTCTACCCACCATTCTGCTTGTCAGTGCCTGGGTGTATGGCTCTTCCCAGCCTCTTCCCCTGAGAGTCTGCAGGCAAGGAGCAAGATGCTTCCCAACTGAGCTAAATGGCTTGAGAGTGCAGGGCAGGGATGAAACTAGACATTCTTTCACTTGGTCAGAGACCCACTTGGGCACTCCCCCCCCCACATGCACATTTGTGTACACACACACATAGGCTGGGAGCCCTACTGGTGCCCCCTCCGGTGGCTTTACCTGGGGCAAAAACCCCAACTAGTCCCCCTGTAGCTATGGCACTAGTGCAGGGCTCCCTGGAAAAGGACCATGGCCCAGTGGCTTTCCTTGCAGAGGATCCTTGCTCCATTCACTTTGTTGTTTGTTTTTGTTTAGTTGTGTCCGACTCTTCATGACCCCATGGACCAGAGCACGCCAGGCACTCCTGTCTTCCACTGCCTCCCTTGAAATGTGCATAGAGCTGAAACAGGAAGGGGAAAGAGCACCACTTTTCCAACTTCCTCCTTTAGCTCTATGAACTTTTCAAGATGGAAAAAGGGTAAACTCATGTAAGAGCCCTGATGCTTAAAAAACAAAACAAAACACAAAACAAAACAAAAACAGCCTCAGAAGCAGAGAATTTGGAGTGGAGAAGCAGCAGGGGGAGGAAGTGCTTGACCCTTTTTCACCCTCAATTTTTAATCCAAAATGATCCTCAACGACTTTCTTCAACATGAATCTCCAGGGGCTGCTTTGGGAGGATGATTTGGACAAGGCAAGCTGCTGAAGGGTTAAGCACCCCTAATCTCCACTGCATTTCTGCAACATTCTTTGTGCCATGGCTGCTTTCGTGAAAGAAAAATATAGAACCGTGAACTGAGCTCTCTTACACGTTTTGCACATGTAATGTACTGATGTTCTTGAAGGCTCACATATCTGAGCTCTGAGAGATGAGTCTCGGGAGCTTGGGATACTCACCTCAGAGACTCCGCAGATTCTTCTCTGACTCTAATTTCAATCAAGGCAATGATTCTCTGCTACTTGCTTAACTGTTGGGCTCAGTAGGTAGGGCAGCTTTGGAAGGGACCCTGAGTTCAAAACATTGGTGAAATAATGGGCTATAGGGTCTATCAGACCTGCATAGAGTGTTTCTTCTTCCTGGAGTGAAAATAGATCAAACCTATCCATTCTGAAGGAAATCAGCCCTGAGTGCTCACTGGAAGGACAGATCCTGAAGCTGAGGCTCCAAGACTTTGGCCACCTCATGAGCAGAGAAGACTCCCTGGAAAAGACCCTGATGCTGGGAAAGATGGAGGGCACAAGGAGAAGGGGACGACGGAGGACAAGCTGGTTGGACAGTGTTCTCGAAGCTACCAGCATGAGTTTGGCCAAACTGTGGGAGGCAGTGGAAGACAGGAGGGCCTGGTGTGCTCTGGTCCAGGAGGACACGAAAAGTTGGACACGACTAAATGACTAAACAACAACAAAAAACCCCAAAACCCTTAATTGTACCTTTTTCATCACCTGTCTTATGCTGTCATGGACAATCTCTATATCTTGCCCAAGCTTTCTCCTTGTCCAAGAGATACAAACTAATCTGGGATTCATTATAAACTAGGCTTTATTTCACCCCAGTCAAAGACCCAGCTTGGCACCCTCACACACATATTTGCATACATACGCACACAAAGGCACCCCTCACCCAGGGCAAAAAAACCCAGCTGGTTGTCCCCTCTCCTCCCCGTAGCGATGGCTGTTTGACAACATCACTGAGGACAGCATTTGCTTTCTGGACTAGTCATTGAGCGTGCCCAAACATTTGATGCTTTCAATGGGTCAATGCTTTCTCCTGGATACATTCCCAAAACACACTCCCCCTTTAGGCTCAGTTTGAGATCTGTTACAGCCATATTTATTTCAAATGTAACATGAGATGTTGATTGAGTGTGTTAATATCCTTAAAGTGTTTTTGTGTTCAATATGCTCCTTTGTCTCTCCTGAGCTTACTGTCTGTTAGTTTGAGTGCATGGCTCTGTTTTCGCTAGGATTCCAAAAGACATAAAATAAGTTCTCTGTTTCATTTCTATTTCATTTCTAATTTGCATATCACCCTTTCTATATGACTATGCAGAGTTTACAAGCTGAAAAAACAACAAAATATACAATAAAGTTCACACACCTTATAACAACCTGATCCAATATAAAAAGTCATAATAAAAGCATACCTTTAACATAGACAACTTTTATCAAATAATGTTGAATAATCCATTAAACATAATAGTACACAATAAAATTAAATAGCAGCAAATAACAATTAAACAAAAATTCACTCTTAATTGCAATAAATTACTAAACCATAATCAATAAAAATAACAATGTCACAATGCATAAAATACTACAATACATACTTTGTTGTTGTTTAGTCATGTCCGACTCTTTGTGACCCCATGGACCAGAGCACGCCAGGCACTCCTGTCTTCCACTGCCTCCCGCAGTTTGGTCAAACTCATATTGGTAGCTTTGAGAACACTGTCCAACCATCTCGTCCTCTGTCGTCCCCTTCTCCTAGTGCCCTCAATCTTTCCCAGCATCAGGGTCTTTTTCAGGGAGTCTTCTCTTTTCATGAGGTGGCCAAAGTATTGGAGCCTCAGCTTCAGAATCTGTCCTTCCAGTGAGCACTCAGGGCTGATTTCCTTAAGAATGGAGAGGTTTGATCTCCTTGCAGTCCATGGGACTCTCAAGAGTCTCCTCCAGCACCATAATTCAAAAGCATCCATTCTTCAGCGACTGGGAAAACCATAGCTTTAACGATATGGACCTTTGTTGGCAAGGTGATGTCTCTGCTTTTTAAGATGCTCTCTAGGTTTGTCATTGCTTTTCTCCCAAGGAGCAGGTGTCAGGAGTGCGTGCAGGAGCCGGGCCCTGTGACCAGTAGGACTTCGCAGGACTGGGGCCTTCCTAAGTTTGTTCTGGAGAGGCACAGGTGAGGCCAATTGGTAACTCACTGTGCCTGGTGGCTAGAGCTGGGAAGGGATAAAACGTCAGCATTTCCCTTCGGCTCTTTGCCACAGCAACACATTTCCTGCCTTGCTGTGTTTGGCTTCTTGCTTCTTGGCCCTCAGACCCTTGACTTCATGACTCCCTGCTTCCTGACCCTCGGACCCCTGGCTTCTGGACTCTCGTTCCTGCTCCCACCCCGCCATCCTGCCCCCGGTCCCGACATCCTCAGCCTGGACTTCGATCACCTGTAGGCCGGACTGTGACAGCAGGCGTCTTTTAATTTCGTGACTGCTGTCACCATCTGCACTGATCATGGAGCCCAAGAAAGTAAAATCTTTCACTGTCTCCATTTCTTCCCCTTCTATTTGCCAGGAGGTGATGTGAACAGTGGCCATGATCTTATTATTTTTTTTGTTTTTCACTAGAACCTTCAATGAAAAGGGTCGGGCAATAGGTGGTGGGGCAAGACCTAGGCCGGAGACATGCCAGTTGCTGGATTTATTCTGTTGTTACTCTGGGGAGGTTACTAAAATATCTTGTACCTGACTCTTTTGTGGCCACACTGATGAGCAGGTGAACTGAATTGGTACAGTAAGACTGAAGTGAGAGACAGAGGTGGCAGCAGGTGGGTGAGCAAAAGGAATGGAACAATGATTTAATGACCAAAGTGGCTGAAATCTAGGATCTGCTGATCCCGTCATACTCCTAACTGAACAGTCACCACAAATCTTGGCTTCTCAAACTGCTGCTGAGGCAGCAAAATGTGGATTCCTTTTCAAATCCAGAAAAACAAATAGTGTCATTCATCATTTTTTCTTTTTTAAAAAGCACACCACACCCCTCAATTTATCATGAAATAGCTATCAACACAGCCAGCACACTTTACTGGAAACAACTGATTTGTCTAGCTCAGGTTTTTATCAGCAAATGCAGGTATTTCACATGAAATAACCACCTGATGAATTAGCTCGGCTGCTGCAGAGCCTAAGCAAAGCCATAAAACAGAGCCATGGACCTGATCCAGCCAAAGTTAAGTACATCTAACTTCCAATCCCATGTACGTTTACCAAGAAGTAAGTCTTGCCAAGTTCAGTGGGGCTCAGTCCCAACTAAGCAAGCAGAGCACTCTGCCACAGAAATAAATACGACTTAAAAGTGCAACCTTTGGGTTGGATCATGAACCAGGACAAAATGGAATCATATAATGGGGTAGTTTTAACTGTGTTAGCACATGGAGTTAAAACATGGGCTTACTAAGCAAGCCAATGGAAAGTATCTTGGCCTCCTTGATTCTTAAGTGTTTTGCTTCAGATGTGCCAAAAGGATTTCTCTGGCTGCTCTATCGTGTCTGCAACCCTTTTGCTGCTTGAATGAATCGAACTTGCATCCCCATAATTGATAGCTGTATTGTGTTCATGCAGCTCAATGTTGCACAAGTTTCTTGGGTAGTAAACCTTGCTGTGCTCCTTGGAATTTACTCCCAAGTATGTGATGGCTGCCTTAGCATGAGACACAGCTTAAATTGACCAGGGCATGTCTAGTTGAGTGTTGGAGACCAACACAGGTTAACCAAAGGGATTAAATGAATGGCTGCAATTACTTCACATTTTAAAACTTCTCAATTAAATCTGAGAAGCAGCTCAGAAGCTAAGAGCACTTGTCTTGCACACAGAAGACCCCATATTCAGTTGTGGCTCTATCAGCCTATTTGACACATACACACCCTTCTGCAGAATTTGAAATGCCATAGATCATATATTCTGGACAAATGCCCATCTTAACTAATAAGTGGGCTGGGCTTGAACCTGATGTTTGATCCTTGGGCAAGATGGACAATAGCAATAGATGGAAGCACCAATCAGGGAACTCAGCCTGTTGACTTACATAGCTGCACTGCTCAGCCACTTCTGTCCTCCTGCAAATAGGTTCTCATGAAGGTGCTCTTATCCAGCCCTCAAAGGAAAGCTTCCCAAGTCTAGTGGACACAAGCTAGATGAAGCTACCTTACAGCTATGTACCTGATCTCCCTCCTTTGGCCCACTCTCTTCTGGCTGCTTGTGATGTCATAATGGACCACAGAGGAAAATCAGCCAGAATCCAGACCCAGGTGCTTGTGGGGCTAGACCAGTTGGAGCTCTGGCTGGCATGAATCCAGATAATGAATCTAGCTAGCATGGACTTGGCCATGCCTGAATACAGCTGCTCCAGTGGGTGAAATGACTTCCTGAAAGGAGAAGTCTATCACCACCAACCCATTGCTATGGAAACTCATTGTGACCCAGTCTGGTGCAGAATGAGATACACGGTGGTACCTTGGTTCTCAAACTTAAATCTGTTCTGGAAGACTGTTCCAAAACCAAGGTGCACTTTCCCATAGAAAGTAATGCATAATGGATTAATCCATTCCAGACTTTTAAAAACAACCCCTAAAACAGCAACTTAACATGAATTTTACTATCTAACAAGACCATTGATCCATAAAATGAAAGCAATAATCAAAGTACTGTACTATAAAATAAATAAGATAGTATTGTAAATAAAAATAAAAAATTGTTTTTTTACCTGCACTGATGATAGTCATTGTTTGGATAGGAGGCTTTTATCCATTTCCGCAGTCACACAATCAATCAATCAATCAGTAAATCAGTAGCTGAACTGGGTTCCTCACAGTCACAAAAACAAATTAACCGAAAAAGCCTCAAAATCAAAAATGCAAAATAAATAGCCAAAACAGGTATGAACAGCCAGGTATGAATAATTGCCCCAAACGCAATGTATTCTGCTCAATCAATTATTTTGCCAGCCATGTCTAGGCTGCCAACAAAAAGAAAGGCACAGGTAATATCACACTTTGTGCTCCTACAGGACCGGTGGTGAGCCTTTGGCCCTCCAGGTGCTGTTGGACTCCAACATCCCTGGTCACTGGCCATGCTGGTTCTGGGACTGATGGGAGCTGGCATCCAAAGTTGCCATTTATATGTTGCCCAGAGTATCAAGTTTTCCACAGTCCTTCAGTTATATGCAGTAACACCTGCAATGTTTACCCATACTAACCTGTTTTTACTTTTTACTTGGTTGTACCACCGTGAACAGTGGTTTTTATTTACCGTACTTTTCTCTCTATAACACACAGATTTTTTTCTCCTAAAAAGTAAGGGGAAATGTTTGTGTGTGTTATTGAGTAAATGTGTGGTCCCTGGAGCCGACTGGCCCGAGCGCAGGGGCAAAAATCAGGCAAAAATCCGATCCTGCGAGAGAGGAAGCTGTTGCTTTCCTGCATTCTGCCTCAGGGTCTTACTGCCCACCCTCTTCTGTTTCGGTTGCTGTTTGCTCAAACGGAACAAAGAGCAGGCAAATCCCCTCCCCTCCAGGCAAGCAGAGGGGAAAGGAAAGGATCGCGTCCTTCCTTCTAATTCCTCTCCGTGCTCCGGTGCTGCTGCATCCAGGGAAGCATTTTAGGGACTCGCAGGCAGCCGGAAAACATGCAGGTGGGGGAGAGAGAGAGAGGGGGGGCTGGCTTGGGTGTGTGTGGGGGGGGGACTTTTGCCTTCCTTTCCTCCCTCCCGTTATATCCCTCTCCTGCGTTCTTAGCCAGCTGCTTCTCTGCACACCCCTCTCGTGCTCCTTGTCCCTTCTGTGTTTTTCCTTCCCTCCCCACTTAAAACGTGGTTACAAAGCATGGATCCACATGGATCCTCAGGATCTTTGCATTGGGTCACCCCAAATTCACCATCAGATCACATAGCATGTCCGTGGCTACAGCCTGCACCAAAAAAATCACGCACCCACTGTTGCCTGGGGCCGCAATGGTGCAAAAACGTGGTTACAAAGCACAGATCCACAGGGATTCTCATGATTTTTGCATTGGGTCACGCCAAATTCACCATCAGATCACATGTCTGTGGCCACAGCATGAGGCACAAAAATGATACATCCACTGTTTCATTCAGAATTCCCCCCCCCTTGTTTTCCTCCTCTAAAAACGATGTGCGTATTATGGTCAGGTGCGTGTTATAGAGCGAAAAATATGGTATGTATTTTTATTTTGTTCCATTTTATTTTGGTTTGGGGTTGGATACTGAGTGGGGTGGGGATTGGTTTTGTTTTGGTATAATTGTTTTTGGTTTGTTTTGTTTTTCTATTTTGTAAATGGAGGCTAGTATGAGGCTTGGGATTGCTACCGTGGTGGGGCGAGGGAGGTATGGCGGTGGGGGCAGATGTTATGGGCGAAGGGGATACGGATATGCTCGTACCCCTTCCAATCTGCGCCCCATCCCGAGGGACGAGGGTAGGGTGAGCAAGGATTACTCACCTCCGTCACTGGTACTGTGCAATGCCAGGTCTATACACAACAAAACCGCCACCCTTCTTTACCTCGCAGGGGGTCAACCCGGCTTGTGTGACGGAGACCTGGGTGCGCGAAGGGAAAACCGTTACCTTACGAGAGATGGCGCCCCCGTGTTTCTCCGTCCTCCACCAGTCACGGACTGTGGGCCGGGGGGGAGGGGTGGCATTATTAATCTGGGAAGATTGTTCTTTCAGGGCTCTACCATCGCCATCGATCCCCGGCATTGAATGGGTTGGCCTAGTGTGGGGCTCTGAGGTGAGCTTGGCTGTCTGGCTGGTGTACCGGCCACCTAGCGCACCAGCAGCCACCCTGTCAGGCCTGCTGGAGGCAGTGGCTGGCTGGGCCTTGGAGTTCCCTAACCTATTGGTATTGGGGGACTTCAACATCCATGCTGATGCCACTCCCTCCTCACAGGCTCTGTACCTGGTGTCTTCCATGGCGACACTAGGGCTCTCCCAGTTTGTTTCGGGCCCCACACACCAAGCAGGCCACACGCTGGATTTGATCTTTGGCATCGGTATAAATGGGATCATGTCTCCTTCGATGAAGGTGCCATGGTCTGATCACTACGCTCTGAAAGCCAGGATTGACTTTCCACCCCCACCCTGCTTAGGTGGCGAGCCGATTTGGGCTCGCCCGCAGAGGCTGATGGACCCTGATAGATTCCGTCAGGCCTTGCGGGACCTTGCTCCCCCTGGCGACTCATTGACTGAGCTTGTTGAGGGCTGGAATATCCAGCTCCTAGCAGCCATCGATGAGATCGCACCTAAGCGCCCTCTGTGACCCTGCAGAAACCGGGCTCCCTGGTTTACCGAGGAGCTCGGAAAATGAAGCGGGACCTCAGACGGCTAAAGCGAGGTGCCCGTGACGGAACCTCAAGAACATTTTATAGGGTTTTTATGAAAACCTATGAGATGGCAGTGGAGGCCGCTAATAAGTCTTACTTCTCGGCCTCCATTGCATCTGCTAGCTCTTGTCTGGCGCAATTATTTAGTATAATTCAGTCTTTAACGTCCCTTGAAGGACAGCCAAATTTAAATAACAATTTGACACACAGCTGTGAGGCATTTGCGAGCTTTTTTGCGGAGAAGGTCCTGTTGCTCCGCCATGACCTCCCTGCCAATTTGGATACAATAAAGGAACTGGAGGCCCCTTGACTGTCCTTGGGTCCAGTATTGGACCACTTTGACCGGATATCCCCAGCCGATGTGGACAGACTCCTCCGATCTGGAAAGCCCACCACCTGTCCTCTCGACCCGTGCCCGTCTTGGCTGATTAGAGCATGTCCAGATGAGGTGCGGGCCCCCCTGGGGGATATCATCAATTTGTCCCTTGGCACTGGGATATTCCCAGGGGAACTGAAGGAGGCAGTGGTGCACCCGCTCTTAAAGAAAACATCATTAGATCCCTTAGATCTATCCAATTACCGCCCGGTTTCGAATCTTCTATTCCTGGGTAAGGTGATTGAGAGAGCGGTTGCTGAACAGCTTGGTTTCTGGATGAAACATTGGCTCTGGATCCATTCCAGTCCAGCTTCCGTGCTGGTCATGGGACCGAGACGGCTCTGGTCGCCCTAACAGATGATCTCCGCAGGCAGCTGGATCGAGGCGGGTCGGGGCTGCTGATTCTTCTAGACCTGTCAGCAGCCTTTGGCATGGTCGATCACGAACTCCTGGACCACCGCCTTGCCAACGTGGGGATCCAGGGCACAGTCCTTCAATGGCTGCACTCGTTTCTCTCTGGTCGGGGACAGAGGGTGGCGCTTGGGGGGAATTGTCATCGCGCCACTCCTTGGTGTGTGGAGTGCCTCAGGGTGCGATACTCTCCCCGATGCTTTTTAACATCTTTATGTGCCCCCTCGCCCAGCTTGTCCGGAGTTTTGGGTTGGGTTGCCATCAGTATGCTGATGACACCCAACTCTATCTGTTGATGGGTGGCCATCCTGACTTGGCCCCAGACACACTGACCAGATGTCTGGAAGTTGTGGCTGGATGGTTACTTGGGAGCCGGTTGAAGTTAAATCCTTTGAAGACAGAGGTCCTCTGGCTGGGACGGGACGATATGGGATTGAGGGGGCAACTCCCATCTCTTGCGGGGGTGCAATTAGTGCCAGCATTGTCCGTTAAGAGTTTGGGTGTAATCTTCGATACCTCCCTCTCTATGGAGACGCAGATTACAGCTATAACAAAGGCGGCATTTTTTCATCTCCGCCAAGCTAAGCAGTTGGCTCCTTACCTCTCTCGCCCTGACCTAGCCACTGTGATCCACGCGACGGTCACCTCCAGACTGGATTATTGTAACTCGCTCTACGTGGGGCTGCCCTTGAGACTGACCCAGAAACTCCAGCGGGTGCAGAATGCTGCAGCAAGACTCCTTACGGGGTCTTCGCTGCGAGATCACATTCACCCGGTGCTATACCAGCTGCACTGGCTCCCGGTGGAGTACAGGATCAGGTTTAAGGTGCTGGTTTTAACCTTTAAAGCCCTATACGGCCTAGGACCCTCGTACCTATGGGACCGCCTCTCCTGGTATGTCCCACAGAGGAACTTACGGTCTGCAAATAAAAACATCTTGAAGGTCCCAGGCCTCAGAGAGGTTAGGCTGGCCTCAACTAGAGCCAGGGCTTTCTCGGCTGTGGCTCCAATCTGGTGGAACGCTCTATCACAAGAGACTAGGGCCCTGCGGGACCTGACATCTTTCCGCAGGGCCTGCAAGACAGAGCTGTTCCACCAGGCCTTTGGTCAGGGCGCAGCTTGACTCCCTCCTCTGGCAATCTGCACAGAATTTTGCTTAACAGTTGCCATAAATTTGATTTTAATTAATTTTTAGAATGAAATGTTTTTAGAATGTTGGATTATTTGATTGCTGTTAGCTGCCCTGAGCCCGGCTTCGGCTGGGGAGGGCGGGATATAAATAAAATTTTTTATTATTATTATTATTATTATTATTATTATTATTATTGGTGTTTGCAATGTGAAGGTTGTAGTCATCTAAGTTTTACTCAGAGTAGACCCACTGAAATTAAGGCCCCAAATTAACATTAATTTCAGTCAGACTATTCTGAGTAGAACTTACACTCAGTACCTCCCACAGTGTTACATCCCACATGGAACATAATGCAACCTGCCAGTTACATGGGTAGAAGTGGGAGACTTTGCCAGGAGCAGTACAGAAGCCACCCTGGGAGGCAGGTTTCAGCCCTGGCACCTCTCTGTTATGCACTGTCTGGATGGCAAGGAGGAAAGGCACTAGCTCACTTGGTTCCGCCCTCTGTCCCTCCTTCCAGCGACCTACTGGTGGGGGGGGGCAACCCTCAATATTTTATTCAGATAGGTACCATTGGTAAGGAGCAATGAAGGACCCTCTCCTCTCGTTGGCACAGTCCAAGGTAGCTCTAGAAAATCTATCTGCCTCTTAAGCTTCACAAACATTCTGCAAATTACTAAATGCAAAATCACTTGCATTTATAGGAATGCTCTTCCATTACAAAATGCAATCATTTTATATTATGTACTTGTATATTTCGTTGTCGTGACTTGTAACCCACCCTGGGACCTTATGATAAAAGAGTAGAAACTGTATAAATAAACAAATCATTGCAATGTGTGATGATACTCCCACCCCACATTTAATTCACAATCTGCTGTAGATTCAGCTGTCAGTTTTTACAGTTGTGTGATGGTACTTCTTTGTTATCCTATGGAATATGACAAAAAGCAAAACAAAAGCAAAACCCTTAAACATTTGGAGTTTTGCAGGACAGTACCATTAGTTACTGTGCAGTGTTCCTGATCTGGTGTCCGGGGAGCCATCAGGTGAACTTTATTACGGTCACAGACCAGGATAAAAAACAAACATATAAATAAAATAGCAGTTAGGATTTTTTTAACTGATAAATGTTGGAGCAAATAAGGACAAAGAAACAAGCATAGGATAAAACATCTGAATAAAATACAAGATGGATGGATAAAAACTGATAATTAAAACAGATAAAAACTAAAAACAAATAAAAACATGCAGTTAAAACAACTGTAAGAGCGTAAGAACTAAAAGACTCACAGTTAAAGCAACTAAAAGAGGCTGCAGAGTAGAAGCCTCTGAAATAGAGGACACTCACAGCATTAGAAACTGATGTGCAAATATGGTTAAAACAGACAATTAAAACAATGTACAACAATAAATTTAGACACAATGTGCAACAATAAACTATCCCAGGGAGTTGACTCAGAGTCACCCATGGAACCGAGTTTGGGGATTTTCATGCCGGACTATTTTGAGTTGAGCGATGGTCTGCGTCTACAGATTTGCACACAGAATCTGGTGACCATCCAGGTCGTACTCAGAAATAAATGGGGCTATTTTATCCAACCCAAAGCTTTATGGGCTTTTCAAGGGAGGTGGTTCAAAGTTGATTTAAGTAGCTTTAAAAGGGAGGGGAGGTTTAAAAGTCCACCCGACAGCTCCCGGAGTCCTTTACTGATAAAAGTTGGCAGATATTTTCAAAGGCTGAGCCTTTTTATCAGGGTAATTTGATCATTAGAGCTCCTACTCACTCAGCAGAGACTCAGCTGAGACTTGACCCGGCGCCATCTTCCCCGGAAGTCGGGGGCAGCTATCAGGTGTAATAGTAGGTTTCAGATTGTGTTTATAACCCAACATTTCATTTACTGAAACAGTGAGTTTCCGATCCAAAATCTGTTGAAAAATGTTGCATCAACCCTGGAAGAAGAGATGTGGGGAAATAATTGCAAAAGTCAGGTGCCCGCCCAAAACAGCCACCTGGTCATATGATGGAACTGGATATTTGCCTGTTGAATGGTAGAAGGGGAAACGAGAGTATCTTGAATGAAAGTAGGATCCATTAATGGTTCTATGCTGCCATCTTGTGGATATAACTGGAACCTCACCTGTTTTGATCTATCATTACTTGGCACTTGGGGTGGATTCGACCTCAGCCCTCCAGGTGTTTTGAGACTACAATTCCCATCATCCCTCACCACTGGTCCTGCTAGCTAGGGATCATGGGAGTTGTAGGCCAAAAACATCTGGAGGGCCGAGGTTGAGGAAGCCTGCTTTAGGACAATGAATACAATAAAGGCTTCATAGTTACAGAGCACTTGTAGAGGTTGGGCACAGGCTTATTCCTTAGAGCAGGAACCCTGTGACTCTGGTCCTTATTAGTGCTGACTTCATTGTAGTGCCTGATGGCTCACATAGCAAATCTGGGCAGGAAAATAATGGGTCGGAGATTGCAATATGCTACAGTAAAATAATAAATAATAGAATGGAAATCAATGTATTTGATTGACAGATCACATTCCTTTTTCACAACTGATCAACTGCATTGCATCATTATTTTATTTAATATATTGCACAGCCCACGCTTCCTCCAAAGGACTCTCAGTGTCGTCTATGTTTTGCCTGCTATCCATTTTAGCCTCACAACTATGGTAGATTAGGCTGAGATAAGCACTACACCAGACGGGCGGGCTCCACATATTCTCCCCCCTTGAGCCGTCTGATATTGTTTCCCACTGGCATGTCCTAGAGGCACAAAACATATACCCTGCACCCTGCACCAGCCCCTCTGTGAATCCTTCTTGATGTGGTTCTGTATTTAGACGTTCTTGCTCTGATCTGATTTCCCCGTGGGTTGTGCTGTCCCGTTGCTTCCCCTTTCTTTCCTGTCAATCATCATTTGTTTTGGTTTGTTCCTCTTCCTGTCTTTCAGCATATCCTGACATCCCTTGAGGCTGTTTATTTCTGTAATGTCTCACTGAGGCTGTGCATGAAGAATGATGGCAGCTCCACCCGCTACTGAGATCCTGCATTGTCACTTCTTTGCAGGGATTGTCAGTAAAACTCTTTCTTTTAATAATTATATTATATAACACAGTACTTTTTACTCAGTAAAGATTTTCTTTCCGTCTTTCTATATTGATTTATTGGTTTGTTTGTTTCTTGCCTGTATAGGATATTCTGTTTTTTAATGTTTGATGCTTTGTTGTGTTTTTATATATGCTGTGAGCCACCCAGAGTGGCTGGGGAAACCCAGCCAGATGTGTGGGATATAATAATAATAATAATAATAATAATAATAATTTGTCCTCTTTTCTCAGGAACATTTGGCCCTTTCTCATGTTCTCATAAGAACAACGTGTTATCAAGGATGAAGGTGCAGCTCTTGCAAACTACAGTCCAAGAGTAGCACTTGAATGTGCAACCCTTCACTCAAGTGCAGAGATCTGCAAAAAGAGCATGAAACTGACAAGCTGTTCTTCTCATCCAGAGATAAAACCAGTGCTTTTTTCTGGGAGGACACAGGGGTACACATACCTCTAAACATTTTGTGAATCTAAGTTTGGCCTCATTGAGGGGCAGTATTTCAATATAAGTAGGAAAATGAGAGTACCCCTAAACATTTTTTTAGAAAAAAAAGCACTGGATAAAATTAACCACTAAGTGTCAATATTGCATCTATGGCAAAAGAGCTCCTCTCGATTCCCTGAAGGTAAATGGAAAGTCAGTTTTATACTCCTGAAAACAGGGAGTAGACAATGCACAGCATCTTGCTGAACCTGCAAGAATTGTGTGAAAAGAAGGCAAAGGCAAGAGAGGTAAAACTGACAAGTCTTTCCCTTTACCTCACCAGGGAGTTGAATCCACTGTGGAATTTACAGTCAATCGTACCTCTGAAAGAGATGAGGGGCCTCTGAGCACAGTTGGAGCTTATGCACATTATCCCAAAGATGACATAGAACAAGATGGTGAAATTGGAAAAGAGATTCCACTCACCTCTGTGGCCCACTGGAAGCCACTTCAGTACAGAGGCAAAATTGAGAACCTCTTCTCATTTTAACCACTCCTTGGTGGAGTGGCTTCATTGTGGCTGTAGATGTGAGAGGTAGGTCTTTTCAATTTAATCGTCTGCCCTTCAGAGCCTTTTCACATAATTCTCAAGAGTTTAAGCAAAATGTAGCACATTATCTAGTCTGCAGTCACAATGAAGAAAAACCAGCAGGAACCCAACCGACTCTTGCAGGGAGAATCTGCAAGTTTAGCTCATAGAAAAAGAGGAGAGATCCTCCTGTAGACCAGGAACTGATTAAGTAACAGGAATAATAATGTTTTGCTGCTTCCAGCAAAATATTTTTTTAAAAAATGTCAAACATCAAAAACTTCCCTATACAGGGCTGCCTTCAGATGTCTTCTAAAAGTTGTGTAGTTCTTTATCTCCTTGACATCTGATGGGAGGGCATTCCACAGGGAGGGTGCCACAACTGAGAAGGCCCTCTGCCTGGTTCTCTGTAACTTCACTTGTCACAGTGAGGAACCATCAGAAGACCCTCGGAGCTGGACCTCAGTGTCTGGATTGAACAGTGGGGGTGGAGACACTTTTTCAGGTATGCTGAAGCAGAGAGTAGGAATAAATGGACTGTTCTCCAAGAGAGGTAGACAGTGGAGTCCCCCCCCCACACCCAAGATCAGAATCAGGACTTGTGCTTTTTAACTTGCTCTAGAGCATGGGTAAGCAAACTAAGGCCCGAGGGTCAAATCCGGCCCAATTGCCTTCTCACTCCGGCCTGCAGACGGTCCAGGAATCCGGGTGTTTTTACATTTGTAGAATGTGTGCTTTTATTTAAAATGCACCTCTGAATTATTTGTGGGGCATAGGAATTCATTCATATTCTCCCCCCCCCCAAAAAAAAATATAGTCCAGTCCCCCACAAGGTCTGAGGGACAGTGGACCGGCCCCCTGCTGAAAAAGTTTGCTGGCCCCTGGTCTAGAGTTACGACTGAGCAGTGAGGTGGTCAAGTTTGCTGATTATACTATACTAAGTGTAAAGCTATCCATGTCAGGGCAAAGCATCTGAAGTCCACATATCTGCTCCTGGGGTCTGAACTGGTGGTGATTGACCAGGAACGAGATCTTGGTGTCACAGTGGATACCTCAGTGAAGATGTTGTGTCAGTGGGTGGCAGCTGTGAAAAAGTCCAACTCCAGGCTAGAAATCAATAGGAAATGAATTGAAAATAAAACTGCCAATATCACAAATGTCATTATATAAATCTGTGTTGCTAATGCATTTGGAAAACTATGTCCAATTATGTCTGCTGGACCTCAAAGGGATATGCTAGGGTTGGAAGAGGTCCAGAAAAGGGCAACTGGAATGATCAATGGGGCGGAGCAATTCCCCTATGAGAAAAAAGTTGCAACATCAGGGATTCTTTCATTTAGAGAAAAATTGAGTAAGAGGTGACATTATAGAAACCTACAGAATTATGCATGGCCTGGAGAAAGCGGAGAGAGGAAAGTTTTTCTCATTGTCTTATAGCTCTAGAAATTGTGGGCCTTCAAGGAAACAGAAGTTGGAAGTTTCAGGACAGACCGAAGAAAGTCCTTCATCAAGCAGCGCATAGTTAAACTATGGAACTCCCTCCCACAGGAAGCAGTGATGACCACCAACTTCAGGCTCCTGCAACTGAGTTTCTGGCTGTGTGCATGCCGTATGTTTAAAGCACATCGAAAACACGTGACCTCCCCCAAAGAATTCTGGGAACTGTAGTCTGTAAGGGTGCTGAGAATTGTGGCTCTTTGGGGAGCAAATTAGAGCTTCCGGGATTCTTTGGTGGAAAGTTGTGGTGTGCACACAGCCATCCCTTCAAATACTGGGATGTTTCCCCCCTCTTCCTTTCCTAGGCATCCAGCAGTAAGGTTCCAGCACATGCTAACCACAGACAGGTGGCAGCATGATGCTGCATTTTGCAGAAATATTATCCCAAGTTATGCCCTGCTTCCCTCCTGCATGTTACAGACATAACTCCTCAGAAAGGTAGAAGTCTTCATGCACCTTCAGACCTTGCCCTGGAACCTCCAGCAGTGAAGCCTCCATGTTCAGAAGCCGTTTATCTGATTACCAAATGTTCAGGACAAACAACTGGGCAGGGCTGTTGTGGACTTTGCACCTTTCATGCTAGCTTTCCAGAGGCATCAGACTGGCTGCCGTGGGGGAAGAGGAAGCTGGGCTTTCTTCCTTTTTTGGACTGATGCAGGACTCAAGGCCTGTTAGTATGCTTTCATCCACATCTTAAAGGCCATCTACACAAAACTAGAGCTGAATCATTTCGTGAGGAGGGAAGAGGAATGGCAAGCAAACGAGCGTCCCTTTAAACTGCTTGCAAGAATGTGAATGTTACATTCTTCTAATTGGAGGCTGATTTCTGCCCCTGCAGTGTTCTTGAGTGCGGGGGGGGGGGGGGCTTTGGGATTAGATCGTAGGAGGAAGGGAGAAGGAAAAGACTGATCAGCCAGTTAAATTCCACAAGTGTTGTGTTGTTGTTTTTTTACACATCCTTCAAATTCAGGCTTGACAAGTGACATTGAAATGTATCAAATGTTGAAAACTCACCACCTGACAATTTCCCCCAGTTTTAAAATTCTGCAGCATTTCATTTTGGCTGTAGTCTAAATTCCTGTTGCAAGGCAGAACCATTCATTTGCAACTGAAAGCCCAGCAATCCTACAGGCAGAGGGCTGGAGTGCCACTCCTCTCTGGCAGATGTCTTATACAGGGGTTCTTGGGATCAGAGCAAAAAGCTTACTGTAGACATCAGCTCACAAGGACTTGGGAAGCTGCCTCATAGCAAGCCAGACCATTGCCCATTGAGTTCAGTACTGTCTACACTGACAGGCAGTGACTCTCCAGTGTAACCTTTCGCATGAAGGCAGATACTCCGCCAGAGAGCTGTGGCCTTTCTCAACTCAGGCAACGTGAACTGTGCAAAAAGCAAATTTGGAGCAGAATTCTTTAATCTGTAATAGATCATGCCCCATGCAACATGCACTGATGCTACTCTATTAAAATAATTTTATAAGGTGTGTGACTTTGTTTCTCAATTTGATCCTTTTACATGGTTTTGTATGTATTGTTTTGACCAAACTGCGGGAGGCAGTGGAAGACAGGAGTACCTGGCGTGCTCTGGTCCATGGGGTCACAAAGAGTCGGACATGACTAAACAACAACAAAGTATGTATTGTAGTATTTTATGCATTGTGACATTGTTATTTTTATTGATTATGGTTTAGTAATTTATTGCAATTAAGAGTGAATTTTGTTTAATTGTTATTTGCTGCTATTTAATTTTATTGTGTACTATTATGTTTAATGGATTATTCAACATTATTTGATAAAAGTTGTCTATGTTAAAGGTATGCTTTTATTATGACTTTTTATATTGGATCAGGTTGTTATAAGGTGTGTGAACTTTATTGTATATTTTGTTGTTTTTTCAGCTTGTAAACTCTGCATAGTCATATAGAAAGGGTGATATGCAAATTAGAAATGAAATAGAAATGAAACAGAGAACTTATTTTATGTCTTTTGGAATCCTAGCGAAAACAGAGCCATGCACTCAAACTAACAGACAGTAAGCTCAGGAGAGACAAAGGAGCATATTGAACACAAAAACACTTTAAGGATATTAACACACTCAATCAACATCTCATGTTACATTTGAAATAAATATGGCTGTAACAGATCTCAAACTGAGCCTAAAGGGGGAGTGTGTTTTGGGAATGTATCCAGGAGAAAGCATTGACCCATTGAAAGCATCAAATGTTTGGGCACGCTCAATGACTAGTCCAGAAAGCAAATGCTGTCCTCAGTGATGTTGTCAAACAGCCATCGCTACGGGGAGGAGGAGGGACAACCAGCTGGGTTTTTTTGCCCTGGGTGAGGGGTGCCTCTGTGTGCGTATGTATGCAAATATGTGTGTGAGGGTGCCAAGCTGGGTCTTTGACTGGGGTGAAATAAAGCCTAGTTTATAATGAATCCCAGATTAGTTTGTATCTCTTGGACAAGGAGAAAGCTTGGGCAAGATATAGAGATTGTCCATGACAGCATAAGACAGGTGATGAAAAAGGTACAATTAAGGGTTTTGGGGTTTTTGTTGTTGTTTAGTCATTTAGTCGTGTCCAACTTTTCGTGTCCTCCTGGACCAGAGCACACCAGGCCCTCCTGTCTTTCACTGCCTCCCACAGTTTGGCCAAACTCATGCTGGTAGCTTCGAGAACACTGTCCAACCAGCTTGTCCTCCGTCGTCCCCTTCTCCTTGTGCCCTCCATCTTTCCCAGCATCAGGGTCTTTTCCAGGGAGTCTTCTCTGCTCATGAGGTGGCCAAAGTCTTGGAGCCTCAGCTTCAGGATCTGTCCTTCCAGTGAGCACTCAGGGCTGATTTCCTTCAGAATGGATAGGTTTGATCTATTTTCACTCCAGGAAGAAGAAACACTCTATGCAGGTCTGATAGACCCTATAGCCCATTATTTCACCAATGTTTTGAACTCAGGGTCCCCTTCCAAAGCTGCCCTACCTACTGAGCCCAACAGTTAAGCAAGTAGCAGAGAATCATTGCCTTGATTGAAATTAGAGTCAGAGAAGAATCTGCGGAGTCTCTGAGGTGAGTATCCCAAGCTCCCGAGACTCATCTCTCAGAGCTCAGATATGTGAGCCTTCAAGAACATCAGTACATTACATGTGCAAAACGTGTAAGAGAGCTCAGTTCACGGTTCTATATTTTTCTTTCACGAAAGCAGCCATGGCACAAAGAATGTTGCAGAAATGCAGTGGAGATTAGGGGTGCTTAACCCTTCAGCAGCTTGCCTTGTCCAAATCATCCTCCCAAAGCAGCCCCTGGAGATTCATGTTGAAGAAAGTCGTTGAGGATCATTTTGGATTAAAAAAATTGAGGGTGAAAAAGGGTCAAGCACTTCCTCCCCCTGCTGCTTCTCCACTCCAAATTCTCTGCTTCTGAGGCTGTTTTTGTTTTGTTTTGTGTTTTGTTTTGTTTTTTAAGCATCAGG